AATTCAATAATTTTTGTAACAAAGATACACACATGGCATTATATTAGCAATTTTAGGTTAATAAGTGACCACTTTACAGTTTTCGGTACATCGAGGGATTAGCATGCTAACATTAGCTAATTTTGAAATCTCAGGCTTTTGTTTAAAATGGCCAGGTAGCTATCAACAAAGTATGCTAGCACTAAGTGTTCATGCTGCTGTTGTCAAATGTTATTAGCAAGATGTGTTATCTAATAATTTACCACAGTTATGTGTTTGTCTTACTGGTGTTACTCTCACTTGAGTTACTTAGGCCTAATGTGATATCTTTTAATAGGGCACAAAATCCCTGGCAGCGCCCCTGGCTATAAATATGCTGCAGTTAGATTTATTAATGTTGGTGAGGCTGTAAACACTTGTTTTTCTTCTGTCAACAATGTTATTGAGTTCTCACTGGCTCTTTTCAGCAGAATTCACCTTTCCTCAGTGGATGAATAACATCAAGTTTGCCCTGTGTGATCTTTGATTTCGATCTCTAACTCGCTCAACTGCTGTCTCTTTCCCCATCATTCAGACTGTTTCTGTTTTTCCCAAAACGATTTTTGACAGCACATCATTTACTGATACTCTTTTTTCTCCTTTAGACAAAAACAGGTTTGAAAGAAAGTTCTCCACCTGTGAGAGGAGTTGGGTAAAGGACAAAGAGACAAAAGAAACGAAAACGAAAAAAGGCAAAAAAAAGAAAGAAAGACTTGCGTGCGTCTCTGGCACCCAACACTAGATATGAGGACACTGAGGTTTGGACCTCAGTAAATTCAGATTTGTTTTTCTTCCATATATCTCCAGTTAAGAATTTCAATGTGGAAACAGCGCCATCCCAGTAATGCCATTTCCACTTTGTCTCTATTAGATCCTGATCTCTGTTACTGTTTTACCTCATTCCTCCTTCCAGCTCTGCGAACACGTTCTCTCAAAATCTAATGATGCACTTTGTTTATTTTTATGGCTCGACTCCTCTGTGTGGGAGACATTTCACACTAACAAACAGGTTCTCAGTCTCAGGTTCTCTCAGCCATACAAGTTCGAAGTACTCGATCCACTGCAGATATGCTTGGACACAACCTCACACAGACAGACTGACTGACTGACTGAGCTTTGTACAGGAATAGCAATGAGCTACACAGAGTGTTTGTTATGAGGAAAAACAGAACAATACAGCAGATACTGGGAGAATAATGCAAGCAGTGAAATGTAAAAAGGATGCATTGAATTTACTTGATTCAAATATGTACATGATTTAAATAAAACATATTTCAATTAATTCAATTAATACAGATACAGCAAAAAAGCAAGTAAACTGAGACAAAATGTGATGATGTAATATAGTTTATTCATATGGAAGTGATGTAAACATTTGAACGTTTGAGACATATGAAGTAAATATGATCTAATGTCTTTTGCCATGGACGGTTGAGAGAACTGTGCTTATCAGGTTGTGGTCTGATCTTCTATAGAATCACAGAATCCCCACCAACTCCACAGTTCTGTCCTTTTCTTTTTCTGAAGCCTCTGTAATTCACACCTGTCATATAAATTCATCACTAGAAAACCTTACAGACAATTATCGAGTCTTGAGTCAGTGTGCAGTTCACAACTCTGCCTGTCTCTGCGAGGCTCTCTCTCAGTGGCTAAAGCTAAACAGGATCTATTCTAATCGCATAGAAAGCACAAAGACATAGATGCATTTAACATTATGTAATTGAAGCTGAATTCATTTTAAAAGTTATAATTTCACATTTTGTTTTTGCCACATTTTTGAGCATTTTTGATATCAGCATCATTATGGTAATATGGTAAAAATAATATCCCTTCCACCAAAACAGTGTAAATATTTGGCTTTTTTAAAACCCTCTTATACAGTCGTCATCAGTATATTTAAAAGGAATAAATATAAGTTAAAGTAATATCTTGAGAAGGTCAGTTATCATTACTGTAGGCTGAATTACTGTTGATAATTCAAAAAGCTGTCTCCCTCTAGCGTTAATGCTGTGTACATACAGATATACAAGACAGAAGCCACAGTGAACACACAGTACAAAAACAGTACTTTCATAAATATGTAAAAAATATGCTGTATTAAATGTAAAGACTGGAAAAAAGAACAGAGGAACTATAGAAAGGATGAGTTATGTGTCAAAATCATACTCAACTAAAAGATTGTATAGAGAATGGAGCCAAATATATACTTGGGTCAACATTTAAACATATTTAAGTACATTAAACATTATCTATTCAACAGTTTAAGTCTGTATGTATTTTTACTTTGAAAATTAGTTTACTACTGTAAACTGTAAAGGCCTCATTCCTCTCATAAATCCACAATTTTTCAGCATCAGTATTAGAAACAGTACACTCTATTAAAATTCATGTTCTTTCTACCCAAACAAATCAAACATTTGTCTTTATTAAACCCTTCACAGTATAATCCGTATATTTACCTAGAAAGGAACTAAAGAATAATATCTTACAGTAACAGTAAATGAGAGAGGCAATAAAAAATAAAGCCAGACAGCACCAAATCAGAGTGTGTAAGCACGTAACGTGTAAATAGAAATGCATGTCTCAGGCATTTTTGAAAGGGCTGAATATCTGCTGATCATTCAAACAGCTGTCTTTAGTGTTAATTATGCATATGCACACAGAGTGATTAATCAAGAGAGAACTCACAGTAAATACACAGTACAAAAATAGAATCTATATCATAAATGTGTATGAATATTTCTGTAGTATAAACGTAGTGGTTGAAATCATTCTGATGCAGCAAGCGACCTGATTCTGAACCTGTAGGTTAAACTGAGGTTAAACAGTTGATATTCACATTTTAAGACTATTATCACATATGACTCTATAATTCAATTGTTGAGATGTGAACAAAGCCACTTAGAGGGGTTTGATGAAATTGAACTACTTGAAATTGAAATTGAAAATGAGCTATTAGGTGAAATAGTTTATTGTAGAGAAACTTAGCAACTCAGATTTCTTTACAGTGGTGGTGATAGGAACCAGGGGTCATGATGTCTACAACATAAACATGACATTTTGTAGCTATATAAATAAAATAATGAATTTATATATATATATAATTCACTATTTTATTTATGTAGTTATATAACAAGTTTCCAATCAGTCTCCCTAGAATGGAACATTTCACATCAAACCAATCTGAAGGACTTTGCTTCTGTCGAATTGTAGTTTTGACTACTTTCCTATTTGTTGATTGATATATAAGCATCACAAGCATTCTTTCTGACTTAGTAGCAGATTATGATGTTTAAGAAAAGCACAGTCATTTGTGCTCTTTAATGCTTCCTTTAACTATATTGAGTTTTTTTGTGGGTTTGATGAACAATGTTTAGAAATATTAATAAACTAACATTATGAATTTGTGATTAGTAATCAATTATTATTATTATATTATGTAGTATTATTATAATGCAGTGTTATTAATGGAAGTAAATTCATTGAAAGTAGGTCAAGCAGGTATAAATTTACATATTGCATGGCAGACATTAAATGAAAGTTACTGCATTAATGCAGCACTATGTAATATTTTTGTTAAAACTGAAAGAATAGCATTACTGAGCATGGAGAAAATAAGAACACTCTAAAATATGGTGTTCAAGCACTGATGCGAGTCAATGTAAAGCCTAAAATAACGTATTAACGTACAGAGACGAAAAGAAGATTCGGCTTCATGTTTACTTCTCAATGGCAAAATCAACACTGAACTGACGATACGCTTAAAATAGTCATTCACTCACATCCTCAGAAGACACATCCATCACCAAGTTTCGACTGAGTTCTCCTCAAATACTCTTTCAACGCACTTGAAAAAGTCAGAATCATTTACTAATGGGAGTCTGAAGCACAATCGACGTTACAAAATGTTCTTGCATGTTGTGTGCAATTACATATTTCCAATTCCCCAAATCCTACATAGTGTTGCTTTAAAGGAATTCATAAATCTAAAAATTACTGAACTAAATTGGTGGAATAAAGAACAAATTTTAAAAGATTATGACAAAGATAGACACTGCAAAGTGTCCATTTTTCAGTTCTCTTTTAAAAATCTCCATATTGACATTGAGTTTCTGGATCCTATGAATACAGAAACAGCTGCCGACTGTCTGTCTATAATAATTCATCTGTTGTACTTAAATAGAGCAGTTTGCAATGATCTGTAATAATTTCTATTTTTATTGGAATTAAATTGTATTGGAAACTCCTTTGGTTTTAGTCTAAGTACATTTGGGCAGTTTGAAGTCTGCTAGATTAAAGATAAGACTGGAGATGTAAGCATTCAGTTTGTTAGAATACCCTACTATCTGTGCTGGGCACTGAGATGTTAATGGCGAATTAAGATGACGTACCTGGGATACTGGGGAATAATAGGGGGAAATCCAGGAAGCAACTGTGGCGTACCTTAGTAATCAATATGGAGGTTTGAAAATTTCTGATGTAATGTAGAATATTAATATAAAAAGGGATGATTAATGCCAAACCTTGTTAGCATTAATCATCCTGTTTATAATTATCTACAAATAAAAAAACAGCATTAGTCGTCCATTACAGGGTACATTGATGTTCTCCTATACCAACTGGTTTCACAGCAATTTTTAGTGATTAGCTTATAGATTTGTATATGTATATCAGCACAAGCAAGGTCAGCATTGAGGTCATCAAGACTCACTATTTCCTGAAAGGGCAGCAGGCTGACAACTTTCTCACTGGAAATGAGAGAAATGACATAAAGCGTTAATGAGAGATGGTGCATGCTGAATAAATGAATAACAAGCTTGTGTAACGATGACAGTATGCAGTCTATTTAGAACAACATGTCATTCTTTCAAAGCACAAACAGCTACCTAAACATACAAGCCAGGCCCTTCACATCTAAGAGCTACCAAAAGTAATGCAACTTAGGATATCTAGTGAGCACACAATATAATTATAACAGGTACCTTAATATCACTGAAGAAGGTGTGTTCATGATTTTTCTTTCCATAACTCTGTTTTAGCTCAGTAAAGTGCCGAATGACCGGGTTTATTTTCGAATAGGTCACGATACCTTTGTCTCTGAAGTACAGAATTGCTGACAGTTGTTTCTCACTAGATATTGAAAAAAGTTTAGGAAGAGTGTTTTTATTTACGGGTAAATGTATGCATTATCACACAACAGTGATATACAAAAATGAAACAATATGCGTACCTGATGTCTGGGTAATTGTCAACCAAAGGTGGTAAAAGATTTTTTATGTCTTTCTCATTCTCCTGCTCAATAATTTCACTAAGCTGATCTCCTAGTGGGTGAAGCCAGTTTAACGCTGATCCCTGAGTGCAGAAAAAAAAGACTGTTTTTCACTTCGAAACATTTTGATATAAAACCTTCCACCTGAACATACAACAGACTGTATCTTACCATTTCAGAGAACAGTTTCCTGAGTTGATTCCACTGGTCTTTAATCTTAGCAGCAGCAACATCATTCTTCCTGCCTCTGCATGAGTACTTACTCTTCAGAAGCTCAGAAATGTACTCTTTTACCACATGGTATTGCAGGTCATTGGCAAAGGACTGTGGACACAAAAGTGTTATGAGAATTTGTAAGAAACTTTATTCCAAAGTAACTTACACCTATGAGTCTAATGGAACAGACTCACTTGCGCAGGTGAAGATTTCATAGATTTGGTGTATCCAGAGTAGGTCTCTATTCTGTTGATTATTTCATAAAAAGCATCATCTGTGTTGAGCCACTTCTTGGTCATCAAACACTCCTTGCAGGGCTGAAACAAATTGTTGTACATTTAACTAGATAACCAAATCCACTGTTTGAAATGTGCATTACAGTGAATGAAAAAGCAAAGAAATCAGTGCATACAATGATTACAATTAAACAGCACAACAATGTACAAACTCAAAACAGATCATTTAAATCTGTTACCATATTCACTGCAGCTCACCTCAATTTCAGCTCTAAACTGTTCCAGCAGAGCTCGTCTCAGTCGCAGAATCAGGCTGTCTACCTCCGACACCAGCTGCTCCACCTGATCTGGGAAGCTGCCTCTGTAGCTTTCCATCTGCTCTCTGATACAGATTCACACCAGACAAAGGATTACTGAACCACTACCAACATAACTATGGGACATCTACATATCTGGAAACTGCTCACATTACAAGATTTCATGAAACTAAATGGCAAAAAATGCGTGAAATCATACAGAGACTTACATGAGTGAGCTGAAGCTGTTAATGTATGCTACGTGATATTCGGCCCACAGACAACAGTCCAGTAAGTCTGATTCCAGCAAGGAGGAACACTGCTTCGTAAACTCTTCCTCAAATCTAAGCAGCAGGTGAAAGAGAGAACAGCAAGTGTTTTTTAAAAAAAGTAAAATGAAGTTCTTTGAAATTGGTTGGTTTTATATTTAGAGCATAGATATTTAAAGCACAGAGCAATGCAACATGAATTAGTAATCAGGGCAGATTGTAGGGTTTGTTTTACCTTTTGGGAAATTGCTTCAATTCTTCCAGACAGCAGCACAAGACCCTTTTTTCCAGATTTCCATCAATCTTTTCAGAATTCTTCCCAAGGTTTGCTATCAACTAAACATGAACAAAATGGATTTTGTGTAGATTACCTTCACATTGTACTGGTATGACCTATATTTTAACCAAAAATATATAATAGAATAATTACGATTATTAGGGATGCACATGAAATTGGCAACTTGTCAATTTATTATTTTGATTTTGGCAAATCTGTGTTTCTATAACATAAATAATGTAAGGCAGGTAAGTGCACTCGTGTTGTATTTGAATGTTGCTGCTAAACCTACAGAAAAATGTTGCAACATAATTATACATCAATGTGCTAAATAGACAGTTGCCTCTTACTTTCAACGTAGCACTTTATTTGATTCATGTTATTTAAACAGGCAAAACTTTTAAATGCTAGTTTGACCCATTAAACAGCAAATAATGTTGCTTATATTGCAATTTTAACTCATAAGAAGTGATGAAAATGTGCTAGTATGTTTCAGTGGTTTATTTACCCCACACAGTGTGGGCTTTGGATAAAACAAGGCCAATACAAATCTGCCAAAAAGCAGCCATTGGCCAATTGTTTGTAAAGAAATCAGATTCAGAATTGGCCATAATTTATGAACCTTGATTGTTGTGTATTAAAATTTAAATATAGCAATTACTGCAAAATCACACAATGCAAGCACAGAATAAACATGTAATATAACTCTGTGGAATGATTCCTCAAGGAAATTTGCTTTACGTACTGTAGAAATGTCCATGTGAATATGACTGGTGAGGAATCTTCCATCTTCTGTTCTCTCTGGTGTTCCTTTCTTTTTCCACACTCCCTCCTCTTCGAGTTTAATGACATTTTCCAGCGAGGCATGAAGTACCTCCTGATAAAAGAGTTGTAAACAAATTTAGGAAAACAAGAAACAAAGAAAAGTAACAAAACTAGAAATGAAATGAACTCATCTTATAGATCAACTTATAGATCAAGTTCCTATAGCTGTGCTGGTTTTCTCACCTGTAGACAGTTACAGTATTTTTTCCTAATCTGATCTAGAAAGTCATAAGGTAGTGTGAGAGTCTTCTGCTCCTTCATCTCTGGCTGCAAAGAGGGACTACCAAGGATCTTCTCACTGTAATGTCAGATGTACAACATTTTGTGTGAATATGGTTGCAAATGCAATCAACTTCAGTTTCATATACTTATACATACCCAGTGCAGCTCCTCACCTGTGATAGCTGTTGATGGCAAAATCCAGCATGGCATAATAATCTTTAAGTTCTGTGACTTTTCCCTGAAGCTCCTTGAGATGTTCTTCTACAACCTCATGACAAGATGAAACGTAGGTTTCAAACACGTTAAAGCTTAGTGGGTATGAGCTGACAAGCTCTGTCTTCACTTTCTCCAGCAGCTCCACAATCGCTTTACCCAGAAGCCCCAAGTGCACCGCCAACCAGGAAGCATTGTTTTCACAGCTGTCCAGATGGACCCCCTTGAGTGTATCTCTCACCCCGTCCTTTATTGCAGCTTTCCAGGCATCCATCCATCCCCTCATCCCTCCTGGATCTCCCTCTTGCTTTTCCTCCTCCTGGATGATGTTGGCAGCGTGCATCAGCAGCTCACTGGAGGTTGAGTCAAAGGGACGTCGGACAATATCAGTCAGTTTCTTCCTCAGGGTCTCAAAGAGCATACTCAAGTCTTTCTTTTTATTAGGTAACTCCACTGAAGGGGTCTTCTCACTCAGAGCTTTCAGGTCACGCTGAATCTCCAGCCGTAGAGACAGCAGGTTAAGATAGGCCGTTTCCAAATCACCTCTCTTTAAAAGTTCATCAATTTCCAAAACTGTAATAAAGGAAAGACCAAAATGAATTTCTCAGCTTGGCTAATGTTGCACATGCACAATGCTCATGGAACATAACATGACAATGACAGAGAGGATCCAGGGGTGGGGCCACAGGAGAACTGGGGTGAGTAAAAAATTGTTTGGCTCCTAATGTGCACGTCCTCTCTTGTCACTCACCACCTCCAACAACATCATGATTAAAATACATGTAAACTTATCGTCTTTCAGTGAAATTTGCATTTGAATCTGAATGACGAATATGCCAAGGAGAATTTTGAAGAAGAATCCTCTTTCCCCAGCAGCAGTGTATGATGATTCATATACAGATACTGTATTTAGTATATGGATTATAAAATAAGCTGAAAGGTTTCAAGACTGCTGATCCCAGCAAGGAGGATGTCTGTTCCCTGAAGGGATGGCATTAATTTAGCTAAAGTTCTGAACAGAAATTACTGAAACGTGAAAAATAGGAAAGTGTCATGAGTGGTTGGTTTTATTTTTATTTTCATATTCAGATTTTTTCTCCAATAACTTTTAAAAGGCAGGAGTAGGCAGGCTAATATGTGTACATTATTGTTGTTTGCTGTCAAGACAATCACTTGCCATTTCATTTTTGTTTCAAATTGATGTAGAACACAATTCATTTATGTGGACTGTCCGCATGAGCCGCTGAGAGCTAAGCCACCACATACAAATTCAATCGCAAAAGGCAATCATCAGGGACCAATCATAATGGGCATTTTTATATGTATTTTAGCAGAAACACAAATGATAGTCAGAGATTTTAGAATATTAGTAATAACTGTTGAGGAGGGACCTCAAAGAAATAAAAGTCTACCAAATTTACACACTGTATAAACTGACCTTCTGCACTTGGTACGGTAAGCAATGGATTTTTAACAAGTCAAAATGCTTGGAAGGCGCCCACTTTGTATTGCCATAGTTGTTGAACTCAACAAACTCAAATTACTTGCTTCACTGTATGTTACTCTCATAATGCAATGCTTCATTTTCATGTTAAATCATGTCAATGTTAAATAAATGTCCAGACCCCCCATATTAGGGTGGTTTTTGTACTTGTTACTGTTTTTGTTTTAGTAAGTTTGTAAAATTACTGTCTGCAACTGAAATTTAAAAGACAATGCATAAGCAGTAGTGTGTGTGTGTGTGTGTGTGTGTATGGGTGGGTGTGTTTATGTGTCCTATGTTGGCTGGCTACTTCAGCACTGACTGGCTGATAATTGACTCGCACAGCAGCCCAGATGCTAACTGCACTGGCAGCAAAATGTTTGGTTCTTTTCTAGCTGGGTAATGCATTCTTTCACACCACTAAGATCCTACACTTGTCTTCAGTAGTAACAGTTCACACTTTCCACCAATTTCTTGGGAAACTGGGCAAGTTTTCAGATTTACAAATATGCTGTGTTATATTGTAAAGTTTTTCCGAGGTATCCTCAGCATAGTTCCAGTATAGGGTGGATCTTCAGTTAGCAGTTAGTGGAAAATACCAAAGACAGAAGCTCACAGATTATAGTTGAAGCCAGTGTCTATTTTTCCCTAACGGACAGCGTAACATCATAATCAACTTATTTTTAAGGACCCACCCGAATTTTTTATTTTGAATTTTAATTTTGATAAGACATTCATGGGGTCCAATTAATTAGGGGTCCCAGACCCCCCAGGACTCTCTGATTCTGAATGCATTTATCTAGGACCAGAACAGGAATTATGATCATACTATGGCCCCACCTAAAATAATTCTAGAATTGCCGCTATGTGCTATTAAACTTTACTTTAAAATTACTTAATAGAAAAATACTTTTTACAAGAAACAGGTTAAAAGTAAAGACACTTACCTGACAGGGGTTTGGGAGGAATATTCTGTCTGAAAGGGATCTTACAGTCCTTACTGTTCCTTCTGTCTGTTACAAGCTTCTCTGGGGACTCATTCACAGAGGCAGAAGAACATAATGCCTGACTGCTTTTCCTCCTGTTTTTCTGTCCATTATTCAAACTTCTTCTTATGCCTGAGAGCTTCCTAAAGATGCCCTCTTCTTTTAGAGAACATAAAAACAAAAAGAGAGACTTGCAAATCAGTCACAAACTAAATAACTATTTTCTCTTACTTCTGAAAATCACTTCTGGATCTGGGATGTAAGATTTAGGTAGTTTATTACAGATTACTGAAAGTCTGAAAGAAATTATAATTAGCTGTATATGGGATTACACAATCTTGGCAATTTATAATAATTTGCTAAATGATTTTATACTTTAATGCTAAAAAAATGTAAACTGCAAAAAAAATCTATTCATGTGACACCTTTCAGACCTATTAATTGATTAAGGCTCTTTTTTGTGCTGTTAATAGGCTACATACATCTTGTACCAGAGACTCCATTACTTTCCAGCCCCTACATCAAAATGTAGCCTTTAATTTGGTATTTAACAAAGAAAAAATGTTTTACTTGGTGTGTCAGGAGTGTCTGTGCTGCATGTAGGACTTGTATCCTCTGTGTCTTCTTTTTCTCTTCTTTTGTTTTTTTCTCCTCGAGAAGAAAAGGTTTGAGTGATTGTTTTCCAAATAGCAGTCCCTTTTTCAGAAGTGGGTGACTTCTGTGAGATGTTTTCTTGGCACTTGCTCTCTTCATTCTCTGCCATTCTGTCACCAGCTGGTATACTATATCACAGACAAGACACTGCAACTGAAATGTATTTTACACTCTCAGAACAAAGGTAGCAAACTGTCACTGGGGCAGTAGCCCCTCTTGTCACTGAAGCGGTACCCTCAGGGCGTACATCTCAGTACCTCAGGGAACATAATTGTACCATAATCCATTGAAATTATATTTTCTAAGTAGTATTGTCTCCACACACCCCATCTCGTCTCCAGGCTTTTATATAATTGTTCTGTTTTAAAACATTTGGTTATGAAAAGGTACAAATACATACTTTTCACCTGGAAAAACTTATTTAAGGTACACAATTGGACCTTAAAACCACTGTTGTACCTATGAGGGCACATTTACTTTGTTTGTACCTTGATGAACGAAAAATGTACCTGCACAGAACCTTTATTTCTAACAGTGCATGGTGTAATCTAATAGACTAAGACCTTTTCACTGCAACAGAAGTGTGTGTTGTGCAACAGCTCCATGTCACCTCACACCAAATTTTCAAAAAGCCTTTAAAATGAGTGTAAAGTAATGGAGGGTGATATGGCAAAAATACAATATCATGATGTTTCAACAAATTTTCACAATACATGAAATTTCAAAATATTTACTTTTACTGACATCTGATAAGTTGGAACAGATAAATAAGAACCAGCAGTGCCTATTTTTAAAAAGTACTATCATAAACGATAAATACAGTAGTTTGTATTGAACGTATCACATAATACGCCACACAAATTAAACATGACTAATTATTCTCTCTTCTTAATGAAATCTGAAGTTGTTCAGTCTTTTTTAAGTATTCACAATACGCACAATATGTTCAGAAAAATGTGTTGTGACATATTTTAATAATTTATTATGATACTGTTAAATATCCCAGCTAGCAGGGAACGTTCCCCTAACTTTGGCTAACGTTACCTACAAGTTCTAACAATGTTTAAAGAAAACATTTTAATCTAATGTTCAAACAATGTTTTAATGATGTTTAGCATTTCAAATAATGCTCCTATAAGTTTACATGTTAACTAAGACATAATGTTTTAACTGCAACATTTAGAGGTGGTTTGACGATGTTGTCAGGCCCACAGATTATGTTAAATGATAATGTTTTCAGAGAACGTTCCCAGAAAAACATTTTGGGAACAGAAAAAACGTCCCACTGAAAACATTAACAGAGTGTCACAGGAGATCATTATTTATGTTTCTGTAGTCGTTCGTTTCCATGGTTCCTGTTTTTTGTGCATGTGTGGCTGATTTTAATTGATTGACCTAGCAACTAGCCACCTAAGGCAGCAATGATGAGGAGTTATAAGATATTATATATTTCACTACTTTACCTAATATTCCTTTGGATCAGTATAACTTTAGTTGAGTTATCAGTGTAACAGTGAAGTGTTCAAAAATGATCATATAGGCTGTTTTAAAATCAGTTCTCACCACTACAATAGTTTAATGTGTATCCTTTACTGCAGCTTCTGTTTTTACATGTACAGAAAGCCTGAGTTAACCACAAGTTTTGTTATTGTTCCAATGGCAAGCACAGCTGTGCTCCCTTTCAAAGTTATTAAACCCAAAAGACATTTTTTTTCTCCAGGTAGTGCCTCTAAAGTCAAGATTACACATGACCATATACTGCATGTTCCAGTTTATAAAGTAGACAAGTTTTAAAGCCACAATCAGGAGCACGTTAAGTCTTTGTCAAAGCACAGTAAGTCTTCACAAAAAAAATATAGCTGGGAATGTGATGTTGATAAGCTCTAAAGTAATGGTAGAAAATCTATGAACAGCATATTACTGTCCCTAAGTGTCACAGGAGATCACTACTTACGCTTCTGTAGTCATTCGTTTCCATGGTTCCTGTTTTTTGTGTACATGTGACTGATTTTAGTTGATCGATCTTGCTAAATACCATGTTTATCACCTCTGCTCTTGTGTTGATTCTGCATTTCTGCCTTTGTTCTCCTGTTTTGTATTGAATCTGTGTTCTCGACCCTGCCCTGTTATTGTTGTAATTGTTATTGTTATTTAATTTTGGTTTTCATCTTTTAGACAACCCTGATTTTGTCAATAAAACTGCAACAAAAAGATTGTTTCCCTTATTCTGTCTCAGAGTCCTCAGTCGCTATATTTTTTAAAAGCCAGGGACGCTTGGCGAAAGCCCCATGGCCCGAGGTACATTTACTCATACTGCTGAACGTCAGCTCATCCGTCTCAACAGAGCACACTTTCTTTCTAGTGTATTTAGGAATAATCTTTCATGTTTGAAAAGTTTTAAAGCAAGAATACAAGATTTTACCTAACATAGACGTGGAAAATCTCACCTGAGATGTGTTCCCTGGCTGGCAGATGTGATTTACTTTCACTTTCATTTATTTTCATTTACTTTAATTTCCTTATGTAGGAACAAACATTAGGCAGGTCAGGACAAAGCAAAGGAGTGATATTTTGAATCATTTTTAAGGGAAAAAAATCAAGCATGTAATAACAGACGAAACTTGTCCTGCCAGGCCATGAAAAGCAAAGCAACTAAGCATTAATTCTATGTTATTTGTTAATCATTTTATTAACCATTAGCACTGTTTATACATGACAGAACTGGAGGTCACTAAGATTATGACAAAAAAAAAAAAAACATTGGGCAATAACAACTAGCCACCTAAGGCAGCAATGATGAGGAGTTCCAATAAGACATCATATATTTTACTACTTTACCTAATACTTCTTTGGACCAGTATAAGCTTAGCTGAGTTATCAGTGTAACAGTAAGTGTTCAAAAATCATGATATAGGCTGTTTTAAAATCAATTCTCACTACTACAATAGTTTAATGTGTATCCTTTACTGCAGCTTCTGTTTTTACAGCCTGAGGTAACCACAAGTTTTGCACGTTTTGTCTTTTTTCCGATGGCAAGCACAGCTATGTTCCCTTATAACTTATCCCTGAGTTATTAAACCCAAAAGACATTGTTTTCTCCATGTAGTGCTTCTAAAGTCAAGTTTACATATGACCATATACAGTGTGTTCCAGTTTATAAAGTAGGCAAGTTTTAAAGCCACAATCAGGGACATGTTAGGCCTTTGTCAAATATGTGAAAGCATAGTAAATATTCTTAAACACTTTCAGACGCCACACTTCCCTGCTAGAAAAACCAGCATAGACCAGCGTTCCTGGTCACCAGCAAAACCAGCATACGTTGTGTTTTCGATGACCACACTGGGTGACCAGCTAAACCAACACCAGACCAGCACTACCCTGGCAAAACCCCCCATAAACCAGCTTTGAGCAGCCTGGCATGCATGCTGGTCTGTGCTGTATTTTTTCTAACCGTCAACTCTAAGGGGGTGGAAATGGGAAGTTTTTTTCCACTACTGACCATAAAAAGAAAACCACAGGCTATACTGACCATCTCTGTATTTATCTTCTCGTGTCTCTGATACTCCGATTCAGAACAGCACTCTTGAGATTTGAAGAGAAGCAACATAATCTAATCCCTCCGTGCTTCAGATTTTTAAATGGCGTGGATTTTAATCTAAGTCACCCAACCGGGCATGACTTTAATGATTAACTCAGTCAGTGCTGCGACAGTGCGAGGTGATTTCCAGAGGTCACTTTAAAAGCTCACAGGTGCAGTGAAAAGCGAAAGGAATTGAGCAGCTGAAGGTTTCAGGTGACCGGAGTTCTTACCTGGCGGAGAAACTACGACGAAAGCCGGGATTCATGTAAGTGTTAGACACTCACATCTCACAGGCTATTCAGATACCAATTCAAACCAAAATCATCTCAATGACTTCGTTAGTCGTCATAACACAGGATTAGCTCGTTGCTACGCTCGGCAGTGGCTGCTACGCTCACCTGTTCAAGGTGACTGTGACTAACTCACTGGAGTGTATGTGCAGTTTAAACACACACAGGACGCGTTGTTTAGTGTCAGCGCTTTCAGTAAAGCTCATCTGCCTGGTAGGTTTCTACAGTAACTAACCCACAGTTGCCTAATGTGACGTTTCGGGGACTGACTGGTGGTTAACGTGGAGGGATATTTAATCTCGTAACATGAAAGGAACTTAACCTGCAGCTATGCAGTCGAGGGCTGTGAGTGGAAACTGCTGCAACATTACTGCAAGGCTTATTGGACTTTCCAGAGTTCTTTAAAGGGCCAATATCCTCCATTTTACTTATGTTCTATTTCTGCCCCTAAACCCAAAATTAGTCGCAGTTCATTTCTACATGTATACAATCTCTGTTCTCATTGACTACTGTGTGTTGTGCCTCGTTTAAAAAAGCAGCTCAGGCTGAAACAACTCATATAGCTTTACCATGGGCTAATCTATTGTAAAATGCATAGGCGAATGTGTGTTAATGCATTGGTTTTCGTGACATCACAAAAACAGTTCAAAGCGGGCTGTTTCTACAGCTTCTTTTCCATCATGTGTGGGCTGTATGGACTGAGGGACAAAAGGAAACTTAGGTTTTTTAATGGTGTCGGTCCCTTTAAACAACAACAACAACACCAACAACAACAATAATGATAATACTAGTAAAAAAAGACAACAATTAAAACAGTTATGTCAACAAACAACCTCTTCAAAAACCTTTTTTTACCATTTTTATAAAACCTTATATACATTAAAATGCATCTCAGCATGGTTTACAGCACAAAGACAAAGGGGATAAATGAGTAAACAGAAATGTACAATGTATACATGGATATTCTAAAAACTAAAAGTAACAATAAGAAATATCAAGGATTAAATAAAAATAAGTAATGAGACAAAAGATATAGAAAGAATCTAATAAAATAGAATAAAAATAAATAAAATGAATTAAAACTAGGTACATAGAAGAAAAGCTGCAGTAAAAAAATATGTTTCAAAATGCTTTTTAAAATTGCTAATGGAAGATACTTGTGTATGTCTTGTGGGAGGGAGTTTCACAGTTTGGGAGCGTATATACTAAAAGCAGCCTCACCACTTCTTTTATTTTCTTCTTAGAACAGAAAGTGTTTGATGATCTTAGACATTATTGTGGAGCTTATTCAGTTAGCCAATCTGACCTATAAGAATGTGGTTGTCCATTAATGGCCTCTAAAAACAAAGAAAAGGATTTTAAAATGCATTCTGCATTGAAGAGGAAATCAATGAAGTGCTGCCAACACAGAGTTAATATGTTCATTTTTTCATATTCAGGTTAGACCTCCTGCTGCTGCAGGCTCTACAAGCTGTAATTTATGTATATTCTTTTTGGGTAAGATAGAGTTATGAGATTTAAAAAGTACTGTTATAATTACGTTGTCAATGAGGCTTAAAATCTGAGTCAGTGTCAAGGATAACACCCAGATCTTGCACTTCAGATTTAATGTAGGCTGCCAAACTTCCTAATTTGCTCACAAGTTTAGCTCTATGTGCAGGAGATCCAGTAAGAAGAATATCAGTGTTTTGTCTTAATTCATTTTCAAGAAACTGTTGCTCATCCCTGCCCTGCGATGGACTGGCGACCTGTCCAGGGTGTATCCTGCCTTCCGCCCACTGACAGCTGGGGTAGGCTCCAGCACCCCACCGCGACCCAGAAGGATAAGCGGTTTAGATGATGGATGGATGGATGGATGTTGCTCATCCAATTTATTATGCTTGATATACTGTTAACTATCTAATCAACAGCACCTATTTCACCAGGTTCAACAGAAATGTAAGGCTATGTGTCATCCACGTAGCTTATAAAAATGAGATTCTATCTCAGACTTACTACTTAATAATTATGACTTAGTATCTCATAATAATGGCTGTCATAATAATGAGTTAGTATCTCATAAATCTGACTTAGCATCTCATAAAAATTGTCTCATTATGAGATAGTAAGTCAGTAATTTGAGATATTAAGTCAGAATTATAAGACACTAAGTCATTATTATGACATACTGTGCAGCCTTTTTTTTCAAGTGGCGGAACCAGGCTTCCATAGTGACCTGATCTGAAGCCTGACAGAATTTATATTCATATATTTTGGAGGAAAACATTTAGCAGACTGTGTACCTCTTTCTCCATAATTTTGCCCAGAAAGGGAAGATTGGAAAGAGATTGGCAGAGTCGGAGCTGTATGTCTTGAGAAGCTGTCTTACAGCAGCCATTTTAAGAGAGTCTGGGAAGCATCCTGATTCTGAGGAACTGTTTACAATATTTAAAGTAGTGTTACAGAGAGAATCAAAAACCTGTTGGAACAGGATCTAGTGTGTATGTAGTGGATTAACAAAATAAAGCTCAACTTCATTCATTTTATTTAAAGCATTTAGAGTATAACATGGTGGGTTGTTGGGCCCAACACACTACTTCCCACAAGCTGGATGCTAGATTTAATATGAATTATTTGATTTTATAAAACCATGCATATTCCACACTTTTGGACAAGGATTCCTCAGTCACTGTTGGTGAGGGATTTAAAAGCCGGTCTGTGGTAGAGAATGAAAATCTGTTTTTTTTTTTTGTCTGTAATAATCTTTAAACTCTAAGTACTGCTGTTTCTCAGAGCACACTGCCTTGTTGCACAGACCTATAGAATTTTTAGAATTTCATAGTGTGTTGTTAGTCTCTTTCTCCAGAGTCAAAGGGCTTTTAGGTCAGTGTGGATCATGTGCAGGACATAAGGTCTCCAGAGTCAGTAAAGTGGTTGAATTTCCCAAGCTTCATTTTACATAAAGGTGGTAAGGCACGAACCTTCAGGATTGCAAATTCAAAAACTGGCAAGTTTGGTCATGCACTGTCAGGGTTAAGATTGTGCTGCTGATAGATGAGAACCCTTACACGCTCAATTTCTTTTTCTCGAAGTGCACGAGCGCAGAGATTGCGAAATGTTTTGGCCTGCCTCAACCTTACTCTAAGAAAGAATTTTTTTTTTTTCAACTCAAAAGACCGAAATGTGATCCCACTGACACTCTCATAATGACTTTAATTACAGTAATAACCAAATAAAGTACAACAGGTACTGAATAATAAGTCAGTAATATATTACTAATAATATAATATACCATAATAATAATAATAATAATAATAATATACAATCCTGCACAAAAGTCATTTGGAATATGATAAGTTAAAAAATGAAAATGAGTAAATGTTTATTTGTTTAAAAATACTAACAATATAATAAATACAAATAATCAATTAAACACTACATGTGTGTCAGTGTGTTAGATTCCAAAGCTCTCCTTGACGAAGACCAGTATTACAGTTACCATCCAATATATAGTTTATCTAATCAACTCTTCATTAAATTAAACCTGATGGAATTTAACAAATCCTTGCAATGGCTGGAGTACAGTGAGAAGTCAATAAGTTAACTTGTGTTTTTTTAACTGTATTCATACATATTCATCTATTTATATAGTTTAATAAAGAAATCCTATCAAGATTTACTGTATCTATGTTTATTTGTGTCTGTTTCAATGTTATAAAGTGTTTTTACTGGCAAAAATACACTGCTGAGATAAATAGTTTTGAGACTTTTATGCAGCACCATATATATAAATCATTCTACGTTGTTTTTGTGTTACATGTAGAAAATAAAAAATGGAGCTTAGGAACTTACGGGTTAAAACTGTGGAAAATGTAATCAGTTCATGCAATCTTTTGGTACATTTTTGTACCTTCCTGCCTGCCTCTACTGCAAAGCAGTGAGGTGACATATACATGCCCCTCCTCTCAGGTAAAATAGCATGTTGTCAGTAAACAAAAAACACATGATCACAGTGTATCTGTTGACAAGAACAACTTACTTCATTCTCACAGCCAGGTCAACTGTTCAACTCGCTTCATACCAAGACTGATCATTTTGGTGTAACCTGTTTATTAGTTTTTTTTAAAACAAAATTGATTTATCTTAATCTTTCACATTCCTGTGGGTCACAGGCCTATCGCTGACAGAATGGCAGATAATGGAAGAGGAGAGGCAGATGGAGCCTATGATGTGAGTGAAATTCCACCTTGGGATGAGGGCTCACACTCATTTGATACGATGGAAAATAGCAGAGCACAGATAAACGTCAAAGAGAAGAAACACGGAGTTATTGAGTCATTCAGAGGAAGCCTCAAACGAGTTGGAGAAAAAAGCCCTCTGTCCCTGAAATACAAAGGCTCAAAGAACAAAACAGAGATAGGGAACACCTCCGACTCTCAGGTGCATCCTCCACCTTCACCAAGTAAGTGGCAAATTGCAAAAGCGCTTTGATCTTCAGATTTTGTCTTTTCTCAAGGTCAGGAGTAGAATAAGCTTGACAGACAGACAAAGTGGCGACCTCTGGTGGAGGTGACACTGTGTAACACGAAGGGTCCTGCTCTGAATAAGCAAAGGTGCCATTGACCAAAGCACTGAAAATCAATTCAGACATGTAACATGATTCAGCACATTTTACATGCAGGTGGTCCGCTCCAGAGCCCACAGAGCCGGAAATCTCAGCCCTCACATTCAAGAACTCAGTCAGGTAAACCCAAACAAACATCAGGAGGTATTGAACAGATTCCTTACCCTCACACCCAACAACATTCCAAAACCTGCCCTTAAAAATACACCAGCTTTTCTTTTTGATTTTTTTTTTTTCACTTCTTTGTTCCTCAGTGAGGCATCATTCTGATGTAATACGTTTAAATGGTCCTTTTCATTCATACACAGATTCAGTGGTTCATTCAGGAGGTGAACTGCCTAAGAAGCGTGAACCTGGAAGATGGAGTTTCCGTATGGGGAGTAAGAAAGAGAAAACAGCATCCCTAACACCCAAACAGGAGCAGCTGGAGGTGGTCACAGAGGATTTGATCTCAGCAGAGGAGATGATGCCAGAGGTTACAGGAGGAGCAGTGGAGGAAAAATGGTCATACACACTACCAGAAATACCTCTAGCTCCTCTGTCAGGTAATTGAGGTTAATAGGTTCCCCTATCCCTTCTGTTCTTGTAAACAAAAAAAGGAAATTAATGTTCTTATGTTCTAATGAGTTGACTTTCAGGTTTTTTCTCAGTTCTAACCAATGAGGCCAATGCTAAGCTTATATTAGTGTTTTAACTATGCCATTTGAGAGCCACTGAGCCCTCTCTAGAGTAGTAGATGGGTCATATGATTGTTGTTTATCCCCACCAGTCTAATTGCTCTGTCTTGCTATGTCTCTCTTGCCTATCTGTATGTGCAGTAATGCAGATTAACAAGCTCATTGAGATGGAAGTTTTGGAAGAGGCCTATCTGAACCTGCTATCCTTACAGTTAGAGTTTCAGCGTGATCGGGAAGCTCCAAGTGAGGAGGCCTCTTCAGTGGAACTGTCCCATAAAGAGAAAGACTTGAGTCTTCTGTACAAGGCCCTGAGGACCAAACTGAATGATATTGTCCGACAATCTTGTGCCTTGCCCTCCCGCAACAAAGAGCTGCTTGTGCTCGTCGCCTGTATCATCCAGGAGGAGGAAAAAAGAGAAGGAGATCTGGGGGGGATGGGGGAATGGAGAGAGGCATGGAGGGCTGCAGTACGGGAAGGGTTGGGGGACACACTCAAGGGAGTTCACCTGGACAGCCATGAGCAAAGCACTTCCTGGTTGCCGGTACACTTGGGACTTCTGGGTAAAGCAATTGTGGAGGACTTAGAGAAAGTGAAGACAGAGCTTGTCAGCTCATACCCACCAAGCTTTAACGTGTTTGAAACCTACGTATCATCTTGCCATGAGGTTGTAGGAGAACACTTGAAGGGGCTTCTGGGGAAAGTGACAGAGACAAAGGACTACTATGCTCTTCTGGATTTCATTATTCACCGCTACCAGAGGTGAGGAACTTGTTTTTTAGTAGTAGAGTTCTTTCTGGGGTAGTTATAGGGATATCATCAGATGAAATGCAGCAAGAGTGACCAATATCACCATAGTGGCTCTGTTAAAGCATCTATTCATTATTAATCATTTACAGACGTAGTATAATCTTTATAGAACAACTTTAATATCTGGTATTATATTTGCCAGAAAATTTAGTACAGTATAAACTATGCGCTCACGGTTAGTGCGAAATGGGTGATCATAAAGGCCAACATTCCCATTTCAAGACAAGTTCTGTCCTTTGTTATTATGAGAGCACTTTAGCATAGCTATCTTTATCTGTGTCATCTGTGTTTACAAAGCAAACTTCCTATTCTCTGTAAATTTTACTCCTAGTGAATAGTGTATTTGGACATATAGCATGAAAAACCAACAGGATATAGTGTCCTGGTTTTCCATATACTTCACCCAGAGCTGCTTTGGGTATTGTTCAGGGGGGAACCATGAGCCTTCAGAGAATGCCTAATGAGTTCTCTGAAATATCTGTATACATGTCTGTAATTTTTGTAATAGAACTTTAGTAATTATTTAGTAATTATTGTTATGTTTTTGTAGAAAACTTGAAATACTTGAACCACCCAATAGAAAATTATTCAATCAGTATTTTTTTTACCATGGTATCTAGATAGATACAGCCATGCTAGCTTTCCCATGGGTTAGGCCTTCAAGAGCTGGACTGAAGGCCTAATGTGACAAATTATCCACCAAAATAATCAGGAACTAACAGTGGAATCAACTAATCATGTTTTGATCTCCAATAGGTGGGACCAATTCAGTCATTTAGTCTAACCAGGTTTCAGTCACTTATTAGAAATGAAAAATAGCAGTGGCTGCTTTACTGAAAGAGCCACTATAAAACTGCTACATACAAAGTAAAATATATGTTAATATCTGTTACAAGCTTTAGATAAAGCAGGGAATGTTTAACCCCTTAAACGGCCAGGACCCACCGCTGGGCCCAAAGTTTTATTACACACTTCTATAACCTAAGACTAGCTCAACTAGTTTGCTAGTACCTGTAATTACTGAATAATAAGCCTTAGTATGTAATAAGCGTGTGATTTTAAGGGGTTAATCTAGAATGACCAAAAATTTATTTGCGAATCCCTCTACTGTACCAATAGAGGTGCTAGCAAAAATTAGCATTATTGTAGAGATGTTTTTTCCTTGTTTTCGACTGGGTTTTGACATTTATGGCCTGAACTTACGGTCAGAAGGTCATGCTCTAATAGCTATGGTTTGCCACTGTTAGTCTGCTGCATTTCTGCTACGTTTTGTGCCAACAAGTCTCTACTGCTGGACAAAGAGTCACTTTGAAGGCTAGGGAGTTACTTGAGAGTGTCCCTGAAGAAATGGTTTTGCAGAGCATTGTGGTATTTGTAGTATTTTAAGCTATGCTCTACAAAGTCTTGTTTGGGCATGGTCTTGCCTTGTTAATTTCTACTGATTCAAGAAAGTCAGAATTTAAGAATTGATTCAAATATCTCAGAAATATTTTTTAAGTGGTGTAGTTCTTCTTCAAGGCATCATGTACAAACAGATACAGCTATTTCTTTTGCTTAAGAATGATTGCAGCCTAGCCAAAGTACCGCTTACATTATATTGAGGAACACAATGCATGTATGAAGAGCATACTTTAACACTTCAGTAAGGTACTGTTTCATGAAATTTCAGAGCAGAGATGATTGCCCATGTCACAAAATAAGATCTGATGGTTCATCCAGTAAACACTGTTTATGTTTGGAGTAGTTGGTGTGCTGTAGAAATCGAACCATTTTATCTCCTTGTTTATTTAAGGTTTGTCTGTGTGTTTCATTGGAACTGTGAAATGGGTAGATAAAGTTTGCAAATATACTGTATGGACAAAAGTATTGGGACACACCTCCTAATGATTGAGTTCAGGGGTTTCAGCCACACCCATTGCTAACAATTGGATAAAATTAAGCACATAGCCTTGCAGTCTTGATAGCTTGATAACTTGATGAGCTCAGTGACTTTACATGTGGCACTGTCATAGGATGCCACCTTTGCATCCTATGACAGTGCCACATGTAAAGTCACATGTAAAGTTTGTGAAATTTCTGTCCTGCTAAATCTGCCCCATCAACTGTAAGTGCTATTATTGTGAAATGGAAGCACTTAGGAGCAACAACAGCTTAGCCACGAAGCAGTAAACCACGCAAACTCACAGAGTGGGGCCAGCATGATCGGAAGTGCACAGTGCCTATGCTCTGTTGAATCACTCACTAAAGTGTTCCAAATTGCCTCTGGAAGCAATATAAGCAAAAAACCTGTGCATCAGGAGCTTCACAAAATAGGTTTCCATGGCTGAGCAGCTAACCACAAGCCTAAAATCAAAATGCACAATGCCAAATGGGGGGGGTGAGGGTGTAAACACACCAGCACTGGACTATGGAGCAGTGGAAACGCATTCGGTGGAGTCACGGATCACGCTTCTGTATCTCGCAGTCTGATGGACGAGTCTGGGTTTGGTGAATGCCAGGAGAACATTACCTGCCTGACTGCCTTGTGCCAACTGTGCCATTGTGCCAGCCAAATGTGTGGTGGAGGAGGGATAGTGCTATGGGATTGTTTTTCAGGGGTTGGCCAAGGCCCCTTATTTCCAGTGAAGAGAAATCTAAATGCTTCAGCATACCAAGACATTTTGGACAATTCTATGCTTCCAACTTAGTGGGAACAGTTTGGGGAATGCCTTTTTCTGTTCCAGTATGACTGAGCCCCAGTGCACACAGCAAGGTCCATAAAAGCATGGCTGGGTGAATTTGGTGTGGAAGAATTTGAGTGGCCTGCACAGAGCGCTGACGTCAACCTCATCAAAGATCTTTGGAATGAACTAGAATGGAAATTCAACATCAGTTCCTGACCTCTTCTGGATGAATGGGCAAAAATTCCCACAGACACACTCCAAAATTTTGTAGAAACCCATTAGGCTGGAAGCTGTTATAACTACAAAGAAGGGACCAACTCCATAGTAATGCCTATGGATTTAGAATGTGACGTCATTAAAGCTCCTGTGTGTGTAATGTGAAGGTGTCCCAGTACTTTTGTCCATACAGTGTATGTCACAGTGTAATTTCTTTAAATAAATAAATAAAAGTTTGTTACAATGATTTTGCTCTACTTAAATCAGACATCACAGCAGAAATAATGATTAATCTGACAGTGTTGCACTTTATGCAGCGAGAAGGTTATGGGCAGCATTTCTTTGCAACCAGAACTGAAAGAAGAGCAGCGAACTCTGACACTGGATAGGGATTTCCTAGACCAGATCAAGACTGGATACTGCAGTCACTTACAGGTGAGATACAGGGGCAGACCGGTTGTGCTGAAGTTGCTTTGTACAACTGAAACAAACCCAAAGTGATGAAATTCCACATACAAGTCTCTCTGTTGATAACAGGCAGATGTGAGGTCATCCCTGGATAAGATAATTGAACTGGAACACGAAGAGATGTGGAAAGACAGCAGACAACCAGATATTGATGAAGACCTCTACAACTCTCACATCCACATGGACATCTGGACGGTGAGGCCAGATGATCTGCCCACTTCTATAAACATGATTTAACTTTCACTTAGTAGGCAGTGTGGGAACCCCCTGGTTTCCCTTCTCTTATGCAAACCACATGCAAAGCAACAGTTTCCCTGTTGGGGGCATTAATGGTCCACAGTGGGTACACTAGAGTAAGGGCCTACTGTTTGCTTTTATAACTTAATAGCATTCTATTTTTTTCCTTCAGAATATAAAGGGGAAATTTCAGGCAACCAGAGGGCTTGATGTGAACCTGGAACAGAAAGTCATGTGCGCTTGTCTTGACGAGCTGAACAAGTTTCCAAGACGGTATTTACTTTCTCCCCATCTAAATATAAATTCTGCTGAATGTCCCCTTTACTTTCATTTTCATTTGCCTTTTCTCTGCTGGCATCAGACTCAAATGGGATTTTACATGGATTGTTTCCAAACTCTGTAAGGTCTGGTAAAAACCTCAGTCTATGAGCTCATGGACAGCTTTTACAAAATCAAAACAGCAAGCGTTTAACAAAATCTCGTAGGAAGTCTGTATTACATATGCCAGTGGATTTACACTTTTCACAGTACAAATCAAATTACGTTACAGAAATGTGGGATTTCCACCCACCAACTATTGAAATATTTTCAATTGTCCTCCTTTTTCTCTCTCTCCCTCCCCAAAGGTTTGAGTCAGCCTTTGTTCAGTGGAGCAGTGCTGTTTTGGATTCCTCCCTGTGGGCTATTTATCACATCACTTATATCAACAGCTTCAGTGCACTGAAGTAGGTGCCATGTCACACACTGTAAATCCCCAACATTAAATCAATTTGAAACATGTTGCAATGCTGCAAAAGTCCCACAAATTCAGATCTGGTGCATAAGTACAGTACAGTGTGTAAGTATCTGGACACTTTTTAAACTCCATCCTTTAATGTCATTGCATTGTTAGTTCATGCATAACAGAGCTGTCTAAAGGTGGGAATTTGGGTGCAGTGTTTTCAACTGGGGGTTCCTGCTGTTCTCTTTCAACATTAGGCGCAAAAAAGTGTCAACATTCTTAAAAAATAATAACGCATTTAGAGCGATGCGATACAGGGGTTCCCAATCCCAGTCCTGGAGACACCACGATTCGCACATTTTTGTGTTTCCCCTCATCTGTCACACTTGATTCAACTTGGTAACTGATTAACAAGCTCCTCATGCACTGGGTCAGGTTTTTAGAGTAGTTAAAATAAGCAGAGCATGAGGTGTCCATGACTAATTTTGGGAACCACTGCTATAGAAAGTCCCAAAAAGAGCCTTTTAATGGATTCATTAAACTATCAGAAATAGTAAACAACAGGCAGAGCTTGGCAAACGAGGGTAGTAAAAGATAAAAACTGAATGGATTGCTTGCAAGGATGTAGCTATAAGTGTGGCAAGATCACACAGAGGTGTCAAGGACTACCATTAAAATTAATCAGCATAACCCAAAATGATTTACCATAAGATGTAAACTGGTAGGCTTCGAGAACAAAAAACTTATTGACAGATGTGATGTAGATTAACCTGCACCAAACTGATGGAAGGAGGAAAGTGTTGAAAACAAAGGAACTGCTGATGAAAGCAACACAAACCACCCTATTTCGGAAACATGTTGGCATGGGCATGTACTTATGTATCCCAGTGGAAATGGCTCACTGTCTTATTGATGATATCACTGCAGTTATACAGAAGCGTCTTAACTGCTCAGAGTGCCTCAAAATCCAATTGTATTTCACCTTGTAGGGGAACAGTGACCCAAACTGCACTTCTAAAAAGTGTAATATTCTTGAGTGGACTAAAGATAAAACCAAACTGGAACTATACTGAGCTGCCGTGTACATCTGAGGGTGCTTGAAACAACATTTCTAAGAAATCTGATAACACACTGAACATTTTACTTTTAAAATTCTAATTCACTTCATTGTGAAATGTATTCAGCAATTTTAAGACAACTAGTCTCATCATTCCCTAAAGGTGGAGTCAGCGATTCTGGAGAAAGATTGTTGATTCTTGAACTCCACAGAAAAACAATTACACCCCTCCCTTCAGTGCTACTTCAGAAGCTCTGCCCCCCCCCTTTCATGGACGCACATTGCCAAGGCGAACAACACTGGCTAGAAAACTTGTTTTATTAGATGCGTGGCCATAATACCCTTCGCAAATGTTATACAGACAAATACCATGATATAACCTTAAAACAAACAATGACACAGCAAGTAATGTAACCAATGTTAGATAGCAACAAAAGCTGGACCACTTTGTTTGTTTCCCGTTTACAGAGCCAAGATTGTATATAAACACTAGATTTTTTTCCAGTGAGCACACAGATCAAACAGCTAGTGAAGACTGTGAGGACATATTCGCTGAATTTGACAAAAAGTGTAGTGGATTAACATTGCTTACTGCACCTTTAATTAGCTAATTTTTATTCATGTTATTACTTAATTACTGTCATTACTTAATGTAATTATTATTTATATGTGCAAATTCAGTGAACTAGGACTTGGTTAATCACGTTTAACAGGCACTTTTAACAAGTAAGGCATTCAGTACAGTCATGAGCAAAGTTTTGAGTCGAATTACATGTTTTGTTGATTTTCTTTGTAAAACTGAGTTAACATGTTCTCTGTACAGAACACACTTCTGCACATTTTAATGCACAATAACTGTTTATTTACTGAATTTGACATTTTTGGGGAAAAAAAAACTAAAATATGGCCTGTGCAAAAGTTATGGCAAGTTTTATTTTTCCCAATACATTAGCAAATAAATAGAAAATGTACATTTATATTTGCAGAAAAAATGCATGTTTATGTTTGTTCCCGGTAGAAGATGTGTACTTATATTCATTTATGAAAACAACAAATCTGCAATTTAACCAGGGATGGTCAAACATTTGCGAATGACTGTATGTTTGTAGTTTGGAACAATCTTACCCAAGTATGACTACAGGATTTTGCAGTTTTTCAGTATTAAAAATATTTGCATTTGAGCAGTCAGGTTTTTTAGGAAAAGTAGGTAATGTATTTTAAGTCATATTGTATGTCTGGGATGCATAAAATGCTTTATTATCGCTAAGATGTATAATATGTCCCAGGTTTTATTTTTATGTGCATAATGAAGCAATTATCACAGAGAATTCTATCATGACAAGATGGACTGACTGGATGAATGAACATAAAGCAAATACTACAGTCAGCAGAAAAAGTGAAATAAAAAGGCATGAGGTCAGATAACAGCAAGCAGCATATCACAGGCAAAGGTAACTATACTTCAGGAAAAACAGATTCAGTACAAAAAGTCCAGACAGAGCTTGTCTTTATACTGCAAATCAATTTACAATGTAATGATTTATTAAGGCTACAGATAGGGCCTAATGATTTGGACACACTCATAGCATAGCAAAAAGGGGAAATTCAGAAAATAGGGCAATTAGTACTCAGATGTTGTTAATTACAGTCGTCTGTCACACTTGATTCAACTTGGTAACTGATTAACAAGCTCCTCATGCACTGGGTCAGGTTTTTAGAGTAGTTAGAATAAGCAGAGCATGAGGTGTCCATGACTAATTTTGGGAACCACTGCTATAGAAAGTCCCGAAAAGAGCCTTTTAATGGATTCATTAAACTATCAGAAATAGCAAACAACAGGCAGAGCTTGGCAAACGAGGGTAGTAAAAGATAAAAACTGAATGGATTGCTTGCAAGGATGTAGGTATAAGTGTGGCAAGATCACACAGAGGTGTCAAGGACTACCATTAAAATTAATCAGCATAACCCAAAATGATTTACCATAAGATGTAAACTGGTAGGCTTCGAGAACAAAAAACTTATTGACAGATGTGATGTAGATTAACCTGCACCAAACTTTTTTAAGTTTGAAGTTTGAAATTCAGAAAATAAGGCAATTAGTACTCAGATGTTGTTAATTACAGTGCTTAAATATTGACAAAAAGGTCTGCAGTATGATATTTGTAGTTACATTTATTAGCTGGTACAGAATGCAGAATGACATGAAAATGTTCAGAAAGAAGATGCCACTGCGCTACACAGGTACAGAACAGGAGAAGAGCTTACACTAAGGCTGTTAAGAGCTTCACTTTCATTTTAGAACATCACTTTCATAAGATTTTATTTTTTATCATGTGACCTAATAGAAACAACAATAAGTCAAATTTGTCATCTTGCTGCAAGTAGGGAAAGTCCCTAAAGGTAAAGTCTTTTAAATACATATCAAAACAGAGCACAGCAACCATGCAAACCAGTTTGGCATGTTTTGCTGATTGTTAGTTCAGTGTTGTTTTAGCAATTGACACATTCATTTTACGTATGAGAGAAAATCATTTGGAGAAGTTAACCTGTTCACTACGTTTAGTAAAGATGAGAATAAATGCCATTTTGTATTAAAAGTTTAGTTCTACAATGGATGCATGTATAACAGTATCTATATCAATGATTTGACCACATATAATGTTCATACCTTTAGTCACATTAGCATTATTTATTGTTTCGTTAAAATCAGTGGTCCCACATGACCAATAGACTGAATTAAATATGACAGATTAAGTGATAACTTTTTTGGGCCATATTGTTTGATCAGTTTAAAATATTTCTTTAGATTTGTGTTTAGGAAAGGCGGCTCAGAGAATATATGGAAATGTATTATTTCACATATGGACATTCATGGGTTAAAGGAGCACCAAAAAACAAAATAACTGTTTACTTCTCTGCTGTCTGCATTTAAATGCAAGCATTTTTGATAAATAAAAAGGATGTTATAGAATAACATAGTTGAATGGTGGGCTGTTTGTAGTCTATACTTGTCCCACCCATCATGAGTTCCAGGTGAAGTTTGGGTTTTGTTATGCTATAGAACTCAGCAGAGCCAATCTGAATGGTAGCTCTATCATGTAGTAGCCACTGTTGCGGCTTTGATGGGTAGACTGAGATAAAATGTCAGTGACTTCTTACTACGTGAGATGCAATAGAAACAGCACTGTAGAGCACATTAACAATAAACCATTACAAATCACATTCATTTGAAATTCTTATTTATGAGTTTGTGTGTCTTTTCACCTAGAGAGCACATGGAGGGCTACAGTGAGAGCTGTCCACAGCAGGTGGAACTGCTGGGCAAGGAGGTGGACGGACTGATCCACCGCCTGAGCCAGGCTTTGGTGGAACATTTTAAAACTGATGTTAAAGTGAGTGAAAGTACAAGAATCCTCCAGTGGTTTAGGATGTTGTAGAACAGAAATGCTTCCCTTACTTTTTTCAGAATGTATTTTTGATCCAATCAAAGTGACATTGTTGTTCTCGTGAGCTTGACTGTGCTGTATAGATGCTCATGTTCCTAATACTGGAAGAAATCCATTTGAAATTATATAAGTTAGGTATTCAAAACTTGTTGCAAGGTATTTATAAGGCTTAAACTCAGCCACCTAATACCACATAGGTTTTTGTCATGAATATCACAAGGCCTATTGCAAACTAGTACCGTGATTAAAAATCTCCTGAAGTCGCCGTATCTTCATACTGCTACACTCATGTACAGCTTGGTCTCATCTTGAGTCTTAGCACATTATATCATCTAGTTGCAATTTGGCTCAGTCACTGTGTAGGCCATTTTTCCATTGTGTCAGGATGTTGACTAGCTGAGTCAAGGTGGCCATGCTAATACACAGAACTTTCCTCACAACAACTTCTGTTTATCAAGTAATCAAGTGGGTTGTCAAGTTTATTAATCTGTTTATGCCTAAATATTTAGAAAAGTAATTGCCTCATAATATCTTCTGTTTGAACAAAGAGCTCAAATTTGGTGTCAGGCTACTTTGTGGCACTGCCTATCCAGCCAATATCTGGATATTTTTAAATAACTCTTTATGTTTCAAATCTCTAATATTGATCTTGCTTACTCAGTATTTCTAGAATGATACACAAGCAAACTAAAGTAGTCTTTTTTTCTCTCCAATATGTTTTAGTGTATTATGAGTTAAAGAGATGCATAAAATAGTATCAGTAATACTGTGACTGTAAAAGTAGTAGCTATAGGCCACATTCACAAATAGAGCCTGTCTTAGAGATCAGTATGAATCACATTCTAAGCATATAGTTAGATGAGCTGATGAATGAAGGAATTTTGACCTCCTAATGCTTTTTGCAGCCTTTTATGAGGAGGATGATGACGAGGAAGTGGCTATCCTCTGATGAAGACTTCCAACAACTAGCTAAGAGAATTGAAACTCTGTCTCAACATTGCAAACACATGAGTCCTCAACATGCACAGGTCTGAAGGTTTACATCTCTCTCTCTTTCTCTCTCTCTCTCTCTCTCTCTCTCTCACACACACACACACACACACACACACAAAACCACTGATGGATTGATGGACTAGGTTTGAACTGGATTAAATGACATGAGTGATTTCACTGCCATCTATAATGTGCCACACAAAACACTGCACATTATTATTATCTGACAGCAACAAGAGTGTGACCAAAATACTCTGGACAGTTTTTATCTGGTCATTTTCAATGGCAGAACATGCAAGAAAAAGGAAGTTTCAGGACATTTTTCAAATGGTCAGTTAGTCATAATGAAACTCACATGATCTTCATATCTACGCAATTGCACAAGACCATTATAAGATATTAGGAGATGTATGTGAAAGTGTATGGTTCTCTATTTTGTTGCTTAAAATGGATTGCTCTCATGGATGGATCTCATGGAAGTCATGAGATGGAGAAAAAAAAAAGGAAATTTAATTTCAGTAATTTTTCATAATAACACATTTTATAATACCTACAAAAGTATCATACAATATATATTCATCAATTTTTACATTACTTTCATTTTCCAGTGACCTCTTTATGTGTCTTTCATTTGTTGATCTACAGGAGCTTGTGAGTGAGGTGCATTACTTTGTGGTGAAGGAGTACATCTCGCAGCTGATGAAGAACAACTATTCATGCAAAAACAGGAAGAATGAAAGAGCAGGCTCTAAAATGAGCGAGCAGTGGGGTGAACTCAGAGAGCTCTTCCAGGAAATGGTACACCCACCACTGTTTGTTTTCTTTTTGCTTCTCATGGTCTGCAGTCTGAGGGGTTAAGTCAACCTACACATAGGTCATTCTGTTGCAGCAGGTTCAGATCCAGATCAAGTCCAGATAAAACAATACAATACCAGGATTTACACCTTGCAACAATAACATTAACTGCAGCAACACTTCACAGTGGTCTCTTTTTGCTAAATCATTCACTCTTACCAAACAAGTGTATTGTTCTTCACTTGGGGTTTGAACCACAGGCTACTCAGTGATAGAGTCCAAAAATTAAAGTATGAACCACTGTGCTATTGCCATATTCCTCTGATAATGTAATATGGTTTTAGGGTGTATTGACAGCACAATGGTTATGCTGTTGCAGAAGTTTCATGTGACCTAATAGCACTTTTTCACCAGACAGTGTGATATGGCCCAGTATAGTTACAAATCAGTGATCACACAGTTTGTTGTCACTGACCTGTACTGTAACCATAAAGCACTCATAAGTGCATTTGGTTACCCTACTTGCCAGGATACCAAGTGAACTGAACAATGACATATGGGTGGAGCTAGACCACTGATATGTCAAATTGCAATCCAATCATCAGAACTCCGTAGAACCCCAGCTACATTCACAGGTAGGCTTAAGCAATGATACAAAGGTAGATCTCTAGATTTAGAATAGTAAATGTACCATGCTGTACCACACTGATTAAAAAGTATTCTTAAAGTCCAAAATATTCCTAAAGACTCACACTGTTAAAAAAAACTATTTTTCTGTTAGGCTCCCCATAACACTGGCCTTTTCTATTATTGTTAATATATTGTTAAACTTCTGTGGTACATCAGTGTCATTGACAGAGCTAAAGTCCAAGGCCTGGGCTTAACCCACTGTTCTACCGCCATCCTCTCTTTCTGTAGTTCATGCTAACTGAATTAAGATAGATTTTACTAGTAAAAACCACGTTTTTGGCGTATCTTGAGCAAACACTGGTTACATGGTTATGTTCAAAGTTAACATTGTGGATTTACACAGGTTCCTGACAGGCGTTCAGAACTTCTGGTGAATTGCCAGTACTTTTGGAACAAGTTTGCAATTATACCTTACTCAATCAGCTGATACGGTTATATAAGAGCCCCAGCTGTAGTATAATCTTATTAAACCTTATGTAAGAAAGGAATACTTCTCTAGTTCAGATGTTATGTTAGTAAGTCACTTTTTGTTGCATGATTGTTTCTTTACCCCTTAAAAGGCCAGGGACCAACGATAGGCCTAAAGTTTTATTATGCACTTCTACAACCTAAGAATGGCTCAAAAAGTTTTCATTGGAGTCCCTGTAGTTACTGAATAATAAGCCTTAGTATCTCACTATAGTTCAGTGTTGCGGCTCGTGTTGCTTGCTGATTCTTGACACACTCCAAAAATCCCCCAAAATGTGATTGTCGCATTTTTTTATTACATTTAAAAATATGAAAGTGAAAGGCAGAACTGCAAAGGGTGATGCAATACAGATTTCATTATTAATTATGAGGAGGCTGTGGGAATGATGTTTTCAGCCGGAGAACTGGAGTTTATCTTTTTGTGTTTTGTTATGGTTGGACACATTTTTGTTAGAAATTTACTGAACATCTCTTTTTCTGATAAAATTTTGATTGAAATCTCTTTACAAATGCTTTCTGTGTACAGTGATGATATGCATACTACATTATCTTACAGTTGTTTCAATCATTCTCCATAGAATTCTGAACAGAACTGGCTCTACCCAGTGGGAGACCACCTGAGCAAGATTGTCGGACAGAAAAATAAGAGTGAAATAAAGAATAATCTAAAGCCGCTGATTGATGACTATCCAGACATCGGGTGAGGCCCCCATTTTAATCCATACATCATAGCCAGTGGTTTTCACTGCTAGATAATATACACCAAAAGCCATTGTAGTCAGCTAATCAGAACCCTCGAGTTTAAAGGATGTTGGGTAATTTACCACAGCATGACTAAAATAATAATTTATATATGTATGAAAAACACTTATTAATAATTTTGATATGCAGAAATGTGATATACCCCAAAAACTAAAAAGAGAAGGCCACACACTGAATTTCAGAAAAAGAATACATTATAAAATTTAATAAGAAAAAGTGATTTCAGGATTACAGGAGCACAAAAAAAGGACATAATTAAAAGAATGGATAGAAATACAAAAAATAATCTTAACAGGTTAACACATTTGCACAAACATACAAGAACTCAGCTGTAAAGGCTTAACTAAGGCAAACATGAAAAAAAAAGTAGCAGACTAAAACTCTTAAGAATAAAGATAAACAGCACAGTAAAATAAAAAGCCTGGAGACGAGACGGGGTGTGTGGAGTCAATACAACTTAGAAAATACCATTTTAAGGGATTATGACACAATTATGTTCCCTGACTGAAGGTACTGAGATGTCCCCTTGAGGGTACAACCCCAGTGACAAGAGCGGTACTGCCCCAGTTTCATACCTTTTTTTGAGAGTGTATTTAAATCTGTGTTGGGTATTCCAAATTGTTTGCTGACCTTCACTGACCAGATGAATAACAGTTTGCAAAACTCTTTATGGTTAGTTCTGGATGACTTGTCTGACTTCATTGCTTTTCTGTGCCAGCAGTAAATTCTGCTTCCACAGCTCTGTGCCACTTTTGCAACAGTTTGTCAGTGTAGGACTGAATAAATTGCTCATTTTTGAGAAACCCACAAATTTGTGGTTTTCACTCCTTTTTGTATTAATTAAGTGAAATCCCAAAAATCTATTTGACAGTCTGTAATGAGTCACTCATTCTTAGCGTAAACGGTAGGAGATCTCCTTCCACTGACCTGTTAATTACAGGAAATGCTCTGAGAGAGGATTTGGAAGGTGGGTCAGTGATGGAGCCTGGACTTTCCAGTCACATTCCCAGAAGTGACCGTTTATGCTACTGTGAATTCATTAAGCCAACAATGCATGCCATCCAAATTATGCCTCATGTATCTTTGTGTTGTTTCTCCATTATCAGTAAGAAGCATCTCTCAGCCGTGCTGTACTTCCGTGGGATGATCAGGGGCAGAGAGAGACAAGTGATCCTGCAGAAGCTTACCGAGCTGAAAAGGCTCCCCAGGAATGCTGGGGACATGCAGCATGCTCTCTTCGCTGAGATACAGCCTGCAGTGAACACAGACTGTCTAGCCAACATGCCTTTCTCCTGCTTCTCTGTCCTAATCCCAGAGAGCTAGTCATAGAAAATGCTGGGAATAATGTGTTGTTCTGTATGCTACACACTCTGTCTCATGGGTTCTCAACTAGACACATGCTGGTAATTACTTTTTTGTGAGATATCCTGTTTTAATCTCTTAGAATTTTACAGATGTTCACATCCTCAGTCTTATTATTTATGAAAAACAGTGTAAATTGATTGTGTTACTTATAAGCTTTAAGAGTTATTGAGTTATTATTAAGCCTTAAGAGGAAATTCTGGAGCCAGCACATTATGACTGGTATCAGATTGATTTTCCTTTAAGTTTCCAGTGGAGAGCCCCTACTATAAGTGTGTATTACACAGGCAATTGCAACAATAGTATCAGGGCTAGTATCTCACCTGCAGTGATTTTAGGACACCAAAGTGGCCCCACTTTCAAGAGGAAGGAAATGGTTAGATGTAAAGTATGCTTCCTTCCTGTCAGTGTGTGAACCAACAGTGAAGCAAACAGAATTTTACTAAGCTTAAACCACTACATCATGAGGATTTTAACTGAGAAACCCTGTTGATAGGGCCACTCCAGAGTAGTCTAACATATCATTGTTTGATTCTAGCTGAAATGAGCTCATTATTAAAATCTTTATTTATGCAAACACTTACTTGTGTATACAATAATGTAAATAAATATAAAAGGACATTTAGAGTTCTTAAATTAAGTCATTGCTTGTTGACCCTTTCATGCAAGAGCATGTCTGTAACTTCTGAGTGTTTTAGAAAATTCTGTGGAAGCTGTTGCTTTGCTGCTTTGAAATCCTTGACTGTAGCTTCACCTACACAAATAACATTACTGAAAGTTAAAGTAAACTGTAAGAATGATTTCTAATGCATTTGATAATCATAAAGTTCCTGTGTCTGTTTAAAAATGTGATATATTTCAGATTTGTCTGCCTTTAAAGTCACACAACAACCAAAATTAAGGAACAAGAGAATAAGAAAAACGCAATATCATAGCATAATGCCACACAGAAGAAACACAGGAAGGAAAGGGACAAGGACAGAAGGAAAGGGAGAGACGAGTTAAGGAAGGGCCTGCATGGAAACAACGGTTGCCAGTTTTACAGGTAGCATATCTGTCTGGATTTAAAGGAGGCACAAACGGGAATCAGCGGACATCCTGAAGTTCAGATGCAGCACTTTGATAATGACTCACAACCAATGTTGATCTCCACTCCTGCTGTACTTGAATACAGGAAGAGAAGAAAGTGGGCACAGACATCTTTTAGCATCCATAGGCTTCCAGTATTCTGTATCCGTACAAGATTTTCTGCAATATCTTCTGTGAAGTTTATACATTTATTTTCTACACTAGCCAACCAATTGCTGATGTAGCTGTACAACTTAGAGATGTATTTTGTCATTGCCGTAGCCATACAGTGAAGTAGTTATGAAGTAGTTAGTACATACAACTTTGTTTTAGAATGTATTTGAGTATTTATTGAGTATGTTGATCAATTTTCTCAAGTCTTTAAGTCATGGAATATATTTAGGAACAGCCCTCTCATGTATCATACTGATTAAAACCTGTGGTGGGGGACAGAGCACCTGCAGGTGTCTTCCCCATCTAACACTGACTTGGTTAAAGCAGATAGCTCTACACAAATTATATGTAAATCAGACAATCTACATATACAATTGCTAAGCTATTATAATGCACGCTTGGTTCAGAAACATAACTGAACACAGTGTCATTAGTGAGATTCAGTCAGCAAAGAAAGTGTCACTTGTGCGCATCCTAAAGATGTCAGCAAGAGTCACTCTCAGTCAGGCCCAAGACCCTAAAGGTTTCCAAATGGTTTCCAAATACATTCTAAAACAAAGTCGCATGTACTAACCACTTCATGACTATTTCAGTCTATGGCTATGACAATGAAAAAACAGCTCTAATCTAATTTGTACAGCTATATCAGCAAGTATATAGCAGCAAGCTATATCAAGTGCAGCAGGAGTGGAGATCGACATTGGTTGTGAGTCATTATCCAAGTGCTGCATCTAAACCTCAGGATGTCTGCTGATTCCCATTTGTAGCCTCCTTTAAATCCAGACAGATATGCTACCTGTAAAACTGGTGACTGTTGTTTCCATGCAGGCCCTTCCTTAACTTGTCTCTCCTTTGCCTTTTGTCCATGTCCTTTTCCTTCCAGTATTTCTTCTGTGTAGCATGATGCTGTGATATTGCTGTTTTGCCATTCTCTTTTCCCTTAACTGTGGCTGTCGTGTGACTTCAAAGGCAGACAAATCTGAAATATATCACATTTTTCAACAGACACTGGAACTACATAATGATAAAACCTGAGGTCAGCCATCCAAGAATAGCACAAAGAAATAAACAGTAATTATCCCATTTCAGCAGAATATGCTGTAAGAGTAAAGTTGAAATAAACAAGATTTCCTTTTTGTCTTGGGTTCCTTTTCTGATTATTCCTGTCTGTGTTTACATCTCCTCTTATTGCACAAAGTATGCTTTTATCTCATCTGGTCCAAACTTAGACTGTCCTCGACCCTGATGTTTTACAGCAATCTAGATGCTTTCTTTATAATCCTTCCTAATATTACAATTACAGATGGTGTGCCACTCCATTGACCTTTTTGGTGCCAGGTTAAGGACTGCAGGTGTTCATTTTGTTCAAGTCAGTAAAAATGATTTTTACCCCTTAAATGGCAGTTTTATTACACAAGCTCGGCCAGTTTGTAATGAAGTCCCTGTAGTTACTGAATAAGATTAATACGTAATAAGCCTGGGATTTTAAGGGGTGAAAATGAGTGGATGTCTTGCCTTTCCTTCCTTACAATCCTCACTGGATTACACTTACTGACTTGCCACCATTTCATATAATGATCACTCTAAAGCAACAACAGTGCTACATGTTCATGCATCAGAACCCCTTGTTGAACTATTACTGCCCTGAGCATGACAGTCCAGAGATGAAAGAACACCATCACAGTTTCCATTAAACGTTTTTTCTGTTTAATCTGTAATTTGGTGTTCGTAGCTCTAAAATTTAGGAAGGAGTAACATGTTTCAACACTGTCAGGAAAAGGGCACTTTACAGGTACATTTCAGTCCCTCAGGGTACAAACAATGTCAATGTCCCCCTAAAAGAACAAAATTATATGTAAGGCCCAATTGTGTATCATAAAGGTGCTCTACATTTATTATCCCAGTGGAAAGGTACATATGTAATGAAAAAGGGATAAAGGAAGAATAGAGGTGTGAAAGTAGAGGAGTGTTTTGCACTTAAGAAAGTGATCTTAAAAATGGAAAGAGCTGTGTTTTGTACAATAGAAAAGGTCTGTTATTTAAACTGTATAGACACATTCCCTAAATTGGTAGCTTCAATCAAGAACTTAAGACTGGAATAGTATAAACAATCCAGGGTGCATTTTGACTCCTTTCTTGAATTATATTCATATTCTATACATTCAGAATATATTCAGTGGGAACAGTCCTTTCACATGTCCACACAAACTGATGAAAAATCCTGAAACTGAGGCCATAAACAGTAATCACACCATTCTAAAAGTATACAGAACAAAACCTGGAAGTTGAAATGAATATTTCCTCTTTTTCAAGTCTTCATATATTCAAGTCATCCTCATATTGCACAAACTGTCTTCATCTGCTACAGGCTTAGGCTCTACTTGACCTTAATATTGCACAAGGGCTGCTCTGTGAAATCCCCCCATGATGAAATGTCTGTGTATGTGTTGGTGTGATATGAATCTCCAGCTCTCTTCATTGTCCCCAAAGTATCGAAATATCTGTAAATGTTGGACTTGATGATGCTGTACTGTGTGGATTTTTAGTGTGTGATTTTTTAAATAGAGAACAAGAAGACATTATTAGCCACACAAGCTCTTTTTGTGTTGCTTTAAAAGACTAAAACACTAAAACAGTTTTTTAAAGGGCGATGTCTTAAAGCTTATTGTCAGCTCTGTTTCCTGTCAATAAAGGTTTCAGAGGACAGGAATGACTTGTGGCAATAAATACATGTCAGCACTTCAACTGAATGACTGTTATGAGTAATGCAATTTTACATTTTCAGGAAATATTGCATTAAGTTTACACTAATCTTTATTTTAAACGCAGGTTTGTGCATCTACAGTTGACCTCTACTGCAGTGTTTGGGAAAATGGGTTGCAGAGATGAATTTTGTTAGCATCAGTGAGGCTTTTTTTTTCTTCTTCTTCGAGGACAAAAGCATTACGCACAAAGACACATGTGTAACCACAGCATAAACCTCCATCACATGACTTTCTATAAGCTGTGAAGCAGTTACACCAAACGTCTTTCACAAGAGAGGACTCCTGTGCTGTAATATGGCATCCTGCTTACCTTTCCTGAGGCTTTTAACCTATTTTCGCTCACAGCATCATAATGATGGTGATGAGGAGAAGGAGGAGGAGCAGGGTAAGAGCTTGTGTTAATCTGATATAGGCTTACATGTGGCAAATATTACAGTCTAGATTAGACTGGGTTAAAGACATCGACGTTGTTCATTAGCTGCTATAAACCACGTGTAAAACTCTTGAATATCCAGCCACGCCTACAGAACCGCTAAGCGCATGTAGGCCATTGCTCTGTTAAAATAACGGGTATCTTCTAAAAAACTAGTCTAGCACCGAATGAGAAGCGCAGATGTTTCCTAATTGTCAGGCACTCGTTTGCATTGCCAGGAAAGATGCTCGTTGATATATAACGACCATCAACTTTACCACCCGTTTTTCGACCAGCCCCGCCCTCCTGCGCAACCATTGGTTCACTGACCGTCAACCAAAGCGTTTTGAAACCGTAAAAAGTGCCTGTAAGTAAGAACTACTGGCCAATCCCAGCACAGTGGGGCGGGGTGTGTCGGAAGACGGGTATGGAAAAAAAAAAAACGCTTCCCGTGACCAGCTTTCCAGACAGCAGAATGAGTTGATGGGAATTAAAAACAGTTCACGGGAAAGTCTCTGCCAGAGCGCCAAGTCTTCCCCCTCCCAGCAAGCGTCATTAGTGTAGGGGGGTTTGCATAAAAGAGGAGAGGAGATGAAACAGAGCAGGGAGATTAAGCCGAGCCGGTAAGTGCCATAATACTCCTTTTCTCAGTGTCAGAAGCCTTTATTTTAACTGACCAATAATAATAATATAGAGGACTACAGGACATGTTCAACTTGTTTGTATATGTTTAACTATATAACACATTGGTCATTTTTACTTTATTCATGCTGACAAATATTTTTTACAAAACCAAAAACTCTCTTCTTACATCCCTACTAATGAAGCCTTTATTTTTTTAAATAGCTGTGAGTTTTTAATTAAATACTAATTAAATAGTAATAATTAAATTAATACAATGTGGATTGTTATTGTTGTTTGTTTGTTTTCTAATGTTCTAATGTATATATATATTGCTCTTATAACCCTGCTCTCTTCTGAGAATATTGTTGTCATTTATTGTACCAAATTACTGTCATTTAAGCACTGTTTCCACCTGTGGGTGTTTGTGTGACTTTGTTAATGTTCTCATTTAATTCTTTCTGTCTTCCAGCGAAGATGACTGTCGAACCACCATCCACCTTAGAGAGAGCCGTCTCATCATCTAAACCCAAGTTTCCAAAATTTCGAAAAGTGAACTTACCATTTTTCAAAAAGAATTTACAAACAAAGAATAATGGCAACCAGACTTCAGGTAAGAAAACTTTACCACTCATCTAATTTCCCACCACATCAGGATGCCAATATTTTGGTCAAACATCTTTAAATGATTAAAGGTTTTATGTTGTTTATACTGATGTTGTACACATCTTATTTATAATTTTATGTTATTTCAGTGCTGTAAGTGTGAAAGTTCAGGATGTCCTGGCGTCCAAACGAATTCTCTTTGTTTCTGTACCTTTCAGAGATTCCTTTGACTTTTAAACAGAACCTAAAAGAGCAGCACTTTGCAGTGGCAGGGAAGCAGCTGATAAACCGTGAGGAGCGTCTGTTTTCAGTGAAACAAGATGGGGTGGGGTCTAATAAGTCCCTGGTGGAGGAAGAGGAGGATTATGAGGAAAGTCTGAGGAAAGACTTTGAAGACCTTTTGGAGGAGGTATGGTCAACATTGGAGAATTCCTTCGAGGTCCGAACAGAGAACGAGAAAGAGGCGCTAAAACAGGCAGTTCTGGTCATACAACAAGAGGAGGAGCAGGACAGGAGATGGGAAGGGGTAGCAGAAAAAGAGCGCCCTCCATGGAGGCCTCGGTGCTGCAGGTGGACGCACGACTCTCTGCTTCAGAATATAGTTCAGCGGCGAATGGAAGAGGCAAAGTTAGACTCAAACGCTGACATTAAATCTTCAATCCAAAAGGAAATCATAGGCAAAGGTAAACAACTTAAGGAGGACCTGCTACACATTGTAGAACATGTGAGGAGCTGCTACCCAGGAGAGAATGTGTGCCAACCGTATGCCAAATTATACCATCAAGCCTTTTGTGCCAAACTCAGGGAAATCACTGACTATGGACTCAGTGATGATGACTGCTCACATGTGCTGCAGTGGGTGAACATACATTACCCCAGGTAAGGCAGGAGATCTCATGTTGTGGCATTTTATAACTGTAACAAATGAACCATAATCTACTGTATATTCCATTACTGAGCCATGCTCTGCTTTTTTGTAGTATCATGAGGCGTAAAGAGCTTAAAGAGGTTATTGAATATGAACAGCTGGAAGCACTCCTACCTGAAAACATGCTTGCACCACTGGAGGAGCAGTATTTGACTCAAATAGAGGTATATTATCATTTAAAATCTCTTAAACAGTACTTATAATTAATTACTCAGCTGCTGAGATCTTTTGGTGTGTATGTGTTTTGATCTTTGTCTTTTCTCCATGTTTCTAGAATGAGGTGCAGACATGGTGCCAAAATATTTTGAAAGAGGAGAAAGCTGAGCCTGAATTGAGGGATGGATGCTACTTCAGCCCTCTGGCCATCGATGTGATTGAGGTACTACTGAATGTACAGTCAAATGCAGTGCTATGGGAAAAAACAGTGCTGTGTACAGTGATTGTGTGATATTCTGATTGAAAAAGACTTTCTGTCTTTCTCTGGCAGTGTGTCCATGGTGCTATGACGTCCGCACAGAAAGTTCTGGGCTCTTGTTCAAAGTCTCAGAGGATCACACACCAGATTAAAGAATTCCTCATTAAGTGAGTCATTAATTCTTGCATCACATTCATAATTCACATTTTAAAGTCACAATCAAACTTGCTTTGTCATGTTTCTGATAAATTTTGATCTTTTCAGTTACCAGGATTACCTTAAGAATGTGACTGAGGATAATCAGGGGAACACTGACGCTGTACTGAAGGCCAACCTTCGGTGTATCAGACAACTCAGGTGAGCATCCAGAAATATTTTGCTGCAAATTACATCTTTGAGATGATTCCTGCGTAACACGTTGTTTTTTTCTTAGGGAACACATAAGAAAGAATCAAGAACTCTTTCCTGCACATATCAGGACTGACTGCATGGATTTGCTCACAAACATAAGAGAGCTTTGCCATGGCTATTTCACCACGTCTATACATAAAGATCTGAAGGTAAGTCAGATCTAATCAATTTATTTATTTTATTATCTGATATACTGATTAATGCCCTCTGCTCTCTTGCTGCAACAACTATGCTTTACACATCTTATTTCCACATCTTTTAATATCAGTTCACTTTCAGTTCTCTTATTCAGCTGAAGAAATGTCGAGGACACAGTTTTAACCTGTTTGTGTGCTTCCACAGGGGAAGTATTCCAAACTGGGCACTCGGGAGTGGCTTAAGCACAGTGAAAAAGTGTGTGGTGAGCTGCTTGAAGGAGTGGACACACACATTCAGAAACTTACTAACTTGGACAAAACATGCCTTCAGGTACAGAGTGTGTAGATGTATTAACAAATACATGAATATGATGAATATGAACATGAACATGATTTCTGCATTAGGACATAGACTTGGGACAGAGTTGTGGAGTCTGATGATTGACTGACTGTCTGATTGATTGATTGACAGGACCTGCTCAGTCATCTTCACAAACAAGTGCTAGCAGAGTATGTGAGGAAAACGATGAAGAAGAAGATCAAACTTGGAGATGAGAAGAAACAACAACAGGCAGCTAAAGCGTTACATGACAACAACCAGAAAATACACACCCTGTTTACTGAGGCTGTAAGTATATACATATACATATATATACTTTTCACACACAAAACATCAAAACATAAAAAATTATGTTTTTTGACAATTTTATTTGATTTCATGAACAGGGGTCAAACTTGTATGACCTGAAAGACGTCCTTCCAAGACTTGCTGAACTGCTGACAATAAAGGATCCACAGTTTATTGAATTAGAGCTTGTGAATATATCCAAAAGCTACTCCGACTTCAGGTACAGCCTGAACATTTCCAAACATTTCCAAACATTTTAGCTCTTTGAGCACATTTAGGTTAAGTATAACCTTTGCACTTTGGTAACAAGCTGTTCTGATCTTTGGCCTTTACAGTGAAGCTCATGTCTGCGCCTGGCTGCATCTCAAGGCGACCCTCTCTACCTCAGAGCTCAAAATGATCAAGAAGACTTTCTCAGAGTTACGGGAGCTAAACACACCAAAGGAGACTGAGAATCAGAAGCTGGATCCGCTCTACTCAAGCAGAGATTTCTTCTCTAAAGTGCTTGTGAAATAGGCTTGATGTACTGCACAACAGTCCCTCAGCCACATGCTGAGTTGTATGTAAAGTGTTTTGTAAAATGCACTGTGAATCTGCTTAATATTATTTCATTGTGTACGGATTTCAATGTTTTTTTTCAATCAATTTTTATATTTTTTGTAAAAAAATAAGCTATAAATAAGCTATAAATAGTTTTTATTTATGTTTTTTTGTGTGTCATACTTGTCTCTTTTTCATTTTAATATTCGTTTGGACTGAAACATGTAAAATCTGTACAGTCTGGAATTACTTTAAATTAGTATTGAAACAGATTAAACATTTCAGTCATGTTAAATAAATATCCACATCCTGCTTCATTGTGTTGGGTAATGCAGAGTTTGAATGTGTTGGATAATAAATTAACCAGACATTAACACTTATCCTGTCTTTTCTGGTGTATGGCTGTAAGCCAGTGGAAAAAGGCCCAAATCTAAAATAGGTGACTCGATATCAGTAATTTGTGTGCATGGGAGTTTCCTTTATGACTACAACAGGCTCAGTTCAAGATGTTATGATCGACACAATAATATCCGAATTCCATTCACCTGCGGAATGTTTAGTCAGTAATGCAGCATCCAAAAGCCTGCAACAATCACAGGAAACACACTATTTCTTTTCCAAACAAATCTTTCTAACTTGCAACACTAGTTCCAGTACAGACAAAAATACTCTCCCCTAAACGATTTACACATCCAGTCCTGGAAGAGATGGATTTCGTAGAGGTGTTTAGACACAGATTACGGAATATTTTCTGCTTGAAGTGAAGCATATCCATGTGTGGGAAATTTCACAAAGCAGGATTTTTTGTTTGATAACTTCTGCCAAACTTATCAAATAGCAGGAAAGGTTAGGGACATTCTGAACGGACCGCACTTTTGGCCTTCTTTTATGGAGCCCCTTTAGAAATCATAATTTGTGAAATGCCCTTTGATGTGCTATATCTAATGTTATGTACTGAGAGTTACCTCTGAAGAGATGTAATGAACATGTTTCATTGGACCTCTGGGCCTCTGAGCATTTTTTTTCTTAGCATTTACATACCTGACAGGATACAGTTGTCATTTCACACTATAAAACTTCAGAACACAAGTACTGAACAAATACAGGATGATGTAGTTTTAGGTAATTGGTTGTGTGTATGTATATTTAAACTTAAGAAATCAATATTATAACTAATGTACTGTTTATATTTAGAACTTATTGTCTTCTACAGCAGTCATTAGGGTCTAGCGAGCAGTATTTAGACAGTGGAGTGAAACAGAATGTTATATATATGAAAGCAGCTGTTACACAAATAACTTCAGTGAACAGAAATTCTAGCCATTCATTCCCTGGATTTTATGTAATCGAAGGATAAGAATTTATCTGTCCTCCTTCAGTATAACATCCTGATGTACTTTTTATGATCCTCCTCGTGTGGTAATCACTTTGAGCTTCCCTGTAGAGCAGGATGTTCTGCAGTGCAGTCAAGATGTGCTTCTGTATGGGCAAAAGGAGCTTCTGCTTTGACTTCTCAAACCAGTCAGTCACGCTTCTCAAACCAGTCATGTATCAATACCACTTTTTCCCTTCCGTTGATCGCTGATCTTTAAGTATCGGTCAATACCGAGTACCAATACCAATACTAACTCTATCTAACTTAACTTGCTCAAGTCCTGATATTTACATAATTCCACTTTTTTAACATTTTATTTTGGCAAAAGCTGTGTTCTGTGTAACAAATAAAACATACTAAGCATGTGTGTGTAAAACCATTTTAAATACTTGAGAAACCTTATGTTATTTTCTGTGATACCGTTAAATTGGGACACATTTACTCTAAAAGGTTTGTATCTTTACTCTAAAAATGGACCTAATAATAAAACAGAAAGCTAAAATCCAGAAGGTGAGAGCAGACATAGAGAAACCAGACAGAGAAACATGCTGAGAATTGCGTGGGGTTCTGACTAACAGTACTTCACCAAATAACGGCGTAAAGACGTTTCTCGAAGGGCAGGTAATGAGGCTGGAAGGGCCAACTGTTGGGGTTGATCAGGAGTTACCATAGAAACAGGTAAGTATTCTGGTAATTGGGACTTCTGATTGCCAGTATTGGGACTGTCGGGAGTGAATGTGACTGGGGACAGGGGCCCCTGGTGTCCAGTCCTGGAACTGCTGGGAGAAGATATGACACATTTGTTCTATAAGAGGGGTGCACAACTTCGGTCCTGGAAGGCCAGTGTCCAGCACAGTTTGGAGGTTTCCCCCCTAAAAGACACCCACTAAATCTGGCAATTAACAGATAAGTGTAATCAGGTGTGTTGGAGCAGGTAGATCACCAAACTGTGCTGGACACCGGCCCTCCAGGACCGGAGTTGTCCACCCCTGTTCTACATGGTAAATCGCCTTCCACATCTTTTTCACATTTTCATTGTGGTACACAAGGAGGTACAAAATACTACTTACCACATACATGCATATCTTGGAAGAAATATAGACTATTATATAAAAACCTGTCCTGTACATTTAGGGTTTTTTTTTTGCTTGTTTTTTCTGGTGCTAACACATTCTTCAACTCGTCAGTTGATTAAGCCTTTCTTGAGTTGAAATGAGTGTGTTAGAGCAGGTATGTGCAAGTTAGGTATGATTTTAATCTTTTGCAAAAGTTAAAAGCGTAGTTGTATTTTCCAATGATTATTCTCATAATATCCACAGAATAAGTGATGTGGTTTGTTTTACATTTTTTAATTGTCCAGCGTACATCAGTTAAGATGTCTCTTGTTTCTCTGCCTTTCCTGGAATCCTGCGTGCACATCTAGCTGTTCTCTTTCAATTTAAAGCACTATGATGAATGATTTTGATTATAATTTTACTGGTATGTGATTTAAGGGCAATATTTTGCACACTCTTTCTAGTGGGATAGAACCTAGGGCTATGTAACGGATGTCAAACCAAAAAAAAATGAATGTAATTCATTAAACTATGCAAAATTTCAGAGCTGTGCTCCACATTGGTTTTAGTCACACATTATCCCATCCAGGTCTAAATTGTTTAACTGCTTGAAGAATGACTGAACTGAGATAAAATATCAACTGGGTATAAATACATAACTAATAACAACTAATAATGTTTCAGTTTAAATCAACAGCTTAATTTACTGGAGGATGTACTATTTTATGCAAGATCAGGAAATCTTTCATCTTTGAAATTGAGGTTTATGGAGTTTTCCTGCATTTGTAGCAAAGCTGATTCCTGTACTTTTAAAATGTGACACCACATATGTAGAGGCATTCAAGATGACTGAGAGGAGAGAACACTGCCAGCACACAGAGCTGCATGTAGCAAATTATATTGAGTCATCTTCATTCATTTACAAATGAACTAAAGAAAATGGCCTGAGGGAGGAGCTGACAAGCTAGCTATTCCTAGATAAACACATACTGTGTTTACTGTTTTCTTCTTTTATTTTGCATCTGTTTATTAAACCTATTGAGTATATTTTATCTCAAGTGTCTCTCAGCTAGCTACTTTAGTTAACAGGTGTTGCTCATAGCCTATGGTTTACCTGTTTAACATATAGGCTAGTTTCATCACTGTTTGGGAGATAAACAGCCATATATGGTTGTGATTTGGGAAATCTGGTCTAAAACCAGTTCCCCGTTAACTCTGTACAGTGATTCTGTTGTGCTTTTGTGTTTTAAGTGTACTGGCCTAATCTGATCTGATCAGACTGGAGTATGAAGTTCTTTTCTTGCATACATGCTGTGTACAGACTAAACAGAGCTCACTTCACATCAATAAAGAGCCATCAAAGACATCAGGGCATCACTCAAACAGAGTTTAAACAGTGCTGTGCTATAATATTCAGATCATCATTCAGTCTGATTGTAGAAAAAAACTGTACAGTTGCCACGTCTGGAGTTCCTCTTACTTTAAAAATGCCTTTTCAAAAATACATTTACTCCTCATTATTACATCTCACCTCACAGATGATACTACATCATCAGAGACTTTATTTTGTCAGTTGATCACATAACTCTGCCTAATTCCTCTTTCTCTCTCTCCATCTCTCTTGCTGTAAATAAATGCAGGTAAAGTTACACGTTTTCTACTTAGTTTTCTATTATTGGAATTGCATATAGAAAAATACTTACCGCATTACGAAATACTCTTTAAAATCTTCTAGAAACTCTGGAGAGAACAAAATTCATCAGGAATGCATTATCAGCCTGAGAGGGGGGTGCTTTCTGTGATCCAGAGGAGAGCTGATGCTGGCGAGACGCTGTCCGGAGCACTGCAGAAACAAAGAATGAGAAAAAATGGTCATGTAAAATGAAGCTGAAAAGCCACATGTTGAGGAGGCAGGGTTTGTAACTGAGATTGCACTATGACTTATTAAAAATTGTTAAAAGATTTATTGTTTTATTACCTAATGAAGGTGTAAGTTCATTAGCTGACAACCACTTCTAATGAACTGATACTTTATTCAGTGATTAAACTACAAAACATAAGGAGAAATAATTGCTTCTTGTCCTTTGCTTCTATAAACTGTGTCACTGTGATGAAGCTTCTCTGTGTCTCGATGTTCAATGATGTTAAATCACTTCGAAAGTAAATTCAGTTTTGTATATGAAATACACAAACAACGTATATCATGATTTCCACCCACTGCAATCAACCACGTAAACGGGTTAACTGCTACTGCCAGTTCCACTTCAAGTTGTTTTGAATTCTACAGAAAGTATCTTGTGTTATTTAAACACCTACTCTACAAAATCCTTCTCTTCCTGGATGTGTAAATCATTTAGGGAAGAGACTTTGTAGCTGTGCTGGAAGCAGCATCACAAATAAGAAATCAGCCCTTGTTTGTAACAGAAGTAGTGTCTTTCCTGTGATTTCTATACTGCAGGCTTCTGGTTCAGTCCAAATGAATACCAGAATGACCCTGCAAAAAGGCAAATGCAAGTATTACACACAGACATTTATGTAAAAATATTTATATTAATGCGTATTATTACCAAAAAATTTAAAAAACAGCATTGAAAAAACAAAGCATTGTAATGCATTAACAATGATATGAAATTAAATAGATCTACAGTGCATTTCATAAAACATTTTAAATACAACTCAACATGTGGATGAGGGACTGTTGTGCAGCATAACAAAGGCCTGTTACACAAGCACTTTAGAGAAGAAATCTCTGCTTGAGTAGAGCGGATCCAGCTCCTGATTATCAATTTCTTTTGGTGTGTTTAGCTCCCTTAACTCTGAGAAAGTCTTCCTGATCATTCTGAGCTCTGAGGTAGAGAGGGTCGCCTTGAGATGCAGCCAGGCACAGACATGAGCTTCACTGTAAAGGCCAAAGATCAGAACAGCTTGTTACCAAAGTGCAAAGGTTATATTTAACCTAAATGTGATAAAATGTTTGGTAATCTGTACCTGAAGTCAGGGTAGCTTTTGGATAGATTCATAAGCTCAAATTCAATAAAGTGTACAGCTTTCAGTGTCAGCACTTCAGCAAGTCTTGGCAGGACGTCTTCCAGGTCATCCATTTTTGACCCCTGTTCATGAAATCAAATAAAAGAGAATACCAATCAATCAATCAATCAATTAGTCAGTCAATCAATATATACACACTAGCATTCGAAAGTGTTCAAGTATTATTTGTCATTATGTGTAAGTAGTGTTATAACTTAGTGTTGGAGGCTTATATAATTGAATAAACAAAAGAATAGATTTTTGCATGGTGCTTTCGAAATACGTATATTCATGTGTTTTATGCTAAGATCAGAAATCATCCCTTCATTCATTCAGTTTCCGATCAAAACGGCCAGTTCACAGGGAATTACTCAGAAGCCTCCAACACAAGGCCCAATCCCATTTCTTCATTTTAACCCTACCCCTTGTTTTCGAGTGTCACCCTAACCTCCTGGAACTCAGTTACAAGGGATAGAGGTTGAAATCTTGCCCTACGAAATGTGACAACCCTCAAATTACACTGCTTCATTAACAGGCTGTTAGAGGTGCTCTGTAGGCGACCTGGCCTGTCTTCAGTGATAGCAGAGAAGGGAAAAGTTCACCAACCTCGCCGCGGGGCTTTAGTTACATTTAGGGCATCATATGCTTTCAAAGAAGGGTATAAGACAATTCATTATTATCGCCCACCGCTAATTCTTTGGTGATACGAAGCTGAAGTCAGCTATTTACCAGCTTCTTGTTCGAATTTTCCCGTTCCACCTTAAATGGTGCAGCGATTACATTCTGGCACTTCAGGCATCAGGACTGCTGGACTATTTAAGGTGGAGCGAGAACGTTAGCTAGCTAGCTAACATTAGCATGCTATTAGCGATTTTTTATGCTTGTTACGAAGAAAACGACCATAATCCACAACATTAAACGACATTAAACTAAGATACTACAATGGTTATCGTAATTTTTTAACGGAGAAAATACTTAAATTTGTGGGTTTCTTTGGTCACTCGCGCAGCCATCTTGCCGTTTTTTTTCCCTCACAACACTCCGTTTGGAGTGTGCCTCAGAAAAACCTCCGTTTGGAGGGCCATGTAGCCCTAACACTTTACCCTATCCCTCTGTCTCAACAAAAATTGCGACACCCTAATCCTAGACGAGAACGTGCAAAACAGAGGGCTAAGGGCTGAGTGGTAGGGGCAAGGAGTGAAACGAGATTGAGCCTAAGTACATCATTTTTGCTGTTGTGCACCCTACGTCTACTTTAACTCTTCCATCTTTCCAATCTTCCAAACTAGGTTACAGCTGTGTCCCCCTTCAAAGAGCCCCTAACATTAACACAAGCAACTACCAAACACACCTTAGCTGTAGCTGCACTGCAATTTTCTTTCTCATGTAGCATCTAAAACGTCTAAATGAAATACTTCTGAGAAGAACAGATGTAAGATAATTCACTAGCAAAAAGGAAGAGAAAAATCAAAGGAAAAAATTAAAAACATTTTTTTTTTTTAAATTAGGTCTCAGAAAATTATTAAACGATGTCGAGAAAATGGGACGCATAACAGCCATGTAGGACCTGGAAGACCATCAAAACTGTCAAAATCAGATGAACAGAACTTAAAGGTGTTTAATAGAAGCATAGAAAGACATCCCTTCTTTGAAAAAGTGAAAGCAAGTCTAGTGAAAAGAATATGAAAAGAATAGAAGCTGTAATAAAGGCAAAACTCTGCAAGCCGAAAAATTTGGTATTATGTTTAGTTTTTGAGACTGTTGTGTAATTTTTTGTTAAATGTATGTTTTGTACTTTTTCCTGACATTGAACAATTTGTAACTTAATGGTTGTTTTGACTGGAAAAAAAAATGAACAGATACTCTCCAACTTTTGCCTAGCACTATATATGTGTGTGTGTGTGTGTGTGTGTGTGTGTGTGTGTGTGTGTGTGTGTGTGTGTGAGAGAGAGAGAGAGAGAGAGAGAGAGAGAGAGAAGAGAGAGAGAGAGAAAGAGAGAGAGAGAAACTTACAGCTTCAATAAACAGGCTGTGTATTCTCTGGTTGTTGTCACATAATGCTTCAGCTGCCTGTTGTTGTATCTTCTCATCTCCAAGTTTGATCTTCTTCTTCATCAGTGTCCTTACATACTCTGCCAGCACTTCTTTGTGAAGATGACTGAGCAGGTCCTGTCAATCAATCAATCAATCAATCAATAAATCAATCAATATGCCGCCATCATTCCATCCCAAATATATGCAGAAGCCAGTATATTAATCTATTTGATAATAAATCTACACACTCTGTACCTTAAAGCATGTTTCATCCAAGTTAGTGAGTTTCTGAATGTGTGTGTCCACTCCTTCAAGCAGCTCACCACACACATGTTCACTGTGTTTGAGCCACTCACTAGTACCCAGTTTGGCATATGTCCCCTGTGGAAGTAAACAAACACATGAACAGGTTAACATTTTATCTTCTACAGGTCACTGGCCTAATAAGTGAATTAACATCAAAACAAGATCTGATAGCCACTGCAGAACGAGTACTGACAAATAAAGGGAATAACCAATAAAAGAGGTAAATTGCAGTTAGCTGAGAAAAGCTAGGAGTAACTAATAATCAGTTAATGAAGTAAATACATTTACTGGATCTGACTTACCTTCAGATCTTTCTGGACAGACTTGGTGAAATAGCCATGGCAAAGTTCTCTTATGCTGACCAGCAAATTCATACAGTCGGACTTGATATGTGCAGGAAAGAGTTCTTGATTCATTGTCATGTATTCCCTGAGGATAAAACAAAAAGTCTTACACAGGAATCATCTCAAAGATATGATTTAATACTGAAAAACTCTACCGTCAACATCTAAATGCTCACCTGAATTGTCTGATACACAAAAGGTTGGCCTTCAGTACAGCGTCAGTGTTCCCCTGATTACCCTCAGTCATGCTCTTAAGGTAATCCTGGTAACTGAAAAAAAAGAAAAAAATTCACAATTATGACTAAGGCAAGTTTGATTTTGTCTTTAAAAATGTAAAGTATGATGTATGAAACTGTAATACAAGAAATATTTGAAACCAGGTTCCAAGAATTATCGACTTACTAAATGAAGAATTCTTTAATCTGGTGTGTGATCCTCTGAGGCTTTGAACAAGAGCCCAGCACTTCCTGTGCTAACTTTATAGCACCATGGACACACTGCCAGAGAAAGACAGAAAGTCTTTCTCAATCAGAATATCATATAATCACTTTACACAGCACTGCTTTTTCCCTTTACATAGCACTGCATTTGACTCTACATTCAGTAGTACCTCGATCACATCAGTGGCCAGAGGGCTGAAGTAGCATCCATCCCTCAATTCAGGCTCAGCTTTCTCCTCTTTCAAAATATTTTGGCACCATGTTTGCAGCTTATCCTTGGAAAATGAATAAGAAAGAATAAACAAATGTCAAAACACATACAAGTCAAAAGATCTCAGCAATTGAGTAATTAATTATAAGTACTGTTTAAGAGATTTTAAATGATAATATACCTCTATTTCGGGCAAACACTGCTCCTCCAGTGGTTCAAGCATGTTTTCAGGTAGGAGTGCTTTAAGTTGTTCATATTCAATAACCTCTTTAAGCTCTTTACGCCTCATGATACTACAAAAAAGCAGAGCATGGCTCAGTAATGGAATGTACAGTAGATTATGGTTCATTTGTTAATGTAGATTTGAGTTATAAAATGCCACAACATGAGATCTTCTGCCTTACCTGGGATAATGTATGTTCACCCACTGCAGCACATGTGAGCAGTCATCATCACTGAGTCCATAGTCAGTGATTTCCCTGAGTTTGGCACAAAATGCTTGATGGTATAATTTGGCATACAGTTGGCACACATTCTCTCCTGGGTAGCAGCTCCTCACATGTTCTGCAATGTGTAGCAGGTCCTCCTTAAGTTGTTTACCTTTGCCTATGATTTCCTTTTGGATTGAAGATTTAATGTCAGCGTTTGAGTCTAACTTTGCCTCTTCCATTCGCCGCTGAACTATATTCTGAAGCAGAGAGTCGTGCGTCCACCTGCAGCACCGAGGCCTCCATGGAGGGCGCTCTTTTTCTGCTACCCCTTCCCATCTCCTGTCCTGCTCCTCCTCTTGTTGTATGACCAGGACTGCCTGTTTTAGCGCCTCTTTCTCGTTCTCTGTTTGGACCTCGAAGGAATTCTCCACTGTTGACCATACCTCCTCCAAAAGGTCTTCAAAGTCTTTCCTCAGACTTTCCTCACTATCCTCCTCTTCCTCCACAAGGCTCTTGCTGGATCCCACCCCATCTTGTTTTACTGAAAACAGATGCTCCTCACGGTTTACCAGCTGCTTCCCTGCCACTGCAAAGTGCTGCTCTTTTAGGTTCTGCTCAAAAGTCAAAGGAATCTCTGAAAGGTACAGAAACAAAGAGAATTCATTTAGACAGAAGGACAACCTGAACTTTCATTCACAAAGCATGCACAGAACACTTACAGCAGTAAAATAACACAAAATTATATACAAGATGTGTACAACATCAGTGTAAAAACACAATCCATTTTATTATTTACAGATGCTTGGCCAAAATATTGGCATCCTGATGTGGTGGGAAATCAGGTTTCTTACCTGCAGGCTGTATGTCATCATTCTGCACTTCTTCACAGTCACACACACATTTTCTGTGCCACTCATCCTGCACTTCTTCAGTATTCAGCAAATTTTTCTTGAAAAATGGTAAGTTCACTTTTTGAAATTTTGAAAATTTGGATTTAGATAATGAGATGGCTCTCTCTATGGTGGATAGTGGTTTAATATTCATCTTCATCTTCTCTGTAAGACAAAAAGAATTTTTGAGAACATTAACAAAGTCACACAAACATCCACAGGTTGGAATAGTGCTTAAATGACAACAGCATGGTACAACGAGCAATACTGTAAAATGAGAACGGAGATATTAGCTCAGCTCATAGCTTTTAAGTCAAAAGACAAACAACAAAAGTAACAATTCATATTGCATGTGAGATTTAAAAACTCTGAAAATATTTTCCAGCATGAACAAAGAAAAACTGAACAAAACAGCTGAACACGTCCTGTAGTCCTCTCCGTTATTTTAGTGTCAGGTCTTGGTGCAGAACATAAACAGATACAGAGATTGAAACGTATAAAGCTGTCAGTTTACATAAAAGCTGATGACAATGAGAAAAAGAGTATTATAGTACTTACCGTCTCTGCTAAGTCTCAGTTATCTACTTGTTCTGTCCTCTTTTATATATGCATCCCCACTACACCAATGATGTTTGATGGGAGGGGGGAAGATTTGGCGCTCTGGCCAGCACTTTCTCTGGAGCACAGTTTAAGATTCCCGTAAACTTCTTCAGATTTTTTCCACGCCTTCTTGCGCTGGGACTGGCTAGTATATCTTACTCGCAGGCCAGTCGCTGTTCTACAATGCCTGGGTTTGAACAGAGGTCTCCAATCGTAGCAGAGCAGGGTGGGTCTTGTCGGAAAAAGGGTGGTGAAATTGATGCTTCTTATGTAACAAATTTCCCAGGAATACAGCTGAGTGCCTGTGAATTGGGATACCTCTGGTTCTCATTAGATGCTAGGTTATTCCTTTCAGAGGCATCCGGCAGAATTTATTGTATTTTACTGTTATTTTGAAAGAAAAAGCATGTGTTCATTCTGATTTCTATGACCCTATAGACTACGCAGAACTGTAAACATTGTCATTTTTACATGTGGCTGTGATAGCCTAATGAAAAAAATAAACATTGTTGTTTTTAACCCAGTCTAGTCTAGACTGTTATATTTGCCACATTTAGGCCTTTTTACCAGATTAGTTACCCCCGTCATCATCATGACGCTGGGAATGAAATCAGGCAAAAAGCTTAATGCAGGAAAGCCAGCAGCCATGCTACAGCACTGAGCCCTCTGTCATGAGAAAAATGTGGTGTAAGTGTCCTTCAAAGTTGCCTTATAGAAAGTGATCACTGTATGAATGTAATGTAGGTTTAGAGAGGGAGGATATACATTGCGGCTTTATATATGGTGGCTCAACATTTAAGAGGCTAAATATCTGTTTTTCAGACTCACCCCACCATATTACTCATTCTGCAAATCTGAAAAAGTTTATTTTGCCTTCACTTCTTAGACTTCTCTGCTATTTCCAGGGGTGGAAAGCTACAAATGACATTTACTCTCATCACACACATTTTCTAAGCCACTTATCCTCCTGGGTCGCAGGGGGAGCTGGAGCCTATCTCAGCAGTCATTGGGCAGACCCTGGACAGGTCACCAGTCCAGTCCGGACACAGGAAGAACATGCAAACTCCACACAGAAAGGACCCTGGTCAGGAACTGAACCCAGGCCCTTCTTGCTGTGAGGCGACAGCACTACCCACTGCGCCATCATTAATTAATTAATAATCAAATATCATACTTCAAGTTTTAATGACATTACATAGTAACGATAACTATGCGTATCAGTTCATAAACCAACGAGAAGAAAACACAATTGAATTTAAAAGATTCCATCCTGAAAGCCATTCAAAAACAGAGCAGCTCCTATAAATACTTCAGTCCTGATGAGTTCAGAGACAGTAAGCTTAATGGAGAAAGAAACTAAGAAAGAAAGAAAGAGGAGAACATTATTAACAGGCTTGGGATGTAACTGAATAGAAGTATTGGAAACACATTCAAAATAGTAAAACTAAGTATCAGTCCAGTTACATATGATGACTGCAGTAACCGAACAATAGAACATATGCCTAAGATCACCATGTGCAATGTGGAGGATCAGCGGTGTGGTGTAAATCACACCGTCACTGGACTCTGGAGCAGTGGAAATACGTTTTCTGGCATGATGAATCTTACTTCACTGTCTGGCACTCTGAACTGGCAGGAGATTTGCCTGACCAAATGTAGAGTGCCAGCTGCAAAGTTTGCTAGAGGAGAAAAAAAAAATGCCTTTTTCATGGTTTGAGCCTCTTAGTTCCAGGGAGCAGAGATTTTAATGGTATAGCATAAAATTAAATTCTAGAGAAACTGTGTGCTTCCAGTTTGGGGTACATTCTTTCCTGCTTCAGCAGGTCAACACCCCCTCACATGAAACAAGCTTAATATAGAAATGCTTTTAGTGAGGTTGGTGTGGAAGTGGCTAATGTCGGATGATGAGTCCTGAAGCACTCCACCACATCCCAAAAGTATTGGATGGAGCTCAATCAGTCCAGAGAACACAATTCCACAGCTCAATCTTTCCATCTATCCATCTATAGTCGCCAACATAGCGTAATTGTTAATGTAGTAATAGCTGTTTCCTAGTGATTTAAAGGTGAATCGGAGAATTTCTTCTCATATTCCAAACACATGGGGTTCAAGATGACCATGATGTTACCACTGAAAAAGAAGTATCCACTAAAGATTTCCCAGCAGTTTCTCAGAATTGACTGTTTCCTCTTGAACCGAAACTTGTTCACACTTACATTTAAATCATATTTGGTCTTGAAATGTCTTATGGACACTGTTATGTGGGTGACTTCAAACAGAGGCCTGTTTGTGGTCTTCAGTATATGATAAAGGATGAGCATTCATATGGAATTCATTTATTATAATGCTCTCTGATTATCAAAGTCAGGAACATAAACAGACCTCTATTTAAAGTCACCCAAGTAACATTATACTGGAAACATTGGCATACAACACTGCCCAAACAAGGCCACAACATTTACAATCCATTGTGTGACCTATGAAATGTGTAATTTGTAGTGTGTAAAAACACTCATGTTTCAATATTTCCTATTTATATTTACCACAATTGTGTTTTGTTTTTCTGGCAATAAACAGACTTGTGTATCAGACTCCCACTTGCTTGCACATTAACAAGGTGTCATTTAAGTTGTGACAGTAGACATTGATAGTGACATTACAATAAGGTCTCAAAAGGGAAATAGCGTGTTAGTAAATTAAGTCAGTTGAGTCAATTTGACAGAGAGGCACTCACAAGGAATTGCATGGAGTACATGTGAGGACATTACATGTGAAGTTAGACCTGGCCAGCATAACCTTCTATAATGTTAGTAAGCAGTTCTTGTTATATTTGAGGTAATACCAACAACAATATGAAGCAAACAATGTTTATATACTTCTGGAACTCATAGCAAAACATAAATGTATTTATTTAATCCTGCTTTCATTCTTCTGTTGAAAAAGGAAGAATACATTGTTGTTCTGCAAACAATGAACTTTATGGTTGCAGGTAACTGGCCCATGCATTTCTATTTCTGAAAAAAGGCCTTTTTTAAAACTTCCTAACAGATGAGTCTATGGTTACATGTGTCTCATAAGAACATTTCTCAAAAAGTGTAACGGCAAATCAATTTAAAAGGCACTCACATTAAACATTTTCAGTCTTTTTAACCAGATATAAGAAAGTGTGCATGTGTATATGTGTGAGTTATGCTTAACATGAACTGGCCCAACATCTAAGCAATGTCCATAATAAAACGATGGACAAAACAGCTTCTATTTGCCAGCAGGGAATCCATTTCACCACACAACTCCTCTTATAAAGTGTATGTTTGTGGCATCTCCAGTGCCGCGCCAAAAGTGAGTGCCACTGCACGTCTCCCAAGTCCCTCCACTGGTGTAAAGACAGTCTCAAGTTTGGCAACACAGATAAGATCAGAACCAGTCATGCATCTCAACATTCACCTCAGGCCTGCTTCATATTGTGTTCTTATGTAGTGTTTAGGAAATGTACTGTTGTAGAGATGCCACAAACATACACTTTGCACACGTTGTGCAGTGAAATGGACTCCCTGTTGACAAACAGAAGTTATTATGCCCAATGCTTTATTATGGACATTGCTTAGATATTGGACCAATTCCGTTAAACATAAACTGATTACTGACTCACACAAACACACAAAAACACACACACACACTTTGTTTTATCTGGTTTTAGAAATTAAAAATGTTTTATGTGAGTGATTTCTTTATTAAGTTTCTGCACATACTTTTTGAGAAATGTTCAATCCTTCTTTTTATCCACCTACAATCACCTCTTGATTTCAATTTTCACCCTTGAAAAAAAACAAAATAGCTTGACTACAAATGCACTATTATTTTGCAAGGCGCTAATTTCTCCATTTCTGTTCATTCTCCATTTAGAAACATCATTTGTTTCAATTTGTTACTCTAACCCGCTAAAGTCTGCTTTTGATGTAACTATCATATAATGTTATACAGACAGAAGATTCCATTGTCTGCCTGTATAACTCTCTGGTACCCCTATAATAGATTATATACTTACATACTACATACATAGTTACATACTAACTAATCCCATTTAATTTTCTGCAAATCCACAGTAACAGCCCCTCCTGGAGGTTTCAGTTTAATCTTTGCCAGCATCACAGGACCTTTAAGAAGGCTGCCAGCTGGGCTTATTACCCAGAATGCATTTGAGCTCGCTGTAAAAAGGGAACATTATTTTTTGGTTTGTGTCCTTGATTTCTTTAAACCCTGCTTTCAGACTTTGAACCTTTCTTTGACGCTGCAGCCTTATTCTCCTACGGCCACGTTCGGCTATTTTATTGATAGTGATGTTTCATTAGTTGAAAATCCGTTCCTAAGAGTTCCACATTACTTATTTTTTCTTGCTGTATAACACACCAAAACAGTTAAAATATTTTCTGCATCACTTACACAATTTCAGCCATCAAAAGAATTCCCTCAATTTTTTTCTACCACTGAGGTGCACCATAAGGGTAACATATGAAAAAAACACCAGTTTTGACTACAAAGGGGTGGCAGATTTTTTCTCTTACCTTTCAGTCACCAGGTCAATTTTTTTTTTGGTCTGGGGAGATGAATGCTACAAATTACTGTACCAGCTTTGACCACAAGGGAGTAGTTCAACTTAATAGACTGCAACTGAAGAGGCGACAACAAAAGTATATTAGCCATCGTACAGCCACAGGTGAAACAAATTGTTCAGTGGTTCTTTCTTATAAATCATTATTATAACAGCCCTGGAAGAAACTGTTAGCTTTGTAAGAGACATTCAGAGATTATGTATGATACTTCCACTATATTAACAAAAGTATTGGGACACACTTCTTAATCATTGAATTCAGGCGATTCATTCAGTCCCATTGCCATAGGTATATAAAATCAAGCACCTAGCCATGCAGTCTGCCTTTATAAACATTTGTGAAAGAATGGGTCGTTCTGAAGAGCTCACTGAATTTGAGCGTTGTACTGTAATAGGATGCCACTGCTGCAACAAGTCAGTTCATGAAATTTCCACCCTCCTAGATATTCCACAATCAACTGTGAGTGGTGTTATTGAAAAGTGTAACTGTAAAGTTTGGTAGAGGAGTGATAACGCAATGGGGTTTTTAGGGGGTGTCCTAGGCACCTTAGTTCCAGTGAAGGTAAATCTTAATGCCTCAGCATACCAAGACATTTTGGACAACTGTATGCTTTCGACTTTGTGGGAACAGTTCAGGGAAGGCCCTCTTCTGTTCCAGCATGACTAAGCCCCACTGCACAAAGCAAGGTCTGTACTCAACCATGGAGTTTGGTGTGGAAGAACTTGACTGGCTCACATAGAGCCCTGACCTCAACCCCATTAAATACCTTTGGGATAAACTAGAACGGAGATTGTGAGCTAGCTTTATTAAATAATTTGCGGTCACAATTTCTACACATGCTTATTGAGAAATATTCTTATGAGACACATGCAACCATAAACTCATCTGTTAGTAAGTTTTAAAAAAGGCCTTTTTTCAGATGTTATAAATGCATGGGGCAGTTTCCTTAAAACCATAAACCTTTGCTTTTGAAGGACACTTACACCACACTTCTCTCACAAGAGAGGGCTCAGTGCTGTAGCATGGCTGCTGGCTTTCCTGCATTAAGCTTTTTGCCTGATTTCATTCCCAGCGTCATGATGATGACGGGGGTAACTAATCTGGTAAAAAGGCCTAAATGTGGCAAATACAACAGACTAGGCTAGACTAGGTTAAAAACAACAATGTTTATTTTTTTCATTAGGCTATCACAGCCACATGTAAAAATGACAACGTTTACAGTTCTGCATAGTCTATAGGGTCATAGAAATCAGAATGAACACATGCTTTTTCTTTCAAAATAACAGTAAAATACAATAAATTCTGCCGGATGCCTCTGAAAGGAATAACCTAGCATCTAATGAGAACCAGATGTATCCCAATTCACAGGCACTCAGTTGCATTCCCGGGATATACGTGACGTAAGAAGCATCAGTTTTACCACCCTTTTTCCGACAAGACCCATCCTGCTCTGCTACGATTGGAGACCTCTATTCAAACCCAGGCATTGTAGAACAGTGACTGGCCTGCGAGTAAGATATACTAGCCAGTCCCAGCGCAAGAAGGCGTGGAAAAAATATGGAGGGTCCACGGTAGGGGCTGAATAAGTTTACGGGAATCTTAAACTGTGCTACAGAGAAAGTGCTGGCCAGAGCGCCAAATCTTCCCCCCTCCCATCAAACGTCATTGGTGTAGTGGGGATGCATATATAAAAGAGGACAGAACAAGTAGATAACTGAGACTTAGCAGAGACGGTAAGTACTATAAATATATCTCTGTTTGTGTTCTGCACCAAGACCTGACACTAAAATAACGGAGAGGACTACAGGACGTGTTCAGCTGTTTTGTTCAGTTTTTCTTTGTTCATGCTGGAAAATATTTTCAGAGTTTTTAAATCTCACATGCAATATGAATTGTTACTTTTGTTGTTTGTCTTTTGACTTAAAAGCTATGAGCTGAGCTAATATCTCCGTTCTCATTTTACAGTATTGCTCGTTGTACCACGCTGTTGTCATTTAAGCACTATTCCAACCTGTGGATGTTTGTGTGACTTTGTTAATGTTCTCAAAAATTCTTTTTGTCTTACAGAGAAGATGAAGATGAATATTAAACCACTATTCACCATAGAGAGAGCCATCTCATCATCTAAATCCAAATTTTCAAAATTTCGAAACATGAACTTACCATTTTTCAAGAAAAATTTGCAGAATACTGAAGAAGTGCAGGATGAGCGGCACAGAAAATATGTGTGTGAGTGTGAAGAAGTGCAGAATGATGACATACAGCATGCAGGTAAGAAAACTCTACCACTCATCTAATTTCCCACCACATTAAGATGCCAATAGTTTGGTCAAACATCTTTAAATGATTAAAGGTTTTATGTTGTTTATACTGATGTTGTACACATCTTGTTTATAATTTTATGTTATTTCAGTGCTGTAAGTGTGAAAGTTCAGATTGTCCTGGTGTCCAAATGAATTCTCTTTGTTTCTGTACCTTTTAGAGATTCCTTTGACTTTTGAGCAGAACCTAAAAGAGCAGCACTTTGCAGTGGCAGGGAAGCAGCTGATAAACCGTGAGGAGCGTCTGTTTTCAGTAAAACAAGATGGGGTGGGATCCAGCAAGAGCCTTGTGGAGGAAGAGGAGGATAATGAGGAAAGTCTGAGGAAAGACTTTGAAGACCTTTTGGAGGAGGTGTGGTCAACAATGGAGAATTCCTTCGAGGTCCAAACAGAGAACGAGAAAGAGGCGCTAAAACAGGCAGTCCTGGTCATACAACAAGAGGAGGAGCAGGACAGGAGATGGGAAGGGGTAGCAGAAAAAGAGCGCCCTCCATGGAGGCCTCGGTGCTGCAGGCGGACACACGACTCTTTGCTTCAGAATATGGTCCAGTGGCGAATGGAAGAGGCAAAGTTAGACTCAAACGCTGACATTAAATCTTCAATCCAAAAGGAAATCATAGGCAAAGGTAAACAACTTAAGGAGGACCTACTACACATTGCAGAATATGTGAGGAGCTGCTACCCAGGAGAGAATGTGTGCCAACTATATGCCAAATTATACCATCAGGCCTTTTGTGCTACACTCAGAGAAATTGCTGACTATGGACTCAGTGATGATGACTGCTCACATGTGCTGCAGTGGGTGAACATACATTATCCCAGGTAAGGCAGGAGATCTCATGTTGTGGCATTTTATAACTGTAACAAATGAACCAGAATCTACTGTATATTCCATTACTGAGCCATGCTCTGCTTTTTTGTAGTATCATGAGACCTAAAGAGCTGAAAGGGGTTATTAAATATGAACAACTTGAAGCACTCCTACCTGAAAACATGCTTGAACCACTAGAGGAGCAGCATTTGACCGAAATAGAGGTATATTATCATTTAAAATCTCTTAAACAGTACTTATAATTAATTACTCAACTGCTGAGATCTTTTGACTTGTATGTGTTTTGACCTTTGTTTTTTCTTTTTATTCATTTTCCAAGGATAAGCTGCAGACATGGTGCCAAAATATTTTTAAAAAGAAAAAAGCTGAGCCTGAATTGAGGGATGGATGCTACTTCAGCCCTCTGGCCATTGATGTGATTAAGGTACTACTGAATGTACAGTCAAATGCAGTGCTATGGGAAAAAGCAGTGCTGTGTACAGTGATTATATGATATTCTGATTGAAAAAGACTTTCTGTCTTTCTCTGGCAGTGTGTCCATGGTGCTATAACTTCAGCACAGGAAGTGCTGGGCTCTTGTTCAAAGTGTCAGAGGATCACACACCAGATTAAAGAATTCTTCATTTAGTAAGTCAATAATTCTTGAAACTTGGTTTCAAATATTTCTTGTATTACAGTTTCATACATCATACTTTACATTTTTAAAGGCAAAATCAAACTTGCTGTAGTCGTAATTCTGATTTTTTTTCTCTTTTCAGTTACCAGGATTACCTTAAGAACATGACTGAGGGTAATGAGGGGAACATTAATGCTGTACTGAAGGCCAACCTTCTCTGCATCAGACAATTCAGGTGAGCGTCCAGATATGGACGGTAGAGTTTTTGAGTATTAAATCATATCTTTGAGATGATTCCTGTGTAAGACTTTTTGTTTTATCCTCAGGGAATACATGACAATGAATCAAGAACTCTTTCCTGCACATATCAAGTCCGACTGTATGAATTTGCTGGTCAGCATAAGAGAACTTTGCCATGGCTATTTCACCAAGTCTGTCCAGAAAGATCTGAAGGTAAGTCAGATCCAGTAAATGTATTTACTTCATTAACTGATTATTAGTTACTCCTAGCTTTTCTCAGCTAACTGCAATTTACCTCTTTTATTGGTTATTCCCTTTATTTGTCAGTACTCGTTCTGCAGTGGCTATCAGATCTTGTTTTGATGTTAATTCACTTATTAGGCCAGTGACCTGTAGAAGATAAAATGTTAACCTGTTCATGTGTTTGTTTACTTCCACAGGGGACATATGCCAAACTGGGTACTAGTGAGTGGCTCAAACACAGTGAACATGTGTGTGGTGAGCTGCTTGAAGGAGTGGACACACACATTCAGAAACTCACTAACTTGGATGAAACATGCTTTAAGGTACAGAGTGTGTAGATTTATTATCAAATAAATTAATATACTGGCTTCTGCATGTATGTAGGATGGACTGATGGAGTCATGTTGATTGATTGATTGATTGATTGATTGATTGATTGATTGATTGATTGACAGGACCTGCTCAGTCGTCTTCACAAAGAAGTGCTGGCAGAGTATGTAAGGACACTGATGAAGAAGAAGATCAAACTTGGAGATGAGAAGATACGACAACAGGCAGCTGACGCGTTATGTGACAACAACCAGAGAATACACACCATGTTTATTGAAGCTGTAAGTATCTGTCATTTTCTCTCTCTCTTTCTCTCTCTCTCTCTCTCTCTTTCTCTCTCTGTCTCTCTCTCTCTCTCTCTCACACACACACACACACACACAAACACACACACATGAAAAAAAAAAACTTTAAAGCTACAATATATAAAGTGCTTGGCAAAAGTCTTTTTTTTTTCATTTCCAGTCAAAACAACCATTAGGTTACAAATTGTTCAATGTCAGGAAAAAGTACAAAAAATACATTTTACTAAAAATTACAAAACAGCCTCAAAAACTAAACATAATACCAAATTTTTCAGCTTCCCGAGTTTTTTCTTTATTACTGCTTCTATTCTTTTCATATTCTTTTCACTAGACTTGCTTTCACTTTTTCAAAGAAGGGATGTCTTTCTGTGTTTCTTTTAAACACTTACAAAGCTTAAAGTACTGTTAATCTGATTTTGACAGTTTTGATGGTCTTCCAGGTCCTACATGGCTGTTAGGCATCCCATTTTCTCTACATCGTTTAATAATTTTTTGAGACCTAATTTTAAAAACTCCTGCTTTTTTATTTTTTTCCCTTTGATTTTTCTCTTCCTTTTTGCTAGTGAATTATCTTATATCTGTTCTTCTCAGAAGTATCTCATTTAGACATTTTAGATGCTGCATGAGAAAGGAAATTGCAATACAGCTACAACTAAGGTGTGTTTGGTAGTTGCTTGTGTTAATGTTAGGGTCTCTTTGAAGGGGAACACAGCTGTAACTTAGTTTGGAAGATTGGAAGGATGGAAGAGTTAAAGTAGGCAGGTGCACAACAGTAAAGATGATGTTCTTAGTGTTGGAGGCTTTTGAGTAATTCCTTGTGAACTGTCTGTTTTGATTGGAAACTGAATGAATGAAGGGGGGGTTCTGATCTTTGCATAATACATTTGAATGTACATTTCAAAGTGCTGTGCAACAATCAAACTACCCTTTTCTTTATTCAATTTCAATACTGTGTAAGCTTCCATCACTAATTTATAACACTAATCACAAAATAAATTATAATAATTAAAGAGAAGATATGAAAAAAGAAACAATTTTAGATGTGTTCAGAAAGATGAAAAGAGCTGTATATGATTATAAAGTGACCGTATTTAGCATTACAACACAATGCAATTAAAGCAAAAGATGTGTGTTTTGCTTCCACCTCCTTTAACCTTCACCCTGTATCCCTCCTTTGATTAACAACTATATGAAGATGTACTAAAATCTCAAGACAGATAACTTGAGAAAATGTATACGCTGTTATTTTATATAAAATATCAAAAATCATTAAAAGTGAGTGAAAACTTTTGAATGCTAGTGTGTATTGATTGGTTGATTGATTGATATTCCATTTTATTTGATTTTTTGAACAGGGGTCAAAAATGGATGACCTGAAAGACGTCCTGCCAAGACTTGCTGAGCTGCTGACAATAAAGGATCCACAGTTTATTGAATTAGAGCTTATGAATCTATTCAAAAGCTACCCCGACTTCAGGTACAGATTACCAATCATTCTAGCTCTTTGAGCACATTTAAGTTAAATATAACCTTTGTACTTTGTACTGTAACAAGCTGATCTGATCTTTTGCCTTTACAGTGAAGCTCATGTCTGTGCCTGGCTGCATCTCAGAGCGACCCTCTCTACCTCAGAGCTCAGAATGATCAGGAAGACTTTCTCAGAGTTAAGGGAGCTAAACACACCAAAAGAAACTGATAATCAGGAGCTGGATCCGCTCTACTCAAGCAGAGATTTCTTCTCTAAAGTGCTTGTGTAATAGCCCTTTGTTATGCTGCACAACAGTCCCTCATCCACATGTTGAGTTGTATTTAAAATGTTTTATGAAATGCACTGTAGATCTATTTTATCTCATTAATTTTATAATTTTTTTTACATTTTCTGGTAATAATATTTATTAATAAATATTTTTACATGATGTTTTCTGTGTGCTACACTTGTATTTGTCTTTTTGTGGGGTCATTTTAACGTTCATTCGGACTAAAACAGTAAAATCTGTACAGTCTGGAATTACTTTCCCATAATTCTTTCTTATCTGTTTTGGAGTGTGCCAATAAGCTGTTGAGAAAAGCCCCAAACCTCAAACAGGTAACTGAAAATCGGAAATTAATTACATGGGAAGTTTCCTTTATGACATGTCAGGCTCAGTTCCAGCCATTATGAGCGAGACAATAATATCCTAATCATCTCCCATTTAACTGTGGAATGCTTAGTCAATGGTGTAAAAAACCTGCAGCATACAATCACAGGACATACACTACTTCTGTTACAAACAAGGGCTGTTTTCTTATTTGCGCTGCTACATCCAGCACAGTTAATAACACTCTTCCCTAAATGATTTAAACACATCCAGTACAGGAAGAGATGGATTTTGTAGAGTAGGTGTTTAAATAAGAGGACAATATTCTTTCTGCAGAATGCAAAACAACTTGAAATAGACATAGAGAATTTCACAAAGTGGGATTTTCAGTTGCCTAGATAAGGCAGTGGTCTATCTAGGATGGATAAGTAAAGGATGCTTCTAGTGGACAGTCCTCATTTTGGGCTTATCTTCTGCAGTTTACTTAGAAACTGTGCTTTTCTCTCTTGTGTGCAACCATATTGAGTGTTATGTACTGAGAGTTATCTATTTCAATTCAACTGCTGTTAGAACATGGAAGCACTACATGGCCTAAAAACTTATTACCATGACATGTTTTTTTTATCTATAGACTGTTGATTGCTTGATCAAAATAGATACAGGCGTATTGGCAAAGACAAAGTTTGGTTACACTTTCAAAAGATCTTTCTTTGAAGCAATGGAATAAAAAAAACACTTTGAGTTCCTAAAGAACCTTTCAACAGAGCCATCTACTGTAAGTTTCTTTAAGGAACATAAAAAGGAAGGAAAGTGGTCCTTCCAGGGTATCACTTTAAACAACCTTATTTGGCAATTATATTTTAAGAATGTAGTTTGTGAAAAATGAAACCTATTCAGTGTTCATAGAAAAATAACTAAGCTCAAGGGTATTTGCATATTTTTGCTTGTCGTGTATGATGGGGTTTTAACTTTGCTATTCCTCAAACTGGTTTCCCAGACAGCCTTGAACAAGACTGAAAATGATTTCAACTGAAAATGTCCACTGCCAGTATAACTTAGTATATAACGAAGCGTGTTTAGTATCTTTGATTGACAGTTTGATTATCCCACTAGACGTAATAGCACAGTTTTTTTTTTCTGATTAGTTTCAAAACCTCTTATTTGCCTGTAACCCTTCGTTTCTTATTCAACGTCTTAATCCCACGTTATTGACCCCACAGTGCACCCATACTGCACTGCCTGCTGAAAAAACACCATAAGGTGCAGACTCCAAACCAGAATGTATAGAAAACAAAGAGGGAATTCTTGTGTTTCCAATATCTCTCAAAGAACGAACACTTGCTTCACTGCTTTTGTAAGATGTTGAATTTATGTCGTATAATGCTAGTACTGTCACATCTCATCTACCAAACGACAACTGCTCCATTTAATATTGCACTAGTTCTAGTTCTGATTATTGGCTGGATCCTGCCCCGTTGCAACCAGATAGTCAGTCAGCATCTGCTAGATGCACAGCTCTGCAGATTCACAAAAGGCTTTGTTGAGAGTTTGCAAGTGTGCATTTTGTGGCCTCTGTGAGGCTCTTAGCAGCACCTGGGCCAGAAACCACAGTTCCCACAAGATTATGATGTTCCAATAAAGTGGTATCCAACCCTCATCCTAGAGTACCCCCTGCCCAGCATATTTTGGTGTTTTGTCCGCTCCCAATACACTTGATCTAACTAAGAAGCTCATTAACAAGCCTTGCTGAGAAGTGAGTGTGTTAGAGTAGGAAAACACAAAAATGTGTAGGTCTGTGTCAATGGTTGTGGTCGCACATTGTGATGTATGCTGGTTAGAAATTTTGTCTGACTTTTGCTGGTGCTGCAGAACGTTATGTCATGTGACATTAAAATCTTGCTGGAGCATTTTGGCGGCAGTTTTTAAGTCAGGCGCTGTAGTTGCTCTCCATCTGCTGCATGAGCTAAAACACACCTTTATGATGTTAGAACATCATTCTCATTGGCTGAAATCTCTCATGTTACCTCTTTTGGTTTTCTCTCCCAAAAGGGGATGACATTAATTTGATTTCCTCCTTCTGGCAGTTCATTGGGCCTCATTCACCAACCATTCTTAAGAAGAAATTTCTTCTAAAAAATAATGCAGTTTTCATGAAGATTCTGACATTCACCAATGTTTTCTTATTAGGGATTTGTTCTTAGGTAAGAACAGAATCTACCCCACTCAAGAGCACAAACGTGCAAACAATTCAGCATTTTAAGAGCGTGTCATGAATCTGACATAACCTTTTTCTTAGGATCTTTCTCAAGAACAAATTTAAGAAAAACTGTAGAAGATATTGGTGAATGAGGCCCAGTGTTTACATATGATCACCATACACTATAGCTTTTTATTTCCAGCAAAAAGGCTATAAAAACAGTTTAGTTAAGTTTATTATTTTAAAAGAAATAATGCCCTTGCAGGTCATAATTTATTCTTTAGATGCCTTGTCACCTTCCTGGCAATGTGGTTGCCTTTGTAATTTTGTCATTTTCACTCAAGTATGTGGTTCTCAAAGCCTCGAAAAGTGTGGCTCTAGCAGGCAATACATGTATGACTCTCCCACACACCTTAACCCACTGCCCTGATGTTTTATAATACATTACTTTGATTTAATTTGATGTGTGTCAAAAGTTGAATGTGGATTTTCAAGTGCTTTAATTTCATCTGCAACCAAAAAGGCTAATGCCACCAGATCAGCCATGCTCACAACAATGGTAGTAGTAGTAGTAGTAGTAGAATGTGTTGAACTTGATGGCAGTGTTTTCATACAACACCCCTGCAGTCCTTGGCAGTTCTTGTCCATCATGAAGTCGGTCAAAGTCAAAAATGAAAGCAGCCTTTGTGATGCACCAGTGGCACTGATGCAACTAACCAGCATGCACTGTGCCAAACCAGGCGCTTAATCAATCTGTGCAGCACTGCATTAAGCTGAGCATGCTATCAACATGGCAGCCGAGGAGAGACAGCAAGACAGGGGATATGAGCTGGGTAGCGAATGAGCTGTTAAAAAAGGAAACTGCTTATGTATTGCGTAGCTGTGGCCAACAACAGCTGGGAAATAAAGCACCACTATTTGCACAGAAGCTATGTCTCTTTTAATAGCAGTGAGCACTACAACACCATTACATGCAAATGAGTGTTGAGTAGTAACAGAATGCATGTAATGACGTTGCATGATCAGGATACAGAAATCTTAACCGTATTCTATTACAGTTCCAGAAAAAGGCAGTAATCAGATTATTGCTACAGTATAAATACAGCGTGATTAGTAATCACTGATTACCAACAGGCTTACAGTAAAATTGCACACACGTGAACTTGTCGCTTTTCGTATAGATTTGAAGAGTTGTATATTTTGGGAAGAGGGGATGGGGTCCCGCTGCCTGGAAAGATTTCTGAAGAGTCTTGATGACCTCCAGTTCTGTCTTGTATAAACAGGGCTAAAGACTAATAAAATGATTTACAAGATACACAGAATTTTGAAGGTCGCTTTGCTCTTGATGCAGTTCTGCATGTCCTGCAGGATGATTTTTTTTATTAACACATGCTTGATTTGTTCCAACTGTATATATTCCAGAATATCACACCTTTGCTTTGTCTTGACGTTCTCGATGTTTATCTTATATAAGGAAACGGTTTCTGAAGCTAATGAAAGTGAAAGTAACTCACATCTGTCCGAACGCGTCTCAGGTGAGGTGTTATGTTTCTATATTTGATGTATTCGGGGTTTTTCTTGCCTTATGGCTCTTTAAAAATGAATGGCTTGTCCTTATTGAGGCAGAATAATGGTACAGGGTTTTATTGGCCTGGGCGGTGTATTCGGATATCGTCGATGATGGAGCCGATGGCCATGTGAAAAAGGTGAGAATCGCTGTTTTGGGAAAAGAGTTGAGAGAGATTAGAGAGGACTGATGTACCTCAAACAGCTTGTAAATATGATGGGAAGTTGGCGTTAACGTTTAGGAAGACCCAACAGCCTGTTTTTTCTGTGTTCTGTGTGTATGTGTGTGTGTGTGCGCGCGTGAGAGAGAGAGAGAGAGAGAGAGAGAGAGAGAGAGGATGTCTCTGCTGCGTGTGATTTACTGAGATTGCTGATTGCTAAAATTTTCTGTACAGTTTAAGGCTCTTTCAATGAATTGAGTTCAGTTTATGTCTCACTACCTTTTAAAAGCAATAGAGTGGCCGCTGTCGTTATTGTTGTGTATTTCTGTAAAAGGGAATCTGTACTTTAATTTAATTTAGCATTTACATGATCACAAAAACATTTAAATGATCACAAACTTCACTATGAAATGTATTCATTAAAATATTCCAGTAAAACCATAATTACAGTGTTATTTGGTTAATTTTTCAAGCAATTTAATTTTAAAAGAATTATGTTCCCTATTGTTTTTTTTGTTTTGTTTTGTTTTTTAATTTAGCAAAGAGTTATTCTAACCTTTGTCCCACATACACAACCCTGTTACCCAAACCTGCTCCACCCGTAAAAAAGTCACGCAGCATTCCATTTATTATGATACTGGAGTTTGTGTCATCCTGTTGTTTTCTGCAAACTGATTTGGCTGCATAAAAATAGTAAAGCTTGATCATCCAAACCTGTTACCAAAATTACTGTTAGAAAAAGGAATATGTGTATGTATTCTTTAAAGTATGTAAACTATGTGGTTATTAGTAGTTACCCACCAAAATGTGTCTGGCTCACTTGTGGGTCACATCCTTGGTTTGTTCTGGCCCAGTATATGACTGGGTCCTCTGCCCAGATCTGGCTCACACACTGTAAAGTGAGTAGAACTAAAGGATATGGCCCAAATCTGTTCCCAATCTGGCCCAACTACATTATTGGTTTACAATATTCATGCCAGAATTGTCCCACAAATGTAGACACGAGGTAAAACAGCATGAAGCTGTCCAGGATCTGGCTCTATTCTGGCCTGCATGTCTAACATCTACCTGGTAGTCAACCAACAGAATTGACCCAAAACTGTCTGCTATCTGGGTAGTGTGCAACGTATGCACCCTGCCTAGCTAAGCACTCCTGAAAGCTAGCTTATTTTAGGTTAAATTCACAACCCTGTTACCCATTTTTAACCTTCAGTTATTTTAAATGAAAATGGCTTGATTTTAATGAAAACATATATACTTGTCCTTCTGTTCTACGTTGAATACTTTATGTTTTTCTACTAAAATAATATTAATATTAATTGAGAATATGATCTCAATTATTTTTGGTGAAAATAGCTTTAAAACATTTAATTTGGTAGGTTATATTACCAGAAATGTCATTTTGGTAATGAGAGTCCTTAGTTAAAATTACTAATACAAATTACTAATATCTTTGTTTAGAGAGAAAAACTCTAAAGGTTTTGAAGCAATATATATATAAGAAATGTCGCTGCTGTCGGAACAAAACCTCCTATCTCCAATTTTGTCGTTTTTTAGTTTTTGACATAATCTGAAAATACCCGTTGTCCTTTACATTGTGTGTAAAATTCATGATGAATAGACAAAAATAAACAGCCCAAAGGACTTGGAGAGAAATCTGGTTTCATTAACTTACATTAAAAGTAAAGTATGTTTTTTTCTTCTGCTGTAAAGTTACCATTTTGGAAATACAAGGTTTTGTTCCAAAAGTGTGTTTTTTCCTATAAAACAATGATTTCAATGTACTGGCTTTTCAATGCCATTTATACATCTCCATAAAAACTGGTAACATGAGCCACAAAACGCTGTACATTTCAGAAAAAAACTCGATAGAATCTGATTTGACAGGCTGAGGTGGGAAAATAACATTTTAGATGGTTTAGCAATTTTTGATTAAAACATTATCAAAAAGTGCCTTAAGTGACCTGGTGGTATGTTGAATTATGAAAACATCACTGTAACGTGCCACTGTAACACCTTGTTTTTTATTTGTAAAGCATGTGGACGTGGCTTTGGAAGCGGCTTGCAGTTTGAAGCACGCAAGTCACCATAAATCTGCACCAGAAGAAGCTCATGAACGCATGTGTTTACAGTAAGGTGACTTAGTTTTCACGAGATGTTGGGTTGCTAAATATTTTATTATTACTCAAAACAGTAGAAGAAAGACAGAAATGCAAAAACAATACAAGTGCAGAGGTGACTTACATCAACTCAACATGGAAACAAACAACTACAGAAAGACAGATAATGACCTCTTGTGACAATTAGGGAACTTTCAGGCATGAGTGTGACAGGAATATGCAGTTCATAGATTTTCTAACATACTTTAGACTCATTTTAAAAACTGTTTGAAAATCTGGTGTGAAGTGACATGGAATTGCTACACAACGCACGATTCCACTGCAGTGAAAAGGTGTTGGTTTATTACGTTGCACTGTACATGATACTGCAGCTGGCAATCCCTAATATATTTGTGTTGACCTTTGAAACTGTTTGCAGAGGGCAAGTGTACATTGTCTGTGTAGTTAATACACAAGACACAGAGAAGAGATAGACAGATAGATAGATAGAGAGAGAGATAGATAGATAGATAGATAGATAGATAGATAGATAGATAGATAGATAGATAGACAGATAGACAGATAGATAGATAGATAGATAGATAGATAATCTATCAAGAAATTTCAGTTGAAATGCCTTGTCTGTGATATCGTTGGTGACAGGATGGCAGAGAGTGAAGATGGCAAGTGCCAAGAAGCCGGCTCGCAGAAGTCGGCCACTTCTGAAAACAGGAGTCAGAAAATGTCAGTTCTGACCTTCCGACTAGGCAAAAAAAAAAGAAGAGAAAAAGAAGATTGTAAGACAGATGGCACCAGTCCAGCATCCAGCACGGAGCCTCCTGACGCACCAAGTAAAACAATTTACTTTGTTAAATACCAAAAGCTAAATGTTAATGTAGAGGCCAAACATGACATTACATGAGAAAAGAGTTCTTGGACTGATTACAGTATGTTCTGCTATTGCACTATTACACATTTGTCTGTGCAGACTGTGCACTCTCAGAAAAAAAGGGGTATGACACTGTCACTGGGGCAGCACCCCTCTTGTCACTGGGGTGGTACTCTCAAGGGTACATCTCAGTACCTCTAGTCAGGGAACACAATTGTACCATAATCCATTGAAATTATATATAAATTGTATTGACCACACACCCCGTCTCATCTCCAGCCTTTTTATTTTATTGTTCTGTTGTAAAACTCTGTGTGTGTGTGTGTGTGTGTGTGTGTGTGTGTGTGTGTGTATGTGTGTGTGTGTGTGTGTGTGAGAGAGAGAGAGAGAGAGAGAGAGAGAGAGAGAGAGAGAGAGAGAGAGAAATGTCTTCCGGTGTAGCCTGAGAAAGAATTTTTTTTTCTGTGTAGACAGAGAGCAAGCAAGAGAGATATTTCTGTGTAGAGAGAGAGAGAGAGAGAGAGAAAGAAAGAAAGAAATTCTCTGTAGACTGAGAGAGAGAAACCTCAGATTGTCTGTCTTCTGCTTCCTGTTAGCATAGCAGATGTTACAGACTTCCGAGTTCACGTACATGTGAAAGCTCTCATAATGTTCCAGCTGCTGAATGAGGTGGTGAGAAACTCTGTGCTCGTTTCATTTTTCCAAAATGCCCACCCAATGTCATCTTTAGCCCATTTTGTGAGAAGTAAAGGATATCTTTGATTCCAAAAAATGTGTCACAATTTTCATGCCATTAACTCTTAAAAAAATATGAAGTAAAAAATCCAAATGCGACAGAATTGCTGTTCAGAGTTTATGAGGAACCTGTATTTCACTAAATTTCCCAGCCCAAACTGGGAGATTTTATGTTAAGTTCCATGATTACTGAAAAACAATTCTATTATAGTTCTAGCTAGAAAAAGAAGAGGAGGAAAAACTGTTTTTGCTGTACTGTCTTTATGAAACAAAGAAGAAAACAAAAAGACACAGGTGGTACTTGAGACCTTTTAAAGAGATCAAGGGTTGAGGATGGTGAGTTTAGAATGATACTAACACCTATGAGGTACATTGACGAGGAAATGTCTGCAAACCGGTTTGACAGCTTAAAGGTGAGGATACCTTCATACCTGCTCTAAAAGATGCTTTTTAAAGTCATCCATCTTTGTTTCATAGCATGCATTGTTTTGTAACACTCAATCATATGCTGTGTCACATAGTGTTTTTATCCGTAGAGTTCTCCCAGCTGCCATGTGCGCAACATGGCGAGCAAACATGCTGCGTGATGCCTGTGATTGTTGCACAGAAGTGCAATTACTTCATATTGTTTGTCGAAGCTAGACGAACATGGTAGAAGTATGAACTGAAAAATAAACTGAACCCTTGATATAGTATGGGGCTCTCTACCTCCTTTATGCCACCTTGTGCCAAAAGGGAGTCTATTTTGGCCTGCAAGGCAGCAGCCTGAACTGAACCTCTCACACTTATTTGACTGAAGTGGCTGTGGGGACGGGGCCATCTGAACTGGAGCCGGTAGCCCTTTGACAGAGTTGCAAGAACCCATAAATCTTGGATAGTTGAGGCACAAGCTGCCAGTTGGGACTCAAAATGCAGTCCAACTGTGGCCATCAGCGAGAGGCGCGTCCAGGTTTTGAACTAAAGGGTGGGCACTGCATTGAGGCTTGCGGGCGATGAATAGTGCCAGGGTCTTTCGGGGGGTGCTTGTGTACCCTCTGCATGGGTGAGGCCATGCCCTGTGAAGATTCCCACCGTTGTATTGGCCGCTGGGGAGGGTGGAAATGTGCAGTTTGAGGAACACACATTTGTTGCTGGTGAGACACTAGTGTGCAACATTCCAGAGCATCTTTAGCAGCTGACTCAAACAGGTGGCTCGGCACGTAGTGTAGTTCTACACACATCTGGTATGATGTCATTAGACTCCCCAGTTTAAACTGTTGTTTAAACATTATCACAACCTGTGGGTGTTAATGTGACTTTTTAACTGTTTTCATTTAACTCTTTCTGGCTTGAAGGGAAGAAGACTGTTGAACAACCATCCTCTGAAGACAGAGCCATCTCATCATCTAAATCCAAATTTCTAAAATTTACAAAAGTAATTTTTTTTAAAAAGAACTTGCAACAACAGAGTAATAAGATCCAGCCTTCAGGTAAAAAAAAAAAAATTTACCACTCATCAAATTTACCACAACATTAAGATGTCAATAGTTTAGCCAAGTATCTGTAAATATATAAAGGTTTTATGTTGTTTATACTGATGTTTTACACATGGTATGTATAGTTTTGTGTTATTTTACTGTTGTAAGAGTTCAGATTGTCCTGGTGTCCAATGAATTGTCTTTGTTTCTGTACCTTGCAGAGATTCCTTTGACTTTTGAGCAGAACCTAAAAGAGCAGTACTTTGCAGAGGCAGGGAAGCAGCTGATAAACCGTGAGGAGCATCTGTTTTCAGTGAAACAAGATGGGGTGGAATCCAGCAAGAGCCTTGTGGAGGAAGAGGAGGATAATGAGAAAAGTCTGAGAAAAGACTTTGAAGACCTTTTGGAGGAGGTGTGGTCAACAGTGGAGAATTCCTTCGAGGCTCAAACAGAGAAAAAGACAGCGGCGCTAAAACAGGCAGTCCTGGTCATACAACAAGAGGAGGAGCAGGACAGGAGATGGGAAGGGGTAGCAGAAAAAGAGCGCCCTCCATGGAGGCCTCGGTGCTGCAGGCGGACACACGACTCTCTGCTTCAGAATATGGTTCAGCGGCGAATGGAAGAGGCAAAGTTAGACTCAAACGCTGACATTAAATCTTCAATTCCAAAGGGAATCACAGGCAAAGGTAAACAACTTAAGGAGGACCTGCTACACATTGTAGAATATGTGAGGAGCTGCTACCCAGGAGAGAATGTGTGCCAACTATATGCTGAATTATACCATCAGGCCTTTTGTGCTACGCTCAGAGAAATCACTGACTATGGACTCTGTAATGATGACTGCTCACATGTGCTGCAGTGGGTGAACATACATTATCCCAGGTAAGGCAGGAGATCTCATGTTGTGGCATATTATGACAAATGAACCATAATCTACTGTATATTCCATTATTGAGCCATGCTCTGCTTTTTTGAAGTATCCTGAGGCTTAAAGAGCTTAAAGGGGTTATTGAATATGAACAGCTAGAAGCACTCCTGCCTGAAAATGTGCTTAAACCACTGGAGGAGCAGTGTTTGACCGAAATAGAGGTATATTATCATTTAAAATCTCTTAAACAGTACTTATAATTAATTACTCAGCTGCTGAGATCTTTTGACTTGTATGTGTTTTGACCTTTGTTCATTCTTTCTTATTCATGTTCCAAGGAAAAGCTGCAAACATGGTGCCAAAATATTTTAAAAGAGGAGAAAGCTGAGCCTGAATTGAGGGATGGATGCTACTTCAGCCCTCTGGCCACTGATGTGATTAAGGTATGACGGAATGTACAGTCAAATGCAGTGCAATAGAAAAAAGCAGTGCTGTGTAAAGTGATTATATGATATTCTGATTGAAAAAGACTTTCTGTCTTTCTCTGGCAGTGTGTCCATGATGCTATAATGTCAGCACAGGAAGTGCTGGGCTCTTGCTCAGAGTCTCAGAGGATCACACACCAGATTAAAGAATTCTTCATTAGGTGAGTCGCTAATTTCTGGGACCTGGTTTCAAATATTTCTTGTATTGCAGTTTCATACATCATACTTTACATTTTTAAAGTCAGTCAAACTTGCTTTAGTCATGTTTCTGATATTTTCTCCTCTTTTCAGTTACCAGGATTACCTTAAGAGCATGACTGAGGGTAATGAGGGGAACACTGATGCTGTACTGAAGGCCAACCTTCTCTGCATCAGACAATTCAGGTGAGCATCCAGAAATAGATCTTAGAGTTTTTTAGTATTAAGTCATTTTTTTAGATGATCCTTTTGTAAAACTTTATCCTCAGGGAATACATAACAACGAATCAAGAACTCTTTCCTACACATATTAAGTCTGACTGTATGAGTTTGCTGCTCAGCATAAGAGAACTGTGCCATGCCTATTTCACCAAGTCTGTCCAGAAAGATCTGAAGGTAAGTCAGATCCAGTAAATGTATTTATTTTATATTTAACTGATCTATTACTTACCCCTGGTGGTTTGCAGCTAACTGCAATTTACATTATTTACCTCTTTTATTGGTTATTCCCTTTATTTGTCAGTACTCGTTCTGCAGTGGCTATCAGATCTTGTTTTGATGTTAATTCACTTATTAGGCCAGTGACCTGTAGAAGATAAAATGTTAACCTGTTCATGTGTTTGTTTACTTCCACAGGGGACATATGCCAAACTGGGTACTAGTGAGTGGCTCAAACACAGTGAACATGTGTGTGGTGAGCTGCTTGAAGGAGTGGACACACACATTCAGAAACTCACTAACTTTGACAAAACATGCCTTCAGGTACAGAGTGTGTAGATCTATTAACAAATGAATATACTGATTTCTGTACATATTTGGGATGGACTGATGGAGTCATATTGATTGATTGACAGGACCTGCTCAGTCATCTTCACAAAGAAGTGCTGGCAGAGTATGTAAGGAAAATGATGAAGAAGAAGAACAAACTTGGAGATGAGAATATACAACAGGCAGCTGAGGCATTACGTGACAACAACCAGAGAATACACACCATGTTTATTGAAGCTGTAAGTATCTCTCTCTCTCTTTAATTTTCAGTGTCAGGAGAAATGCACAAAACATACAATGACCGGCCACTTCTTTAAGTAAAGCTACTTTGTTTCTACACTCATTGTCCATTTTATACTCAGCTCCACTCTCCACAAAGGTGCACTTTGTAGTTCTACAATTAAAAACTGTAGTCCATCTGTTTCTCTGCATACTTTTTGGCCCCCTTTTACACTGTTCTTTAATGGTCAGGACCTCCACAGGACCACCACAGAGCAGGTATTATTTGGGTGGTGGATCATTCTCAGTGCTGCAGTGACACTAACGTGGTGCTAGTGTGTTAACGTGTGTTGCGCCAGTACAAGTGGATCAGACTTATTTCAGGCGTAATCCAACACAGCAATGTAAATTACACAAAGTCATTACATGTCACTGGGCCTCACTTTGTAAGCTATTTGTAATTTACAACACACCAGCTTGAACTTAAACTCACTCTGAGAAGTATCCATGGCATTTTTAAATTATTAGGTGACATGAAACTGAATGAGCAGATGGAATGACTTGACGTGAGGAAGGGGCTCACAATGCTGAGTTAGGTGACCCTTGTGGAAGAAATCTCTAAATAAAACAGAAAACAGTAAAATCTCAGAGTCACAATTAATGCCCCAACGCAATATATTTATTGAAAACTTTTGGCTGGTAGAAGCTTCTGGCAGATACCCAGAGACCTCAAAAGTCAGACCAAAATTGCAAGAAGTTATATATTCCCCAAGTGGGATGCTGTTACAATTCATTGGTTAACAGAGAACAAAGAAGTCACACTTCATTGGTTACATGTAATTGTGACATGAATAAACAAGAGAGTGTTAACATATATGCAATGTTAACATGACAAGGAAGAAAAATCACAAACAAAGTCTTTTCACATCTGGTCTCTTCAAGATGAGCTAGCCTGCAACCTCAAGGCCATTTAAAGAATGATTCACAGACCTGCTTTGCTTGCCACACCATCAGGCCGTGAACCGGCTCACAGAGGACTAGCAATATCATTGTCACTCAAGCAATCGACTGGGCGAGTCCTGTGTCCTACACTTACATGGAGCTGCACAGCTGGACCACTTTAACACTGCACACCAACCCCACACAGCAGACACCGCAGGCAACTGATTCTGGGTAGCATCGCAAATCATTTTGCCTTGTTCAGCCTGGCTAGGGCACTATTTTCTTTCTTTCTTTCTTTCTTTCTTTCTTTCTTTCTTTCTGCCTTTTTTTCATTCTGTCTTTCTGCCTTTCTGCCTTTTTTTCTTTCTGCCTTTGTTTCGTGGAGGTGAGATAAGATGCAGGTCCGCTACAGATTCCCTTTTGAGTCAATAAAACTCATAGCCTAAACACAGGTCATCTTTAGCTTCTCTGAAAAATACATTTAGACAAAGCCCCTTATTAATGCTGCAGTGATTAAGACTTCCTCTAGTTGAGTGTGATACCACATTATGCATTTAAATAGGCAAATATAGCATTAAATGAAAACATGCCACAAAACATTATAACAGAATGTATATTGGCCTATAGGTATGGAATATTAAAATATACGAGCTGAAAATATGCTCCAATTACAGTTATCTTGCCATAAACCTCAGTAAAACCATGTCTTTAGCTGGTTTCAGATAAACCTCAGTTAAACTTGATAAGCAACACCATCTAGAGGTAGATGTGTGATTGTTAAAAGACACAGGAATTGGATGTATTGTATATGATATACTGTATATGGGTTGATTGATGGATTGATTGATTCATTCCATTTTATTTGATTTCATGAACAGGGGTCAAGAATGGATAAACTGAAAGACGTCCTGGAAAGTCTTGCTGATCTGCTGATACTGAAAGATCTACACACTATTGAATTAGAGCTTGTGAATGTGTCCAAAAGCTACCCCGACTTCAGGTACAGATTACCAAACATTTTATCACATTTAGGTTAAATATAACCTTTGCACTTTGGTAACAAGTTGATCTGATCTTCTGCCTTTACAGTGAAGCTCATGTCTGCGCCTGGCTGCATCTCAGGGCGACCCTCTCTACCTCAGAGCTCAGAATGATCAAGAAGACTTTCTCAGAGTTACGGGAGCTAAACACACCAGAAGAAACTGATAATCAGGAGCAGGATCCGCTCTACTCAAGCAGAGATTTCTTCTCTAAAGTGCTTGTGAAATGCACTGCACACCAGTCCCTTAGCCACATGCTGAGTTGTATTTAAAGTTTATTGTGCAAACATTTTAATGTTTTTCCAATGCTTTTCTTATATTTTATAAAAAAAAGATTTGTTTATAAATGTTCTGTGTTGTGCTTGTCTTTCTGTGGGGTCATTCTGGTATTCATTTGGACTGAAACAATTGAAAAAAACAGATTAAACATTCCAGTCAGGTTTTATGAACATTCTCAGTCTGCTTTATTGTTGTGATTAATGCTAGGTCCTATGCATTGAATAATGGATTTACCAGGCATTGACCCTGGATTAATACCTTTCTTATCTGTTTTGGAGTGTGCCAATAGGCTGATGGGAAAAAAACCCAAACTTCAAACAGGTAACTGAAAATTGGAAATTAGATTACATGGGAGTTTCCTTTATAACTACATCAGGCTCAGTTCCAGCTGTTATGAGCGAGACAATAACATCCTAGTCAGCTCCCATTTAACTGTGGAATGCTTAGTCAGTGGTTCAGTATACAATCACAGGAAATACACTACTTCTGTTACAAACAAGGGCTGTTTTCTGACTTGCAACACTACTTCCAGCACAGCTACAAAGACTCTTTCCTGAACGATTTACACATCCAGTACAGGAAGAGATGGATTTTGTAGCATAGGTGTTTATTAGTAGAATACAGGATACTTTCTGCAGAATGCAAAACAGCTTGAAATGTACATTGGAGCATATCAATTTGTAGGGAATTCCACATAGCAGGATTTTCAGTCACCTAGAAAAGCCAGAGTTCTAGCTTGTCAAACAGCATGAGAGGTAAGGGATATTCTTATTGGACAGTCCTCAGTTTGGGCTTACTTTATTCTGTTCACTCACATAATGTGCTTTGCCACCTTGATGTGCTACTACATTGAGTGTTATGTACTGAGAGTCTGTTTATTATGTCTGTTTGTTATGTACTGAATCTGTTTAAACTCTATAATCCATTCAAGGTGTGAAATACAGGGGGTCCTGGGGGTCTGGGACCCCATGATTAACCTCTTGGACCCCCTGAATATCTTAAAATCAAAAAACTTGCATTATGCTGTCCATTGGGGAAAAATAGACGCTCAAATACAGATTCAGGGAAAGGTCACTGTTTAGCTGCTCCATCTACAATCAGCAAACATCTGTCTTTGGTATTCTTAACTAACTAGAGGCACATCTCTCGTCTGCCTCAGAGTGGCGCTATAGCAAACTGGCTCACCTTGTTGGTCCTTCATAGCCTAGCAACTATAACTTTGCCCAGGACATATCTGAAAAACTTTACTATATGCAGCAGCATATTTGTAAATCTGAAAACTTTCCCAGTTTTCCAAGAGATCAAAGTAAAGCTTGTCTTTAGTCTGAAATGGACTGGATGACTGTCCATCTGTACAGATCTATCTGACACTATTAAACTGCAGTGTTCATGTGCAGCCGAGACAGCAGCTCCAATATTTCAGGCGACAGGGTGTGATGTGTCCTCTGTTTTGAAAGGCCTCCTGACTAACGTCCAGTATTTCCTTCATCTGTCGTCTTGACAATCCCCTTTTCCACTTCAGAAGAGCAGGCAGGTGCTCCTCACTGCAAGACATTACAGACAAACCATCTTTGAATTACGGCTCTATGAATTAAAAACATAAACTGAACAAAGCTCATCATTGATTATTGACAGTGAATAAGGGTCAGTCAGTAGAGTTTACCTCTCTTTAGGGAAGTCTCTGTACAGGGCTGCACAGATGAGCTTGAGAGCATTTATATCATTGCACCCCAAAATCTCACTCATCTTCAGCAGAAACATTTTCTGCTCATCATCACTGACACTCTGCTTTAAACAGACAGGTAAAAATGACATTCACATTACATTACATCATACTGTACATACAGTTACGTACAGTATACATTACATTTTAAAGTGCAAATTGCTATAAGGACTAGTCAGTTGATTGATATACTATATTGATAGACATTCTTTCCATTTCATTATATAATTAAATATTCCTCTTTCGGTCTTCATGTGGTTGTATTCTGGCAGTGAAATCATTCACTGAATTTCAAGTAAAACTCATGTACAAGGAAATGTATTTGTTTTGGCAACTAGTTTATTTTAAAAATATTTCTCAAAACAGCTACCAGTGAGAGATTACAACGTTCATCACAATGACTTTTGAGTTTTGTCATTTTTATAAAGTTACATTCTGAATTTGGGTGGGTGGAGCCAGTCCTGGGCAATACTCACATTTTTGGTATTTACTAGTTGTGTGAAGGTGGAGTGGAAGAGTTCCGCATCTCTCATCATCCTCTTGTCAACATCACTCCATCTCCTTTCCAGCTGTTTGCTTTTTCTCTGCATCAGACATTGCAGGTATGCTCTGGTAACACTTGGGTATGCTGCATTTACAATGTGCTAGAAAACAGAGAAGTGGTTGGATAATGAGTTGTTGTGAGCTGGATTCTGGACAAAAATATGTTGCAGTGAATTTAAAGTAATTTGTTACCTGTTTTGCCCTCTCTCCCTGTTCCTTTTGTGGTAGAGGAGCAAACATATTTTGAATCATATCCATCAATTCGTGTATGTGTATGTCATTTTCCTTGAAATACTTCTTCAGGTGGTCCTAAAATGGTAATTTATGGAGAAAATAATGTCTTTGAAAAATCAACAGATTACATTTATTGTAAATCATGAATATCAGTGCTACTGTAGTACAGGCCCAGTCACTAAGCTATTGTTGGCCTTTTTTGGCCTCACCACATTAGAGGTTTTCACATGAGGAAGCAGTTGTCGGGAGAATACTTTATAATCCTATACTTTTTAATGATGTAACACTACAAAGTTGACACATACCTCTGCTAGGCCTGCCATCCACTGCTGTAGATTGGCTACAACTTGGGCCTCCATGTTCTCCAACATCAGGAGAGTGGATGAGTCTGTGTTATTGTTTGAATCCATAATGTCGAGAGTGTACGACCTGCAGCAAAAGAAAAGCATGACAAAAGAAATGTCTATTACAATCATAAGCCCAAAAGTTACATGTAGTTCATGCAAATTAGAATGTGCAGAACTTGTAAACAAAACAGAAGCTTGTCATTAGAAAGATATTTTAGGCTGACAGGAAGTCAGCTACTATTATCTCATTGGCAAGCTCAGACTGTACTGTTGCAGGTAAAAATAATTTTTTCCACTTCCTCGTGGAAAATAAATAAATAAATGAACTGATAAACAAATCAGTTAAACAAATAGTCCCATGACCTAACAGTGCCATTTTCATATCCTGGTTTTGTTTTGCAGATCACTTTCCAAACTCACCGGAGGTGCTTACACGTGTCAATTACCCTGAAGAGATGGAGTGAATATGTTTCATTGGAATTCTGGGCCTCCAGATGTTTCTTCTCATCATTCACATACCTGTAAAGATACAGCTGTTATCATTTCAAAAAAATAAAAAACAAGTCCTCTAACAGGATGATGTAGTATGTAATTGTATTTGGTTGTGTGTCTGTATATCTGGCTTAAGAAATCAGTATTAGAAATAACAAATGTACCTCTCTACAAAGGTGTGGAGTTCATCACAGCAAAGTCGTTGAACAGCAGTTATCAGGGTGTCGCTGATTAATTTTGTACTCTGAAGAGCAGCATCCAGACACTGGAGAGAGAGAAAACGCTTGAAACATCTGGAATCAGTTGTTAGATAGTTTACCCTGAGCACGAGATGAGAATTTCTCCCCTATTAGTACCTGTATAACATCCAGATGAACTTTAATAAGATCCTCTTCATTTCTACAATCACAAGGAGCCTCACTGTACAGCAGGATGTTCTGCAGCACAGTTGAGATGTGCTCCTGAAGGAGTGTAAGGAACTTCTGCTTTGACTTCTCAAACCAGCCAGTCAGTAACAGAGGGTCAGATACTCGGAGAACGTGGTCCTGGATGTTGGGGCTTCCTGTAAAGCAATGACTGCAAAGGAATTGAAGAAATGTAGTGCAAAGTGGTTTTAAATGTCTATTGCCTCTTTATAAAAGAAGCACAAATGTTCTTAAACTCAATGTGTGTTAATGTACAAATCTTTTATTCAGAATCATTTCTATTAGTCCATTCATCATGAAATGACAAGGTAAAGAGCAAGTGATGTTTTCAAATGAAGTGAAAAAAATTAACAATGAAAAAATGGAGTCACTTGGTTTTGATATGACAATAATTGATAATTGTATAATCATTATAAATTTTATCACATATAAATTATATAATAAAATATGTGTTTTTAAAAATTATAATTTGATACTTCAATATCACACTATATAACACAACAGTATTTTTTTGGTACCTACCTAAAGTATGTCTGCTTCACCCACTGTAGGAGGATTGAGGTCTCTTTCACTGTGGAACTTCTATCCATTAACAAGTCCAACACAGCAAAGAGGCGGCGATTATAGCTGTCAATCAGGTAACTCAGCAGTCTTGAGTTCTCTAAAACAGGAACTAAGCCAGTCACCTTGCTCCACACCAAACTCAGGTATTTCAGGTATTCCCCTGGCTGTAGCTGAGAGTCTCTGGAGCCCTCTGGTGGCAGAGCGGAAAAGTGTTTGTCTACAGACATTTCTACTATGTCGAGATACTCTCTCAACCAGTTTTGAGAGTAGCTGCCCTCTTTTCCCTCAGGTGTGATACCGTTCACTTTCGCCCACTGTTTAACCTGCTCAGCAGCTTGCTTCAGCTCCTGGGACCTTAAATCTCCCAGAAGAACATCTCTGAGAATGGAGAGGACCCTCTGACCTTCATCTTCAGAATCCTGAGCTTGTATCTCAGGGTCTGTTCCAGACTGGTCGGTACTGTTCAGGCAGTGAAAGGTTTGTGTTATGGAATCTCCTGTTGGAGGCAAGCGGATGAATGTCAGTGTCATCTTTGGTTGACATGACATCTATTTTATTCAAACAGCATAAAATGAAAACTGTTCTTAAAAAAATTACAAAATGTTTTCATATGATGCAGGTGAATTGTTTTTTTTTCTAAGAACTTTTCATAGTATTTTTTGTGTGTGATCTCTTTAATTAAGAAAAATGCAGTGTAAAATTCTGTTTTAAAATATTGTGGTGTTATTCTAAAGGGTCAGTTTTACTAAGCTAACATATAATTCTTCAAGACCATTTATTAAAAATAATTAGACCCTATTTGATTTCATCAGACACAGCAATCTCCTCAACTGTGATGGAAAACATCAATAAACAGGCAGCTGCATGTGTTTAAGACCCCCAACAACCAGGATGACAAATATGTGCTTAAGACACATATGGCATCCTGTAAAGAATATCATTCTTTCTCTTATTCTTAATGAATTACACTTCTCACGTCTCCATACATAAGACACCTGAAGAGTTCAACATCTAACTCTTTCCAATAAAACAGCAAATTAATTTAAAAGCACATGAACATGTTTAGCTGCATTAAATGTGTGACTGCTGCCAGCTGGGACAAAGAATGATCAATCATATAGTATGAATTGACCTCTTCTGTGACCACTGTGTCCTCAGCTGTGACCTAAGAAGGATGCCAGAAGAAAGGACCAGAGTGTCACTGGCTGACCAGAAAATATTTGAGCATAACGCTGACAAATGTAAAGTTCTTTGGTCTCTGAACATGTTATATCATCTACCTTTTTTCATTGTGTTTTTTTTTTTTTGTATAGATAAAAAGCTACATTTAAACCAAACATTTGTTTCTATATCTATCAATACAAAGACTATAGGACAAACATTCAGCTGCAGTACCTGAAAGGTATAAATTCCAAATAAATAAAGGAATGTCTCACCATCCACAGGCTCAGTGAGCTGTAAGGTTGCATTGCTCACCAAAGGTTTCCTGCTGTCTTCATCACCTGTCCCCCTTTTTCTCTTCAATTTACGATTCAGTTTTTTCAAAACCTTTGACATTTTTTATGTTTTTTGCTTCCTTCGTCTTTGTCTTTGACACAGACTTTTTAACAGTAGCATCATTCTTTTATACAGTAATGTTGGCCCTCCCCACTCCACGTCATCTGTGGTGTACTTTCCCAGTGGCTCACTTGCATCATTCTAATGCAAAATTTTCATATCAAACTCAGAATGTCAGTGTCATAGTTTGCATGCAAACCTTTAATAACACATATTTCAAACACACATTGAAAGTTTTCTAAGTACCAGAATTTGCAGTTGTGACATGACACACACAATAATTATGGGTAAATTGGAAAACTACAAGGAGTAAGTTAAGGGAAACAACGCCATTTTGGATAAACCTGGGTAATTACAGTAACGTTTAACCAAAAATCAGATTTACATAATTTTCTCGTTACCGCAAAATCTGAAATGAAACATGTACAAAAATGAATACACAAAAAATGGTTCATGTTTGCATGTAAGACATACCAGGTGTGACAATTTAACTCTTTGGTATTTTAAATACACATAATTTAAGAAAACTGTAAACAGGGGCTTTAATGCAAGTCCAGTGAAAGACTCACTTCAAGAATATGGCAGATCAAAGCAGGAAATGTCAATGCAATGGTTAAGCCCAGTCCAAATGACACCCTCTGCAGTCCTTCCCTAAGGCCACACTTTGGTTATGTCAACAACGTACTACAGACCTACAGGGCAAGAGACCTTGAGGGTGCTCCGTTTAAACATGTGCGACATTCAGGCTCTTCCTGTGTTGCATGTGCCATTTTGGCCATTCTCTTTTCTAAAAAAAAAAGAGATGATTGCTTGTCTACAGAATCTGAATTCAGAGCAGAATTCAGAATTCAGAGAACAAGCACAACACAGCTCAGTGACAAGTTAAATTAAACAAAAGCATTAAACAAAAACATTTTACTCATGTCTGAATATTTTTCTGTCCACTTGAATCACTGAAGGCTGCAGCAAAGACATAGAAGTACCCCTTTGAATGCCAAAATAAGAAATGGGACACCCTACAGCCTCGCAGTCCTCACATGCACGCACAATTGTGGATTGCAGGACCATGAGTGTGCCATTTGGGACTGGGCTTTAGTCTTCCCAGGACAACTTCTCCTTTAGTAGGATATGCATAGCTTACACACTGTCACATTATAGTGGATGTCTTTTAACACTGCAGTTGCCACAGTACCATACCACAACATAATCATTTTAACATGAAAAATAATATATATATATAAAAAAAATATATATATATAGTTTATATATATATATCCATCCATCATCTAAACCGCTTATCCTTCTGGGTCGCGGTAGGGTGCTGGAGCCTATCCCAGCTGTCATTGGGCGGAAGGCAGGATACACCCTGGACAGGTCGCCAGTCCATCGCAGGGCAGACAGACAGACATACACATTCACACACTCACTCACACCTAGGGGCAATTTAGCATGTCCAATTGGCCTGACAGCATGTTTTTGAACTGTGGGAGGAAACCCACGCAGACACGGGGAGAACAGGCAAACTCCACACAGAAATGACCCTGGTCACCCAGCCGGGAATCGAACCCAGGCCATTCTTGCTGTGAGGCGACAGCGCTACCCACTGCACCACCGTGCCGCCTATATATATATATAAAAACTAAAAATAAGAGTATAGCTGGAATGTCCAAAATGTTGTTTTCCAGAGCTGTTGTAAACAACTTCATAACTTCATATTTTCCTTCTTACAATGACAAATCTGGGTTAGGTTTCCTGAAAGCATCTTAACACAAAGACCATCATTAAAAGGTTGAGCAAGCATCTTCTTGAACACTTTCTATATGAATTAAGATGATGGTAATACTAAGATGCTTTATGTGTACATTATGCCTCAGTTACATAGTCTTCAGGCAAAACCCTAAGAAACCCATGCTTGTACACACATGAATGGTTTTGGTCTGAAATGGACTGGATGACTGCCCATCTGTACAGATCTATCTGACACTATCAAACTTGCAGTGTTCATGCGCAGCAGAGACAGCAGCTCCAATATTTCAGGCGACGGGGTGTGATGTATTCTCCATTTTGACAGGCCTCCTGACTCATGTCCAGTATTTTCTTCATCTGTCGCCTTGACAATCCCCTTTTCCACTTCAGTAGGGCAGGTAGGTGCTCCTCACTGCAAGACATTACAGACAAACCATCTTTGACACTATTGAATTTGACAGTAAGTAAGGATCAGTCAGTAGATGTGAGATTGAGTTTACCTCTCTTTAGGGAAGTCTCTGTACAGGGCTGCACAGCTGAGCTTGAGAAAATCAAGAGAATCAAGAGAATCACTGCACTTCAAAATCTCACTCATCTTCTGCAGAAACGTTTTCTGCTCATCATCACTGATACTCTGTTTAAAAGAGACAGACAAAAATGAAATTCAGATTACGTTGCAGTGTAGATCACAATCACATACAGTATACACTACAGTTTAAAATTCAAATTGCTGCAAGGACTGATGAATAGGACAATATAAAACAAAGGATATGTTGTCACATTTTTTACTCTGGTTCTCTTATCTCTCAGAACAAATCACTTTCAGCTAAAGCTGGATATAACAAAAGCTCTGGGTGTTCTGCACAAAATGAGTGGAACACTATGTAGTCATTTCATAGGTTTGAGGAGATATTAGGTTTTCAATACATGTGAATTTGTGACAAAAAACCCTATGGCGGGGTTGGTTGTCACAAAAATTATATCCCATGTTAATCTTATCATGAATGAGTACTCCAAAGATTTTTTCTCTTTGGAGAACAAGAACATTTAAATAATATTTCATATGAATCAGAGCTGATATCTGATTTATCATTTAATTTAATTTATTTAAGGTCATTTACTGTAATTCATATATTTTAAATTAAATATTATTAGGGAACATTTAGAGAGATCCACATCTATGCATTTAAAAACATGTTTTTAAGTAGGTAAAACCTGGCCACTAGAAATTTATTTTGTGGCATAAACAAAAAAAGTCACCTCAGATTAAGTTGGAAAGAAAGTAAGTAGGTATATAACCTAATATATCCCTCAAAGCTTAACATTACAGCATAAATATACATCTGTCCCTAGTGTACTAGAAAATAGCACCGTGACAATCAACTCAAGAGACAACCAACCCAGTGTTCCCCTATCCTGTACTGACAGAAATTCTCTCTCAGTTTTGACATGATATCATTCAATGAATATCAACCAAATCTACCAAAACTATCTATGCCTGAAATGTATTTGTTGTATTGTATATTTATCAATTCTCTTTGACATGAAATAATCAGATTTTGGAGTTTACAATTTTTACAAGGCTGCATTCTGAATCTAAACAGGTGGAACTTCTTCTGAGAATATTTATACTTGAGAATAAAGCCACTTGCAGTTCTTACCAGTTGTGTGAAGGTGGAATGGAAAAGCTCAGCATCTCTCATCATCCTCTTGTCAACATCACCCCATCTCCTTTCCAGCTGTTTGCACTTTCTCTGCATTAGACATTGCAGGTATGCTCTGGTAACACTCTGGTATACAGCATTTACAATGTGCTAGAAAACAGAAATAGTTGGATAGTGAGCTGTTGTAAACTGGATTCTGGACAAAAAACGTGACACTGTGAAATTCATTGAATTTGTCGATGAAATATCTTGAAAACATTTTTTAATTTAATTGAAGTGTGTGCTCAATCAGCTCTCATACATGCAGAATTCAAATTCTGAATCTTTACAGTTGTTACCTGTTTTGTTCTCTCTCCCTGTTCCCTTAGTGGTAAAGGTGCAATCATATTTTTAATCACGTCCATCAGTTTGTATATGTGTACGTCCTTTTCCTTGAAATACTTCTTTAGATGGTCCTAAAATGTTGGAGGAAATAATGTCTTTGAAAATTCAGATTACATTTATCGTAAATGATTAATCCGAGTGCTAAAGTAGTACAGACCCAGTCACAAACCTAACAAGAACTGTTATAGTTATTTGTAATAGACAGTATAAACATGCAAATGGCTTTTTTGTGGCTTCCACCACAGTAGAGAAACAAGAAGCAGTTGTTTGGAGAATACACTACAATCCTACGCTTTTTGATGATTTAACACATCACAGAGTTGAGACACACCTCTGCTAGGCCTGCAAACCACTGCCGTACAATGGATGAAACGTGAGCCTCCATGTTCTCCAACATCTTGAGAGTGGATGAGTCTGTGTTATTGTTTGAATCCACAATGTTGAAACAGTAAGACCTGCAGAAAAGGAAAACCATGACAAAAAAGATCTATTACAAACATAAGCTCACAGTTGTACTCCTGTTCTATATTAACAAGATATTTTAAGATATTTAAATGTCAAGTGAAACTAAACATAAGACTTTCTTTAAAAGGAGCAAAAGGAACAAATTCTATCATCGACTGCTCATCAGAAGAAAGATATTTCAGGCTGACAGGAAGTTATCTAGACAGGGAATCAACTCTTCACATCCACTGTCAGACTCAAATTGTATTTGTTACAGTTCTAATGTATTTTCCTCACTTCCTTGGAAAAAAATAAACAGATCAGCCAAACAGATATTCCAATGACCTAACAGTGCCATTTTCATATGCATCATTGTTTTGTTTTGCAGATCACCACGCAAACTCACCGGAGGTGCTTACACGTGTCAATTACCCTGAAGAGATGAAGTGAATATGTTTCATTGGACTTCTGGACCTCCAGATGTTTCTTCTCATCATTCACATACCTGAAAAGATACAGCTGTTATCATTTCAAAAAATCTAAGCACAAGTCCTGTAACAAATACAGGACGATGTAGTATACTTGTATGTAATTGTATGTAGATGATTGTGTGCCTGAATATCTGGCTCAATAAATTAAATTATATAGATTAAATATGAAATATAAAAATGTACCTCTCTACAAAGGTGTGGAGTTCATTATAACAAAGTCTTTGAACAGCAGTCATCAGGGTCTCGCTGATTATTTTTGACCCCTGAAGAGCAGCATCCAGACACTGGAGAGAGAGAAAATTATAGAAACTTAAATGAAATCAATTGTTAGGCACAAACAATGTCTTCCTTGGAATGCGTGTGACTAAAAGATGAGAATTTCTCCTCTATTAGTACCTGTATAACATCTAGATGAACTTTAATAAGATCCTCTTCATTTCTACAATCACAGTGAGTCTCATTGTACAGCAGGATGTTCTGCAGCACAGTCGAGATGTGCTCCTGAAGGAGTGTAAGGAACTTCTGCTTTGACTTCTCAAACCAGCCAGTCAGTAACAGAGGGTCAGATACTCGGAGAACGTGGTCCTGGATGTTGGGGCTTCCTGTAAAGCCATGACTGAAAAGGAATTAAAAAACTCTGATGTAGTGCAAAGTGGTTTTAAATGTACATTGTGAGCATTGTAACAACATCTCATATCTCTGAAATACTTACTTTATAGAAGAAAGAATACCACAATAACTTCAATACATGTTAATGTAGAGATCTTTTATTCAGAATCATTTCTATTAGTCTATTCATCCTGAACTGACAATGTAAAGGGTGGTGGTGTTTTCTAATGATGTGAAATAATACAAATAGAGTTACTTGGTTTTGATATGACTTTGATCATTTGCAGTATCACAGTTTATTTTACAACAGTAATTATTTTGGTGCCTACCTAAAGTATGTCTGCTTCACCCACAGTAGGAGGATTGAGGTCTCTTTCACTGATGAACTTCTGTCCATCAACAAGTCCAACACAGCAAAAAGGCGGCGATTATAGCTGTCAATCAGGTAACTCAGCAGTCTTGTGTTCTCTAAAACAGGAATTAAGCCGATCACCTCGCTCCACACCAAACTCAGAGCAAGTTTCAGGTATTCCCCTGGCTGTAGCTGAGAGTCTCTGGAGCCCTCTGGTGGCAGAGGGGGGAAGTGTTTGTCTACAGACATTTCTACTATGTCGAGATACTCTCTCAACCAGTTTTGAGAGTAGCTGCCCTCTTTTCCCTCAGGTGTGATACCGTTCACTTTCGCCCACTGATTAACCTGCTCAGCAGCTTGCTTCAGCTCCTGGGACCTTAAATCTCCCAGAAGAACATCTCTGAGAATGGAGAGGACCCTCTGACCTTCATCTTCAGAATCCTGATCGGTACTGTTCAGGCAGTGACAGGTTTGTGTTATGGAATCTCCTGTTGGATGCAAGTGGATTTGTGTTCATGGTTGTCATCTGAGATATAACATTGCTTTTTGAAATGTGTTTTTTCATGCACAAGTACTATGTCTGGTATGACTATGCAATCAATGCAAAAGAAGTATGTAATTCATCATTTTCATTGTGTTTGTTAGATTCAAAGCTACAAGTTAACCAAATAATTGTCTTTAATTCCATCATTACAAAGACTACAGCATGATTCTTCGCTTGCATCACCTAAAACTTTTAAATTCCAAATAAATGAAGGAATGTCTTACCATTCACAAGTTCATTGAGCTGTGAGATCATGTTGCTCACCAGAGGTTTCCTGCTGTCTCTGTCCTTTGTCCAACTTCTTCTCTTCAACGTATCATTAAGCGTTTTCAAAACCTTTGACATTTTTTCTGTTTCTTGCTCTCTTTGTCTCCAAAGCAGACTGTCTAATATCAGTGTCAACGTTACCGTTTAAATTTGATCTGTAAAGATTTTAATGACAAAGTCCATCTGACATAGTTGAACCACACAGACATTTTCCGGGGAGCTCTTTTATATTTGCCAGCATGTTCCTGGTATTTCCCAAAGAATTTAAAGACGTATGAATGGCCCGCCCACTTCATGCAGGCCACTACTGCAGTGCTGTACTTTCCCAAAAACCTCACACTCACATCGTTCTTCTTTCCAATAAAATCCCCCCAGCTTTCCCTGTTGTAGGAAAGGTAGAAAAGGAAAGTGTTTTCCCAAAAAAAAAAAGAAAGTAGGCCTGTTCAAATGAGGAAAAAACTCATTTATTTCAGGTTCAGTTTAACTTTCCAACTATGTTTTTCAGAAAAAGGACCAGTGGTCCTGAAATGGGTGTCCCAGCTGGACTGTGATTTTCAGTGGCAGAATATCTTAAAATATACATTTTGAGAAAGTACAAGTCATAGATAAAAACATATAGACTAATGATATATTGTTCTTTGGACAAAATCTGAGCTAATTGATTACATGTGCACTGAGGTCATTGCAATGTACTTAAAGCAGGATCACTTGATATTCAGGCCGTATAGGATTCTTGTTGGAATTTACAATTTCTAAATTACTCATCCTGAAGAAGAAATTAATTAACTGTTACAAAACAAAGATTCAAAAAGAAGGCCCGCAAGTTTCATTATGGAAAGAAAGGAAAACATATATGATTCTGGTCTTTAAAGTATATTTTTGTCCAGGTCTTAATGAGTTATAATTACTCAGCTCCCATGCCTACAAAGGCCACAAGTAAACCAGCACATGATCTCATTCATCGTTGCGCAGTTTATGTGCTCCGTGAAATAGTACACGCAATCATAATCACAGAGGACACCAGCGTGATTGACATTCGCGGTGGCCAGTCAGGTTTGCAGGACTGGCTACGGCGAAGGGAGCTTGTCCAATGGCAGTCAACGGGCTGCATTTCGCCATCAGGTTCGGTTTCGGCGTTACGACTCCAATCTGCCATTGCGTAGAGGAGCAGGAAGGTTCTAGAGAGGTGAGAACTGGAACAGTTAGAGAAATAACTCCAAGTGGAAGTTATAACTTAATTCTTCTTTACTGTATATGTTTGATTGACATCCACCATTTGTTGAAACTACTTCAGAACCGATGTCGCGCAGTTTGCTGTTAACTAGCTAGCTAACGTTAGCTCAGCAAACGTGGTGTGGAATTACCTTGACGTACAGAATCAGATTTAATCTTTACGAACAGTTATATCAGCTAGTTCGCCTGGCTGGGTTACACGTTTTTCTGTTTTTCTTTTCTTTTCAGATATCTAATATCTTCGTTGGATCCGCTGCATCGATCAGCACCCCGGGGGTCTGACAGTCTGTGCGTTTGTGCTGTTACATATTTGACTCGCGACCTAAAAGCTCCAGCCAGCTCGACCATCAACCTTCACTGCGCCGTTGGACGACTAGCGTTGTGTTTATGTCTTTATTTTACGGAAACGGTAAGAATTCGTGTTGTTTCTTTCGACTGAGTTTCGTTACCGTTAGTTAACCTTGTTCAGTGACTGGGGGAGAGGTTTGGGCTTTGAGTTGTTAACTGCCAATGAACGCGAGTGAATTACTTCTCAGAATCGTTAGCTAAGTTAGCTAGTAGGAGTTCGGGGTGTGATGCTAACGTTAGCTCGCCGTTAGCTGTAAGGGTGAGAATGAAGAGGCTAACTTGGATCAAAATGGCGTCATGCATGCCTTTCGTACACCATGGCGTACTCACTCACACACACACACACACACACACACACACACGCACATGCATTCTGCGGTCTGCTTAGCTTGGTTAGCTTTAGCCATGACGCACTCTGCAGCACCTCGGAAAAAAGCTCGAATCAGGCAACTTCCGGCAGGTTCTCGATTGTTTTTCTGATTCGTGTGGTTTTTAATGATCCGGTCACTCTTACTTAGCTTTCTGACTATTTCTGTACTGTTCTTATTGCAATAATAAAACAGTCCAGAGTTTTGTCCAAATTTAACCTACGTAAGCTAGGTTAACTAACTAGCTAGTCAGGTGGGCATGGTTGTATCAGTCAGTGACTATAGACAGCCCTTTACTTTCGGACCAGAACCGAGGAAATATAAGGAAATATAAATCCAGGCTGATTAAATAGATTTTAAAATGCAATTAAATGTCTGACAGTTTACTGTTTTTCGCTCTTATACTCACGGTGTATATTCATCTAATAGAATAGTTAGCTAATTATTGTGGTCAGAAAGTCTAGAGGACTGCAGAACTGATGGTCAAACAAACAGACATATGCATACATCTTAAAGGGCCCGTTTCCTGTATTTTCTATCTATAGAACATGTATGTATGTATGTATGTATGTATGTGTGTGTGTGTGTATATATATATATATATATATAGTATATATATATATATATGTATGTGTGTGTATATATGTATGTATGGACAAAAGTATTGGGACAACTTCATATTACACCTACAGGAGCTTTGACGACATCCCATTCTAAATCCGTAGGCAGTAGAGTTGGTCCCCACTTTTGCAGCTATAACAGCTTCCACTCTACTGGAAAGCTTTCTCCAAGATTTTGCAGTCTGTCTGTGGGAATTTTTGCCCATTCGTCCGTTTTAGTTCATCTATTCAGTGGGGTTAAGTCAGTGCTCTGTGTGAGCCAGTCAAGTTTTTCCACATCAAATTCACCCAACCTTTATCAGCTAAGACAGACGAGAGCCTTCCCTAAACTCTTCTCACAAAGTTGGAAGCATACAATTGTCCAGAATGTCTTGTTATGCTGAAGCTTTAAGATTTCCCTTCACTGGAACTAATGGACCAAGGCCAACCCCTGAAAAACAACCCCATGGCATTATCCCTCCTCCACCAAACTTTGCAGTTGGCTCAGTGCAGCCAGGCAGGTAATGCTCTCTTGGCTTTCGGCACTCGGCGACCTGCTCTGTAACTTAACACCTGTGGCAATGGGACCGAATGAAACGTCTGAATTCAATGATTAGGACGTGTCTCTCAATACTTTTGTCCACATGGTGTATGTCAGTATATATGTATAAGTGCATATAAGTGTGTGTGTGTCTCCTGTTCTGAATGGCTGTCCTGTTATTGTGCTTTATTACCTCTTGGCTGAAGCATTACTTATAATATGAGCATGAATAGGGCTAAACTGCTGTAAGCTAAAATGGTGGATATATGTAAATGTGTTGTTTTTGTGACATCAAAAAACAATGCATTCAAAATGGACAGTTTTTACAGCTTAATTTTTGAAATGTTGGCTGAATGGATTGTGGAGTAAATGGTACTTTTTGAAATTTTTTAGTGTCATCATACTACATCAAAATATTTTATTTCCAAAAAAAGTGAGGGAAATTAAGTTTTCTCATGATATGTTCCCTGTAGAGCTCAGCTGTAATGATTGATATGTTTGTTGCCCCGCGTCCCCCCCCCCAGACATTAATACATGCCTTATCTGTGTTTTTTGACATTCATATTATTTTTCATGCATTGAGTTTTATTTTGATTGTCCAGGCTTGTTTGTAAGCTAACGTCCTTGATTTAATATTTTCTTGTTTCTTGCTCAAAAATGATTCTCTTGTTCTTGCTGCCCCAACTTTAAGTTAATTTTAAGTGTCTGGCCAGTTTAGATACTGTACTTTTAGTACAGTGAGCAAGGTACTTTGACACAGTTCTGCTTATACAACGCATAGAATGTGCAGAGGCATACGTCAGAGCCAGAAATGACTGTGTGATGTGACAGATGATATCACACCTCATACTTAAAAAGACCAGCAAAAATAAGGTGTTATGGTGTCCTCCTCATGAAGTGATTTAATTATTATAATTTTTTTTTTACTCTTTTTTTTTTTTCAGAGCTGTTGCGCAGCTGTTGGAACGCGAGCGGTGTAAACCTAGACCACGAGCAAGGAGCTTGTAGCCACGGTGGCAAAATTTTTTTCATGTCAGAGACCGAGCACGCTTGCAGTCGTTTATGTCATCCATTCTTCTCCAGACAGAAGATACCCAAAAATCCCCATCCAGGATCTTTTTATCTTGCTGATAGTGCTGCAAGCCACTCAAAATGTCTGTCAACGTCAACCGCAATGTGTCGGACCAGTTCTACCGCTACAAGATGCCCCGTCTGATTGCGAAGGTACTAGAGACTGTTAACAGCTTGGTGCTAAGTGAAACCTGCTTCAAGAAAGCAATTAAAACATGGGCCTCCTCATTGTAATAATGTTTTTTCTTTGTCATTTATTTCCTTATTTTCTTATTTTTTTCCTTATCTGTCAGGTGGAAGGCAAAGGAAATGGAATCAAGACGGTAATTGTCAACATGGTTGATGTTGCAAAGGCACTTAATCGGCCTCCCACATGTAAGTTTTAAACTTCATTTTGACTGTCCTTTTATGAACTGTATAGTACAAAGTAGGTTTGAGAGAACTAGGTTTGAGGTTTTGACAATACATGACACATCACACTGCTTAATTTTTCTATGATTTTATAAGTTGGAAGAGGGGGAAAAACAGTGCCACATCCAAAACACTACTGTCAAAAACAAGTGTTTCACATACTTCACTAAACTAAATTCAAATAAACAGGACTAATTATGCTCCCTTTTATTAATGTTTGCCATCTTAAGTACTGACAATATCCACTGTATGCTTAGAAAAGTCATAAAATAAATATTGTTGTGTTGCCCACACCTAGTACAATATGATGGATGTGTGCCTATGGGATAATATTCAGTGCAAAACTTCTATCTATGCAAAAACAGGCATTTTGTATCCAGATTTAACATTAGGTGCTGTTATATCAGGTGGCATGCACATACTTGAAACCGATGACTGTATTCTTCAGCATAATGTTTTTGTTCTAGTTTGTCTTAAGAATAGTTACAGCTCCTTATGATACTTGAATACGTGAATTTGAAGAGGCCTGTTTTCAGAATTAACATCGATGCAATGGGAAACAAAAAATTTCATCACAGTATTAGTCACAAAATGAGAGAAAAAGCACTGTCTGTTTTAATTTAGTTTTTAAGTCTGGCGCCTCTGATACGAATGTTGAAGCTGCCTGTCGTCAGTTGCTTTTGACACAGAATGTGAGAGAGGCTTTGTTTTAGGATGTTGTGGATGTTTGTTGTAGGATTGATGTGTTTTTGTGTGTTCTATCCTGTAATTTGTGTCTCCAAAATACCTCCTCATGTCTTAAAAACTTTATCTCCCTTCTTCTTTAGATCCAACCAAGTTTTTCGGCTGTGAGCTAGGGGCACAGACCCAGTTTGACACGAAGAATGACCGCTACATAGTGAACGGCTCCCACGAGGCCAACAAACTACAGGACATGCTGGATGGATTTATCCGCAAGTTTGTGCTGTGCCCAGAGTGTGACAATCCCGAGACAGACCTAGTAGGTTGGCGTGGTGGCTTACAGAGTAAAAACCTGTACAGATGAAAATAAATGTGGTGTGTTTTTGTAGAGTTACATATATTTTCACTAGTATTCTAATGGTGGGATAGACAAGTAACTCAACTTCATGGTATAGTAGGACCTCCGGTTGCTAAGGCTGTTTATTAAAAAAAAAAAAGTGTGCCAAATGCACTTTTAAGTCATAAACATTTGGTTTATGTTGCAGCATGTTAATCCAAAGAAACAGACCATTGGGAACTCTTGTAAAGCCTGTGGGTACCGGGGCATGCTAGACACGCGCCACAAACTTTGCACGTTCATCCTTAAAAATCCACCAGGTAAGTTGCAAACTGTGTGAATGCTGTACTAGCTGTTCTAATGTTGGCAATGAGAAAGTTTACATATCTGGATATGCTATTAGGTAATGTTAGATTTTTTTTTATTTTTAATAACTGATATAAGCATTGAGATTCAAATGACAATGTAGTCATGCCCAGAATATTTGCCTCCTGAACAACAATAAAAGCTGTTAAAAATAAACAGAATGGATAATGTTATGGCCGAATATGTGGGAAAGCTGTGTTTAAAGTAATTCTTCTTCTTCCTCTTCTTCTTCTTCTTCTTATTATTATTATTATTATTGTTGTTGTTGTTGTTATTATTATGGCTTTTATCAGTGGGTATGATGTTATGGTCAATTTATAACTCCAGTTTTTACATGTTGGCGACAAGGGATTATGTGTGCGTGTGTGTATTGCTGCTGTTTTGTATATTACACCTGCCATTCTGGCTTGAGCCAAATGTTTTACTATCGCCATGATTCTTTTTTGAAACAGAAAGTGACAGTGGGTCTGTGAAGAAAGAGAAGGAAAAGAAAAACCGAAAGAAGGACAAGGAAAATGGCTCAGGCAGTGGTGATGCTGGGAACCATAATGAAATCGATGCGCCGGATGCTGTGGTGAGTGTCTGCATTTAAGTAGAGCCTTTTGTGATGTAGCACCTGAACCAGTTGTGGTCAGTCAAGTGTGTTTACTGGAGCATTTACTCTGCTGTAGCGTATGTGTATTTAAAAATAACTTCCTTTACTCATTTGGTATGGTGTCACCCTCATCATTCTTTGCTATGAGTAATTCACAATGCAGAATTCAATAGTTAGTAATTTGTCTAGTTATAAACGTATCATTTGAAATTTCTTCTACTACTGAGTGATGAATTTGTGTATTTCATTTCTTTGTCACATCTTGTTGGTTTAACTGGTTAATGTTTCTTTTTAATTTGATGAGAAAAAGGATTTTTTTAAAAAAAAAAAGCTGTGTGTGTGTAGCATGGAGATGATGATGATGAGGATTGGGCAGAGGAGACCACTGAGGAGGCCCAGCGCCGGCGGATGGAGGAGATCAGTGACCATGCTAAGAACCTCACTCTCAGTGAGGACTTGGAGAAGACCCTGGAGGAGAGAGTCAACATGTTTTATAACTTTGTGAAAGTATGTTATGTTTCAGTCCCTTTGGAATCTTTTGATAGGTATTTAGGATGTTGTTCAACTGATGTACATAAAGTAAGCTGCTGAATTTTGGCAAGCAATCTGAACCTATGATTGTCCTTGTTGATTTTATTATTTTTTTTTAATACAATATGGTTTTGTTCCAGAGTAGCCTTCCCTTTCCAGTATATTCCTGTTCAAAGATGACAGGATAGGGTTGGTTTTTGATCCCCCTAGGAAGAAGAACCTGATCTTATGTGTCTCATTGTGTTTAGCAAAAGAAAGAGAGCGGAGCGATAGACTCTGCAGATAAAGAGATTCTGGCCGAGGCAGAGCGACTAGATGTGAGGGCCATGGGGCCGCTCATTTTGAGCGAACTGCTATTCAACGAGAACATCAGAGACCAGATCAAAAAATACAAACGTCACTTTCTACGTGTAAGTATCTACAGCTTTACTGTTAGCGCTAAAGTCAATCTAACCTTCCTCGGTTTTTAGACATTAATTGGTATTTTCAGGCTTTTTGAAAGTGATGCAGAAGCAGCCAAGTATCTTGGATACTTTGCAAGACCTCTAACACCAAATGCTACTGATTTGTACATCAAAGTAACCACCTGAAACTTTGAAGTTTCACCCTGGTTTCAGTCCAGAATACAAAACTCCTGAAATTTAGCCACTTCTGTTTATAATCTCATACAATTAGAGGTGCTTTCTTGTGCATGTCAATGTTAGCTTTAATTACTGAACCTTCAGAATCAATGTGATTGACATTGTGAAATACATTTCTTCCTTCTCTCTCTTGTGCAGTTCTGCCATAATGATAAGAAGGCTCAGAAATATCTGCTGGGTGGCTTTGAGTGTGTGGTGAAGCTGCACCAGGCTCAACTGCTGCCCAGAGTTCCGATCATACTTAAGGATTTATATGATGCTGACCTCCTGGAGGAGGACGTCATCCTCACCTGGGCTGAGAAGGTATGTATGTACACACATGACAAACAAGATTATGAGGAGAATGGTCATCAGCTGCTGTTTTACTTTGTTATCTACTGAGAGTTTGCTTTATCAAAGTCATAACAATGTAATTTGTACTTCTAAATGCTTTTGTTTTGAAGAGGCAATGCAGTTTTTTTTTCTTTTTCCCTGTGTCCATATCTCTTCTAAGGTTTCCAAGAAGTACGTCTCCAAGGAGTTGGCCAAGGAGATCCATGCCAAGGCAGCTCCTTTTGTCAAATGGCTGAAGGAGGCAGAGGAGGAGAGCGAGGGAAGTGAAGAGGAAGAGGAGGAGGAGGATGAAAATGTTGAGGTAAACATTTATTTGCTGCTCTTCCTTTTAATCTTCTTCGTTTAAAAGATTGGCTTTTCTTGTGGATCAGCTGATGGATCAAACAGCTTGTGATAGTTCTAGCTCTCAACAGTATGTGAGGCACACAAAATGGGGTTAAGTACTAAGATGGCAGTGTAAAATTCTCCCAGCAGTTAGCTTTGTCTGTTTTTAAAGCTTTTCTTATACACAGATTATATCACTGACAGATGTTATTAATGCAGAATTATTTGTATTGTTCTTGTTTTCTTGTTTCATTCCTGCTCATACAGCACCTTTTACTTCCTGCTTAAAATCCCAAATATCGGTCCACCAATTCATTAAACACCCCTCTCCAGTTTTCCTAAATTAGGCATTAGAAAAATAGGTAAAAATTAGCAGTTTTACCTGTCCTGTGGCACAGAGGTTTGTTTTGATTTCTGACTAGGTAGTGGTCACTCAGTCCAACATGTGTCCAATCCAGACGGCATTACAGAATCCATGATGGAGAAGACTAAAGCAAAAGTGAACCCAGTGTTTTTTTGTTTTTTTTTGAAAGCTGAGGTCAGCTGGTGTAAACCAAGACATCTAGACACCCATATAACTCTGCAGATACTCCTGAGTTGATAGTGTGGCAGAATTAAGCCTAACTGTCTGCAAAGTACAGCACTTAAGAAATTCTTGCTATTTTAATGGTCTGTGCAAGAACTGGGCATTGATTACTGTACCACTTTTGGGTTACAAATAAAATGATAATGTTCATCTGTAGGCACTTAATGATACGAATATTTTCAGGCTCAGTGACTTTTGATTCTGAGGTCAAGATTTGATTCGGTTTTCGGTACTTCATGCTAATGTCTTGATTTTGCCGTGCTTTGATTTTTACAGGGTTTATGGCTAAATAGTAGAAATTTTATTTCAGAACAAAAGATTACAAAGTAGCATGTACATGCAAAAGTGATATTATAACAAAAGCTATAAACAGTACAAAAATCTGAACTGCTTATTTTAAAACCTTTTATATATATTTTTCTCTATTTACAATTTAAAGATGTGCAAAATCTATACTGTGTCTCACCCTTGGCAGGTACTTCGCAGTTTAAATTATTATTAAACTTTTGTGGTCCTCTTAATGATTCTCACATGCACTAGATGCATAATTAGTAGCGTGTGTATGATTGGATTTCATCCATATGTTTTAACTTAGAATTGAGAGGGGGGGGTCCTTCTTTTGTCCATTGTCCTTTCTTTTATCTTTTCGCCCCTGTAACAGTACATCTTCTGTCTTTATTTTGTGGTATGCTGACAAAAAACAACTCTTGCTTGCCTTCTAGGTTGTGTACTCTTCTTCTGCCCGGGAGCTGAAAGTGGAGACTGTTCAGCCAGAAAAGAATGAAGAGGATGATGACCTTGATATCGATGCCATTTAAAAAAAATTACAAAAAAAAAGAAAGAGAGGAAAAATACTATGTCAGCCAATTTCCAATGATAAAATCGATCACTATGGCCTCCTGTTGAGCCCTCTCTCTTCTGCTCCACGTCTTGTCTTTCCACTAGTTTACTCTGTTAAGGCATGATTTTAACATGGCGCTTTTACTGTCTTGCTGCTGAACTACTATGTAATGTTTAAGCTCTCTGTATTGAGAATTATATTGTGACTTTGACTTCTTTGATTTATGGATTTACTTAAACTGCACATTTTGTGATTTGTTTTAATTTCGTTCAGTCATTAAATAAACTTTTCTTTTAACTTGCACAGGGATTAGCTGTGTCCTCTTAGTGTGGAATGATTTTATTTCATAGTTATTTCAGGAACTTTTATAGCATGGTTGATAATGCTATTTCTGTATAATGCAATATCAGTATCAAAACTCAGGACAAAGTAGGAGAAGGTTACTTCTGTCAATCAAGCCTTTGTCCTACAGTAATGTAATGTGTAGATTTGCTCATCCTGATCTCACAGGTTGGATTAAGTGAGGGCTACATGAATATAGCAGAAGAACAACATTTTTTTTTTAAGTTGGCTTCTCTAGTCGTTTGTTGTATCTATACATTTTATGCACTCTTGCCTATGAATACTGTCATAATTGACATTTCACTAACCATTAATGATGCTTTTGAAATAATGATAGAAATACTGATCAACAATAGTGAACATAAGGCAGAAACTCCTCTTTTCAAGATTAGTCTTAAGTGGTGTAGCTGGAAAAACATTTAACATTAATGTGAAAGTGATAAGACCTCCTAGTCTACCTACAGATTGAAATATTGTCCACATAAGGACAAACTGTATATAAACATAGTAATAAACTAGTAATAGAATAGTATGCCTAAAATCATTAGGAAACGTATTTTCTAGTAAAAATTCCTTTTGAAGCAAATAAAGTAGATAAAAGCTGTGTTGGCTCTTCCTCTGACCATTAGGTGTCAATATTTAGCCATGAAATTGTTCCATGTGCACTGATACAGAAGCCAATAACCCAGCCTTGGAATAGCAGCGTAAAATGTTAAACTCAATTTGAGGAATCTACGGAGCCCCGCTGGTGACATGCTGTATAAATAAAAATAATTCGTGGCCACGACTTAGTAAAGTGTGGGAACGAGATCCTAATGCGTGGCCCTGACTTAGTAAGCCGTGATCTCGTTCCCACGCCTTACTAAGTCGTGGCTACGACTAAATCATCTCATTCCCACGCATTATTTTTATTTATACAGGATGTCATCATCAGGGCTCCGTAGGAATCAAACATTTCAGTTTTGGGTTGATCGGTATCCCTGAGGCGGATGCCATCTGAGCGCAGTAATCTGGATAAAACCAGGTAACCCAGGTGTAGAAGAGTAGATAAGGTGTGGAAGTACGTTTTATCTATTGGTTTATCCGACGCGAGAAACAGCCGTGTGTAAAGAGACTGTCTCACTATTATTTGTTCTGATGTCATCTTCGGGTTCATTTTCGCAGCGAGCATAATAGACGAGCCTTATAAGGGTGTAGGTTGATTTCAGTGGGACAGGGTGTGTCATGGTCCTGTAATGGTATGACGAAGTTTTTCTCCCTGTTTCCCACCCCGAGAACACCTAACTTTTGAAAGCACGGCCCGCAGTGGCCGAGCCTGCGGCTCCAATGAGCGGCGAGGCCCGTGTGTCCTCACTTCCTCCGTCTCTTCAGGGCCACAGGGTGGCCATTTTGGATCTGGCTTTAACGGAAAGCGGCAGCAGGCGTCGGTGGATGGAGCAGACACCGAGAGCGGTGTTCTCGGAGACCCAGCACCGCTGAAAAACAACCGGCTTCACACATGAAGGCCGAGACCGAACGAAAAAACAGCGTTTCGTGGTGCTAACAGCTGTTCGTTTTTACTAACGAAACGTAGTGGGGTCGCCGGGGCCCTGCTGAGTGCGTTTTTTTCTCTCGGCACAGCCGGACATCCGAAATGTGAAACAGAGAGCCAGGAGCATCAGGACAAACGGTTTCTTAGCCACCCAGCTGCTCGCTTTCTGTTGTTTCAGGACACCGTTTAGCGGGCTAGCCGATGGCTCGACACCGGCGTTGGACCACAAAACCACACTCTTCACCGGGGGACGTCGCCTAACGTTAGCCTTTATTTCAGTCAGGCTGAAGTTTTACGAAGTTTGCGTTGACCGTACGCTCGAAGTGCTCGGTAAACCAATGGTGTCTAGTTAGCTAACGTTAGTGTAGCAAACTAAATTACACTTTGCCTCACCTTCGCAAAATCTGCTGCTTAAAATTAAAACCCGGGGTCTCGTCATCAGTGCAATGTCAACAAGAACACCACTACCCACCGTCAACGAACGGAAAACTGAAAACGTAAGTAACGTAGTTAGTTAGCTTAGTTAGGTCAGTCTCTAAATGATTCGTTAAGAGACGTTCAGTGTATTCACTGACTATGATGCTGGCGAAAGTTGTTAGATTTTGTGTTATTTTTCCCTGCTTTGTCGCAGTGTAGCCTGCAGGGTTTTTGTGCTGACCGTGCACTTTAAGTGGATTAGTTTATCCCTACATTGTACCAGTCTGGAGACAGATGGGCCACCAGCCTGAAGTGCCGCATGGGGTCTGGAGCATCAGGGATAGAGACTGAGCCCTTATTCTCCCTAATGAGCGCAGCATATGTTTGAGCTAACAGTCTGCCCGAGCTGTGTGTGTTTGTATGTGTAACGTTACTGCTGTCTGTTCTGGTCGTGTACTGTACATAAATGTTTTCCCTTGGTTGGTCAGGGCTAATGCGCATTGGCGTGAGGCTAACCTTGATCAGCCTCTTCACTGAGCATTGCTGCAGTTGTCTTACTGAGTATGGCCTGATAAAGCCACAAAATATTTCAATAATACAAAAAATAATCCCAAAGGACGTGTGTGTTTATGTCATCAGTGCGTCACGGGCTTGTCCGCAGAGTGTGTACGTGTTGTGCGGGTTCAGCCACACACACACACACACACACCACACACACACACACACGCTTCTTTTAGAGATGTGACCCTTTCTGGCTCAGGCAGGCCACTGTCAGCAAACAGCAAATGCATCAACCCTTTGTTTATTCCATGCAGTGTGTCGCATTCAGAAACTTTTGAATTGTGTTGCACGTTTGCTGTTACTATGGGATACATACATACGTACAGATATGTCAGATCACCTTTGAAACGCAGATTGGGAACCTTGCTAGACTGCCACTGTCTGAAAAACATCTGAAGGATTGTAGTTATATGTCTGCATGGTGGCTCTGCAGAATTTAGACTGCACATGGGTTTTTACATTCAGCTGGATATTGAGGATATTAGAACATTTCAGCCCAGCACTCTTAAGATTAGCCTAACCTGTTGGGATCCACGTTTTACACCTTGGCTTGTCCCCGTATACAAATAATAATGGGAGGTGTCGGTCAGTCTGCGTGTCAATAGGGATGACCCAACCCTTTTAAAAGGATGGCCCCTCAGTAATGGGTATCGGCACACAAGAGTATCGATGAGTCCCCACTGAAAACAAGCAGGGCTGTTTGGTTCGATGTCATTGTTTTCCAGCATGAAAGGGTCTCAGTCTAGTATGAAGCGCCACGTCAGTACTGTAAGTAGTCACCTTTTTTACCATGTTCTGTGTTAGTGATATTTGCTGCAAGTTAGCATTTTATCTCGCAGATTGGTGCCTGTCATGCTGTGGCAGTGACTTTACAAGACTGAGAAATCTCTTCTCGTTTACCCTGCAGAACAAACATTTTATTTAAAGATTTTGCTTGCTGTGTTCAGTAAAGCCTTGTATTTGCATGTTAGATCTGACTGTGTGGAGCACTGAAGTTGGCACCGGTGACAATGTGTAGGGTTTAGTTAAAACTATGTGTAGTGCAGTGTCAGCTTTCCCTGGAGACAGTAGAGTGTTGTTAGAGTATCACATGAGGCTCACCAACTTGCTAACTGTTAATGCTGCAGCACAAATCACTGAAACAGTCCAGTACGCTGCAAGTAGCAAGTTGAAGCTAATAAACTAACTAGGCCTATCAGACGATTAAAGTAATTGATTGCATTTAATTGCATTGGTTCGTGTAGTAAATTACGCTTAATCACATTTGGCTTGTTTGCTCAGATTTGACCCTAAAGAGAGACTTTTTTTTTATTTCATTCATTTTTTCATAAAAAATAAGCTTCATCGGACTGTATTTATTAATTTGTATTTTTATGGGAGCACAGGGTTCACATGAATCTGAGCATGAAAATCAGGTGATTTACATAAAGTGAAGAGAGGTTCCAGTTTTCGTCACCAGTTTCCACTGAGAGAAACAGTGGCTGCATGTTCCAACCTATGAGTGTATATATCAAACATTGTATCATAGCGATTGTAGCTTCTTGCTGTCGTGCTGCTACCTTAAGTCTTGTTAATTCATCTACAGTTCTCCCACATGCTCCATACAGTGTATTGTCACGAAGCCGTCCCCTAGTGGTAAAGTTACTGGTATTACTGATATTGCTGGCACCACCGGTGTGCTTTGCTTACTTTAAACTCAATGTACTTTAGTGCTAAATAAATTTAAAGCGTTGCAGTAAGTGGAAGTAGCTGGTTTTATCAGGAGAGCCATCAACTTAAATTACATTACATTTTACATTTACATTATTTAGCCGACGCTCTTATCCAGAATCACTTGCTTTGTTGCCTACTCAGAGAATGTGTCTTTGCTAGTACAAATAGGTTAGAGAGAAAGCTACTCCTGAGCTCCTTGCTAGAAACAGAAATCTATGTTGATACCTAGAGAAAAGAAACAGCATTAGACAGTGCAATACAATACATTTCAATAACTTGACAAATGCTGTCTTTGAGTGAGAAGACTATAGTTGTGGAGTCGTAGCAACAGCATTTGAGCAGCTGGGCTGTAGGCTGGAGCTGCGAATGATTTGGAGGGTCAAACTAGGAAAATGTGTTAACGGTATTAAAAATGCGTTGCATTGATGTGTTATTGACACACTATCTGTGACACCACTAAATATAACCAGATTTAGTAATTTATGTGTTATATTGTGCTATGTTTCAGCAATAAGGATTTAAAATTCACTTTCACATGCGGGTTTGTCAGTACTCTGAATTTGTTCCATTACCTTTTCATATTTGTAATTTTGTTGGCTATCCTCAGGGCTGGGAAAACTCATTGCATCGATAAATAATGTACTCTATCCTGTCAGTCCTCCTCCTCCTCAATGGCCTTGTGTCTGCAATTGTGTTTTTATGAGCAGACATGTTTTTGTCAGGCAGCTTGACTTTAGAAAGCAAATCGATACAGGTAACATGGATCAGAGGCAGGGCTAAAAGATATATTGGCATCTGGGCTTTTATGAAGTGTGTGCAGATCAGTGCTGCCCAGTGTAATGTTTATAATTTGCCTTCTCTTTGTGTGTTTTCTGTAAGTTTTTGCATTGAAAAGGAAAAGAAAAAGCAGTTGGTTATTTTCCCATTTCTGGAATCCCACTGTGTCCATCTTACACGTATGATTATGATGATTATGAATTTTTCATTTGGTTTTTACCGCAGTATACTGGGAAGTCAAGAACACAGATCCCTGTGGGGACCAGTATCTACTGTGTTTCCTGATTATTGTTTGTTTGTGGGATAGTTAATGGAAAATGAAGATGGCATGAGGGGCAGTGGCTATTCACTACCAATCTAATATGGAACAAACAGTGTGCTAGACAGAAATGTATTTCCACACCGTGTGATTGATTGTGGTGGTTGTTATGTCAGCTTTTCCTCTGTCAACTCCAAAACATCCTGTATGTGTGTATAGGTGATCATCATGGCCACTGAATAAAAACAGATCTGTTCAATAAAAGTAATAGCCAGCATATAGAAATAAAGTAAAATAAGGGTATTGATGTGATATTTTCAGTATTTTAAATATGCTAAATTAGACGGCTTCATCACTAGTCAGTGTACAGCAAAATTTCTTTGTCTATGTTTGTGTGTTTTAGCATTTGGAATAATATTTTTCTCTTTTATTTGGATACGTAGCTTGGAACTACAATATTAGGCAGTAGTAGGACGTTGAGGCTCACCATTTATTTGTTTAGTTAGTTCTATACCTACTGTACAGCTTGATTTTATTGTTTAAATTTTGATAATTCAAATCCACAGCATACTTCTAACGGTCATGGCCGAGTGGAGGGAACCTCTCGGTCTGCAAGGTCCAGCGGTCGAAACCGGAATTCAGGCAGTTCAGGATCTGAAGAGCAACACCCTCATGTGGGGAATTACCGGCTCCTCAAAACCATCGGAAAGGGCAACTTTGCCAAGGTCAAACTGGCCCGTCACATCCTCACAGGCAGAGAGGTGAGTGGACAGAGATCAAGAGTGCGTTTCCTGCCACATTGCTTTTTTATACTTTCCACGATGTTACTGCTCGGATATTTGTGCGGATTAGAGCTGTAAACCCCAACTGTTAGTAGTGCACTAATTTAATTGGTAAGACAGAGTCCTGATGTACATTAGTAAACATAGTCAACTGATATGGATGCCTTTGTAACCTACTATAATATATGACTATAATATATCTAAGAGAACCAAATTAGGTCATTGTCAGTGTTTGTCAGGTTTGTACACCCAGTATCCATCCTGCATTTGGCAAGCTATTTTTTTTTTTACTGTGCTCAAGCAAATGTGGGTGTATTGTTTATTTGTTTATCTTTGCTGAGTCCTGAGTTTATCGGTCCTGAGTGATTTTAAAAAGCGAGTAAATAATGCCTCAGTCCACAGAATATTGTGTATTTACTACAAATGGTGTCTGGTGTCATGGTGGGATAACATTCATATTTTTTACAGGTGGCAATAAAAATTATTGACAAGACACAACTGAATCCTACAAGCCTTCAAAAGGTGAGCCATAATATTGGTTAAATAATAAATGCTGGGTGTATTGCAAATGTTTTTATTAAAGGTATCTGGAATGAACATCTGGTACAATAACTATTTTGGTCTTCAAACACAGTCTACCCCAAAGCTTTGGGCTAACCTTGAATCAGCAGGTTTGCATCCTTGTTCTTAAGGAAATGATGTCACTCATCTCAGGAAAAGAGGTTGTTTTGGACTCGGAAGCATTGTTTTAGCCTGTGGGGAATTTTTTTCCAGAGAGCTTTCATTAGGTGCAGATCAGAGTTAGCTGTGTCATTTTCATTTTGTGTATGTTTATTTTAAATGGTCGAGTCCGTTTCCAGATCCTGACTGGCTTATGGCTATTAGAGGTTGTGCTATAGTTGCACACAAAAGGCTGTGCTGTATAACTGATATAGTTTCATTGAAAAACATTATTAGACAGTAGGAGTTATAGGTGTACTCAAGTAGTAGGCCAAACGTTCCAGAGAAAATGGTCAGGCCAACAGTTCAGTGAACGTTTTTGTGTAGTATGAAGTGTGCCTTTTTTTGTATTTATGATTAAGTTAGTGTATTATACTTTGCTACAATGAAACATGAGTGCCTTAATGTGAGCATGTCGTCAAAGATGCGTTGTTTAGGACATGATTGAGAAGTCCAAGGTAAGGTGACTATAACTAGGGTAACTGCTTGCTCTGGTTGCTGTTAGCTAGAGCTAGGCCTGTGCTCAGTGATGTTTTAACAAAGTCACCATGGTAACAGCCCCCAGTGATGGTAATAACTCTTTATACACCAGTTTAAAGCACTGTTTTTAAATTAGTTTGTTTTTCATGCAAACCATAACATTTTCTAAATAGAAAGTTATGCTTTAAAGTTCACACTCTGTGAGCTGATAAATGTTGGTTCGTGTGACCAGATCGTTAGTACCAGTGTTTGATGATACATTAATATAAGGCGAAAAGCCTGTTAATTGTTTCTTCCCTGCGCTAAAAGTGAATATCCGTTCATTTACGATTATAGAAATTCAGATATCAAATTAGCCTGAATGTATGTCCTTTATTAGAATGAAAGCACAGAGCATTCAAGCATTCTAATCAGTCAAAAGCCGTAAGGCATACAAGATCATTCTGTGCTGTAAATAGAATGATTTTTTTATTATGTGATATATATATAGGAGTAATTGGTGGAGATTTTTTATTGTGTTAGTGATATATAGGAGTAATTGATGGAGTACTGGCCGAGGTAGGGTAGTTCAGGTTCCTTCCCTGTTGCTGTTGTGTGCTTGATTGTACACACACTGTAGATGTGGAGTCTTCACTCAGGCTGTACATCCATCATCAACAAGGGCTACATAAACAAGAGGTGTTTTGCCACAATAGTAACAGCATTGTACTCCTTGTATTGGGGGTTGTAGGCCAGTGACACATGGTGAAGAGCAGAGCTGGGTTCAGCCTGCTTATCTTCAGGAATAAAACGAATCTGGAGACTTGATTCTGTGTTTATATTAGAGTATTGATTTGCTAGGCTGTGATCTAACAGTAGTTCATGAGCAGTCTGACATCTAACTGCAGTGGTGCTTCTTCTCTCCACTGCCTCACTACCAGAGCAAAACACCTGCACTCTGTCTGCTATGTGGCAGGAAAACCCTGGAGTAGTTTCCTGTTCATCTGTGTTAATGAATTGTTTGCAAATATGAATGGAATCTTCATTGGCAGTAAAGCAGGGGTATCCATCTGCAGTTCTGAAGAGCGTTAGTCCAAAACAGTTTTCTCTTCACTCTTAAAAGGCACCCTGACCTAAAACTGGAGTTCAATGTTAATTGTTATGTTCTGCAATGTTCTGTAGTGTAGCCTTTCATCCCTCAGACACCTCAGTTAGACAGAATTCACGTTTTGGTCAGAAACCTAAGAAGTACATTTGTGGCTAGCTATAATTAGTGATTTAGTACTGACCTCAGTTGACTCTCAAACCTTTTTTCTTTGTTGATTTAGCCAACCAGTGAAAAACGATTCAAAGAGCTTGCTGCTAGTATCCACCCCAAAACACTAGTAGCCTTTTAAAATTTACGTCCACCTTCAAGATATGTTTTTTTTTTTCTTGACATATGATTCTAGGATAAACCTTTAACTGCTATTCAAGATGGCAGAATACCATTTTTTTTCTTTTCTGATACTTACACTGTTAGAAATAAAGATACTGTGCAGGTACACTTTTTGTTCATGAAGGTCCAAACTATGTAAATGTTCCCTTAAAGGTACAACAGTGGCTTTAAGGTCCAGTCTTGTACTTTAAATAAGTTTTTCTCAGGTGAAAAGTACATATTTGTAACTTTTCATAACCTAATGTTTTAAAACAGAACAATAAAATAAAAAGCCTGGTAATGAGTCAATACAACTTAGAAGCAACTTCATATAATTTTGTTCCCTAACTAAAGGTACTGAGATGGACTCCTGAGGGTATCGCCCCAGTAACTGTTTCGTACCTCTTTTTCTGAGAGTGTTTCCAGATGCAGACTTGATGTTTTGTTTTGTTCTACTAAGCTTTAAATTGAGATGAAAAATTGTAATTTTAACACTTCTCTTAAAATTAACATTACAAAGTAGGCCATCATGTTCAAACTAGATAGACTTTTACTAGATTTTACTTTTTACAGGATTGGATCTGATTAATTTTTTCCCTCTGATATGGCATACCCAGTATCAGATCGGTGTCAGATCAGTACCGTCTTTAGTTATGTGGAGGTTTTAAAAACTTAAAAGAATCATCTTACTCACACACCTTATTTACATAAACGATTCTCTAGAGAACCATCCTTTGTAAGGTTCTTTAGGGAGCCAAAGGTGCTTCTGTAGCATCTTTAGTATCAAAAAGATCCATTTTGACACCTTTATTTTAGTAACTTAGTTAAACCTCTGAGTTTACTCTGATTGTGCTGAGAATGAGTGTACTGTTAACTAAGTGATGAGTTGAATCAGGTGTGTTTGAACAGAGAAATACTCAAACTTTGTTATGCTAAGGCTCTCCAGGACCAGAGCTGGACACCCCTGTGGTAAAATGTTAACATGGTGTGCAGAATCTTCAGCTTTGTGTTACTTTTCCTTAAAACAACTCGGCATGTTTGTTTTCTCTTAAAAGATTTTGGCAAAAGTGGATATCGTCTGAACGATCTGCAGATCTGCTAAGAATCTGTGTTAGTCTCTTGGCCCATGCTGATGGTAGCAGCTGGCTGGAGGGAGTGAGAAAGACCAAGGGCAGATGGACAGATAGGTGGCGGATAGAAGTGAGGTGAGACTGAGGGACAGCAGGACGGTTTTTGAGGGGCAGATAAGGAGAGAGGCAGAAGGGCTGATGACGTTGGTGGAGTGAGAGAATCAGAAGCGCATGAGAATAGATAAAGTAAAAAGCAAGCAGGAGAGGAGTAAAGAGAGGAGAAAGCATGAGAGCAGGAGGGATATGAACAGTGGATGGGGTGCACATTGGGCATTATGTTGATAATGTGGGATTTGAACCTGTGCCCACTCTGACACATGCGTTCAGAGGCCACGGCTCTATTATTAGCTGGGCACTATAGCTCACTGCGGCCACCATTAGTTTTTCCACAGCGCCATTGATTAGGATTCTGTGAATATTCTGCCTTTCCTGCCTGCTGGTGTCATGCCAACACAAAGCTCTGACTCATGTGGCTTTTCATCAGCACTCAACAAGAGCAACTGCACTTTCTGCATATTTTTATCTTTCTCTCTCTTTTTCCTCGATTTATTGCTCATGCGTTGCCCATTAATTTTTTTTTTTTTTACTCTGTGCCGCCTCTTTTTATCTGTCTCCCTCTTGCCTTTACAGACCTCCTCCCATTCACTTTTAGTTACCTTTTGTAGCAATGCAGTACCACAGGTGCATTACTAGTCCTAGTTTTAGAAGTTATCTATAGCTTTTGTTCCAAAGCTCACGTGTCCATTTGAGTGTGTGAGCACCTTGCAGTGGGTAAACGATTGTGTAATTGAGTGTGTGGGCGTTCAGGCTCCGAGCCCGCACTTGTCCCTCGACTGAAGGGAGTTGTTGTGCTGTAGTGTTCCTTAGTCATCAGAGAGGTGTTAAGATGGCGGATTAGAGACAGAAAGGGAGGGCGAATGGAGAATGATGGAGAAACGGACAGAGCTTTATGGAGAGAAGGCCGTTTATTCCTCAGACAAAGACATCTTAATGCTTTTCTGAATTCTGCTGAGCATGAGAATTCCTTTTAGTGGACAGTGTTTAAGCTCCTTAAAGCAGTGGTTCACAATCCTGGTCCTGGAGTGACACTGCACTGCACATTTGAGAGCTTCCCCTGCTCTTAACACAACTGACTCATGTCCAGTTAACGAGCCCTTCCTGAGGTGAACTATGGGTGTTAGAGCAGGGATAATCCTACAACATACAGGACGGCGATACTCCAGGACCAGGACTTAAAGGAATGATTCTGCATAAATCTAATTTACACCATATCTACTTACTCCAGATGTAGCGGATCAGCCAAGACGTGTTTGGTGACCAACATTAGCTTCTTTAGTTTAGTGCCAGAGCTACAAGTCTAATGTTGCCATGAACCACTAGTCAGTAGTCACCCAAATTGTTTCTGTAAATCCCCAAAGCTTCATTTTAAGACTTATTATCCAATGATTAATATTATTATTTAGTAACTACTATGTAGTATGTAAGGTATGAGTTTAAGGGGTTAAACATTGTGTGCTTGTATTAGTCCATGTAAATTTAAAGGGGATTTCATTCAGAGTGGTTTGAGATTAAATGATGCACTACAGAGAAACATGCCTATTTCTTCATAGTGGTGGTGATGGGAACCAAGCATCACAATGTCCACAGTGTAGTAAATAAAATATATATTTTATTTACTATTCAAAATGTATGTGTATTTCTTTTCAGCGTCCTGCATGTACCTCTCTGTCATAAATGGATGCTAAAAATATGTTTAGAACAACACTGTATTGTAAAAGAAGGTGATGGTGCTCGGGTAGCACTGTTGGTAACTGTTTTGTGTAAAAGCTTCAAGAGACATTACACAGTTTTGACGTCCAGTTACTGTTACCAGTTTTGTGAATTCTGACTCTGGAAGTTTCTCTAAAATTAAACATTTTGCATCAAACCACTCTGAATGACTTTGTTTACATATTAGCAGTTGCATTATGCAGAAATGTAGAAAAATCAGCGAAATTCTGATTTGTGCCTCTTTGCGTTCTTCAGTGGTGATTTTTAAGACAGAAATCACCCTTCTGGAGGCTGCATCTCTTTTCAGTTCAAAGGGAGGGGAGAAAGTGCGGGGATTTTTTTTATGAGGCGGGGAAAGTCCTGGCGTCAGACTGACATAGAAGGGCCTGTAGAAACATTGCCCTCTAGTTAGTCAGTGTGGGGAATGTGCTTTGAGGATAATAATAGATCCATAATAGGTGTAATAATAGGTACCCGAATGTAGTGAGGATCTCCTCCAACCCACTGACAACATCTTTTCTTCCACCAGTCACACTGTGTTTGTCTGTGTGTGTCATGTTCTAACATGATATCTCAGTGCTGAAGGAGAGGGTTTAGAATGAGGGTGGTTGTGAGGTTTTAGTGATTCAGTGGCTGTCAGAGTGCTCCGGCTGTCTCCCTGAACCCTGTGACCTCTGACCCCTCCCACACTCCAACATCATGCTGCCCCACCCTGATCTGCTCTGCCCGTACTGTCGGCCTCTGATGGACACACAGACTACATAGTACACACACTCACAGCATTTAGAGAAGGTTCCTGTACATCTCTCTCTCTCTCTCTCTCTCTCTCTCTCTCTCTCTTTCTCTCTCTCTCTTTCGCTCTCTCTTTCTCTGTCTGTCTCTCTGTTGCCCTTTCGATCTGTCTCTCTGTCGCTCTTTTTCTGTCTGTCTTTGTCTCATTCTCTGTCTGTGTCACCATTTCCCCCTGTCTGTGGCACTGTTTCTGTGCCTCTTTCACACTTTCTTTCTCACCTTTCTCTCTTCTAAAGCTGCCTTCTGTACATTTTGAAACACTGTGTCTCTTTCTGTCTGTATCTTTGTCTCGTTCTGTCTCTCTGTCGCTCTTTCTCTCCCTTTCTCTCTATCGCCCTTTCTTTCTCTCTTTCACACACTCTTTCTCACTCTTTTAAAGCACCTTTCCTTTTTTCAGCACTCTCTGTCTCTGTCACTGTCTCTCTCTTTCTTATTGTGGGAATTGCAGTTCATAACTTAATGTTTTTTTTTTTCCTCATTTACTGCATGTAAAACGCTGTGAATCTTTCAAACTTGCATTCGTATCTCTCTGTCAAACTGTGTTCTGAGTCAGAGAACAGGGCATTACTGCGCGTGTTAAAGACGGATTGAACGTGTGAACCATCCCAGAAGCGCCTCTAACACTTGCTCTGCGTCTTTAGCACCCTCTCCAAGCTAGAGCTGTATTAATGAGAAGAGAAGGGCACAAGCTAACAGCTCAGGAGCACAGCCTGCCCGACATTTCATCTATTAAAGATGAATGACAGTCAGTGGTCTGTTAGTAAGGATCAATTATGTATAGCACTTAAAATTAGCTTCCAGTGCGATGAACAGGCATGTAGAAAGCTCACTGTTAGCTCACACGCTTGGTTTAGAACACGCTGTGCATGTTGCACTGAAACACTGGTTACGGGTGATGACTAATTAAATAGTCTGTACTGTAATGTAGGTCTGTTGTCATTATGTAATTATCTGATCACATTTGATTAAGCTGACCACAGTTATTTTCCACATTTGTTAGCTTTCACAGTCAGATGTTTGCATTTCAACAAATAGAATTGAATTGGGTGCATTTTTATCAGTTGGGTTGAAGCAGATTCATATAAATAAAAGCAGGAAATGGATTTATTGAGATACGTCACAAGTCTTATGAAGACATTTTTGGTCTGTAACACATTTAGAGGGCATTGTCGAGTGACATTTATTTATTTGAGCTTGAGCTATTTCAACAATTAGGAAGCAAACCAGCCAATTTTTTATGTGTCAGTTACTCGTATGTTCAAATTCCATGATTGACAGGCCTAATATGTAGTTTGTGTAGTCTGTGAAATGCCTTTTGTCATTGAAATGTATCAGAAAAATGCAGATAGAAAATAGTAGAATTATCTTGTTTCTGTGATTATTGTAATTCTGATTGTTTTTGTGTGTGTGTGCATGTGTGCGTATGTGCAACAAAGAGGGGGATGTGCTTGTGTTCCTTCCTGGATTTTTAGCACAATATAATTGCTTTTTCTTTCCAACAGCTCTTCAGGGAAGTCAGAATAATGAAGATTTTAAACCATCCAAATATCGGTAAGAAAAAATTACTTGAAATGAAATAAGGTGTACGCATCCTCACTTTCTCTCTCTTATTATAGCAACAAGACTTGCGGTGTAAAGAGTTCCTCTAATTTCCTCCTCCGCATTTGTCGTGATTTCGTGCTCGCAAATAAGATAATGAGTAGTTGAATCAGACGTATCATCATGTCTACACAGAAAGAGGTTCTGTGTGTTCCTGCTGTAAATTTAGACTAACTGCAGAAATGTTTGCTGAAATCTTGCCTCTGTGTGGGAGAGGGAGAGAGAAAGAGAGAGAGAGATGTTTCCTTGGAGACATTTCGTTGCTGGCAGCGCTCACCCCTGCAAAGGGGAAAGGCCGCAATGATGGATGTGCGGTGTAGAGCTCATCTCTCCATTTGAAAATGTGCAGCCTCTGCCATGTACCTCATAATCAGCCTCAGTGCTTAAACAGTCTATAAGTAAAGATATTGGCAAGTAGTTTGCAATGCAGTATGTACAGTACTGTGAAAAAGTCAGAGATCATCCTTCATTTATTTAAATGTCAAACATGAAAGCTTTAAGTACTGTTTGTCTGATGGTGACCGTTTTGGTGGTCTTTTAGGTCTTGCATGGTTGCACCGAGTCTCTGGATTTTGAAAACTCCCCTCTTTTTTTTTCGTTTGTTTTTTGTCTTTTATCCTATTTCCCATGACTTTCCTCTTTGGACCTCCTGAAAAATGTCTCCTGATAAAATTACTAACTTGTAATTATGACCTTTTTGACTGGAACAAACACATCAAGGGTGATCTCTTACTTTTGCACAGTACTGTATTATGATTGGACTCATGATTCACACTTCTTTAGTGAGATCTCGGATGAAAATGTGGTAATTGCATTTTATTTTGCACGATAAGCTAAAGGAATCATTGTCAGAAAGCATAATGAAGTTGTTTAGCAGTCTGTAACTGTATCCATTTTCACAAAAAATGCCATAAATATGCATATAGATGATATGATCATGCCATGTTTATATTTTGAACACATTCCTGCATAACAACCATGACACAGTCATGCCATTGTCTGTGACCCTATCAGTGTGCTCTTAAGAAGGAAGATGTGTCCACATTTCAACAACAAAAAAAAGATATTCCATAAAAGTAGACAGTCATCTTAAAGGAAGAGGTTGCAGCTGTTTGTGAGCAGGAGTTTTGAGTAGTTTCTTGGGTTTAAAAACCTCTACCTACACATGGGATGTACACGTGTGTCTCCCAAGAAAAGCATCCGCTGCCCTCGCCGTGCCCTGCATGCTCACATGTTTCGCAGAATATAGGAGCGCTGCTTATAAATAAGACATGATCTCCAGAGGATAAAAATCCATCTGAGCTTATCTCATCTTTCTGGAGAACATAATGCTCACATGAAGGGGGAAAAGCAGGAAAGAGGGAAGGAAGATGAGAGAATTCAGTGAGAGCCAGTAGAACCAGTCTTTATGAAAAGGCTGCATTGTGTGTAGCTGTGAAGGCTGATTTGAATCATTCTACAGTATTTAAACATGATCTCTAAAGTTTTATCTTATCTTACTTGAAACATGAGAGTGAAGCCTCTGACTTGTTTTAGTGTGAGGGATTTAGATTTGTTGAAAGTTAAAATAAACTCCATATAAAAACTCCACCTTGTCTTATTCTCCCTACAGTAAAGCTCTTTGAGGTGATTGAGACTGAGAAGACTCTGTTTCTTGTGATGGAGTATGCCAGCGGAGGTGAGTGTGTGTGTGTGTGTGTGTGTGTGTGTGTGTGTGTGTGTGTGTGTGTGTGTCCAGTTGTCAAAAACAACTTCCTTCTTTCATTTTGTGTTGTCTTGGTATGAATTGTTTTCATTGCTTTGGTTCTCTTTTGTGTCCAGGTGAGGTGTTTGACTACCTGGTGGCCCATGGGAGGATGAAAGAGAAAGAGGCCAGAGCTAAATTTAGACAGGTGCAGTGCTCTTAACATCTTACTGTGGTGTGATTTACACTCACATTCACATAAACACAAACACAGATTGTAAAGGCACTCAGTTCTCCTCACTGATGGATCCTGCAGTCTCAGGTAAAACTTATTCCACTCATTGACAGTATGTATAAACTGGACCCAGTCACCCCTTTGTATCACTTCCTGATTTGCTTCTCGTTGTGGACGTTTATTTTGAAGCTATAAGGTGATGGTCGTGTCTGTGGAATAAAATTGGAACTGGAATGAAAAACATTGACGCTGAAGGTTACTGGCACACACAACTTTTTCTAGTTTGTTTTTTTCACTAGACTAATAATTGTGTGAACATTTCGTTATCCTGACTGAAAATCCCTAAGAAATAGGAATGCACAATGACATCTGAATCATATCGGTAACAGGAGATAATTACTTTAAAGAAATATCAGCATCAGACAGATGTTTCAATTTGACAAACTGTAAAGTAAACGGTGACTGGTTACCTTTAAATGCTTAAACATCAACGATTAGATGATTAGTACAGGCAACTAATAAAGTAAAACAGGACACATTAAATACATTTTGCTGAGGTTTCGACGTAAATTGTATAGTCATTGGTTGTTTATATAAAAGAAGAAGTGAAATCTTTACAAATATTTATCAATAGTGAAAAAGTTCCTTTCTTCTCATAAGGTAAAATAAATTCAATTAATAACAAATTAAATTAAAATAAAAATTAATAAAGGCTTTTCTTAATGAGCATTTCACAATCATGGCACAACAAGCATTCTGGTGGATCTTTAACTAGCTTTGAGTTTACTTTATTCGTGTTCAGAACTGGATTTTGTGGGTAAGTGAATTTGAAGTGATTTTGTTTCGCAGTGGTGCCGCTGTTTAACGTTTCCACTTTTGACTAGCACCACAGACTCTGAGCAGATGACACATCGGTTTTGAACTTGGAACAGAGAAAAACGTAGAGTTCTCTGTTCATTGAGTTTTAAACACTGTTTTTGTCAAGGTTTTTTTTTCACCCTGATCTGCATTTACTAAATGTTTATATAATCGCCAGAATTATATATATGGAACAACCCAGTGTGGTTGTCTTTTGAGGTCTAGAATGGAAACTTTCCTTCTGAAGTCATATTTTTAAAATAGAATGTTTACAAAGTGTCGGTTCCTCTTCACGATGTGACCTTTGCTGACTAAATCTGCATCAGGGTTAAAGCAAGGTTACAGTGCTTAGCTTCGTCACAGGAAAACAGAAGTAAATCAATGCGCTCCATTGGGGGGGGGGCCCATGAGCCTGTTAGTGTAGACGATTCCTTCTGCCTGTGCTGTCAGAGCCCAAAACCCTTGTCCTCTAACTTAAATTGAGTATTCCTGTACGTACTCTATGCTATGCACTATTCACGATGATGTCAGAAGTAAAAATTGTTGAACAGTTGAAGTGAAGTAAACTTCACAGAATGTACAGCAAGTGGTCACAGTGAAAGTTTGTGACTTGTTAGAGCCACTTCATGCAACATACGTTCTATTTTTTTTTTCTAAAACTGGCAAAAGCCTGAAATCACAGTAACAATGAACATGCACACTCTGCCTACTCCATACAAATTCAGCGTTAGCCCCTTATTGTATGTGGACGTTGAGATCCTTCGGCATGATGCCATTCTAAAAATGTAATCACAGTTATGGCCTTAATCGCGGTTCACAAGATCATCTGTCAGGGATTTCCTCGTGCGTCTGATCCTTTGTTGGTTTCTGCCTCTGTCTAGTTTTTCTTGTTCCATGTGCTTTTGTTTCCCTGTGCTATGTGCTTTTGTTTTACGTCAGCCTTGTGCTTTTGTTGTTGTTTTGGTGTTGGCTCCTCCCGTGTCTTGCCGTGTCTTCAGTCCTCACCTGTTCCTCGTTTCTTGCCCTGCCCACATTATATGTCCTTAGGTGTTCCTTGCCTTTCTTGTACCTTGTCTCCTCGTCTTCCTGGCCAGACACATTGTTACAATCATCATTAAGATGTTGCATTATGGAAAAACTCCGCATATGTACAAGATAATACATGTACATGCATGTTTTTTGAATGTAATTTTTTAAAAACAGTAATGTGTTGGTGATGCTGATGGCGCTTTGTATGGCACAGCGGTCTCTGTTCATTTCTGAACAGAGTCCATTTTTTCTCACAGTCATAGTGTGCTCTATGCTTGTGGTTTTATTTGTCTTTGGCTCTGTCTAGCACGTCAACTTTTGAGCTCTGAAGGTGCTGAGACCAATGCTACACCAAAGCAGCTGTACAAACATTTAATAAACCATGGGAACCTAATATGACAGCTTGTGAAACCACAAACCAGAGCTGCTCTGTGAAAAAATTTTTGGTGAAACTGCAATAGTTTGACTGAAATGCAGTAACAATATTTCAGTGTTGACGGTAGTCCATAATAATAATAATATCGCCTGTGCTGAATGTCATGGTATACCTTATTATTGAATATTGGCACATTCCTACTGTCCATTTATAGTCTTCCGGTTTAAAAAAAAAAAGCTGCACGGTTCAGGGTTATTATAGTTAACTAAAATTATTATTACAACAAATACTAGCTGTGGAAAAAACTGTGCTTCTTAACTAAAGAAAAAATAAAAATAACAGTTTTTAAAAACAAAATCAAAACTAACTCTCCACTGCAAAACTAACTGAAACGAAATAGAACTGCTGAGAAAAATCATGTAGTTTTAGTTCTTTGTGTGAATAAAAGTTCAGAAGTGGAATTCTTCTGTGTTTGGTATTTAAGGAAGGCTGGAGCTGAGCTAAGTTCAGTCTGCTGTTATGTTTTGTGAGCAGGAGTTTTGAGTTTTATTCCACTCTCATCAAATATCTACTATCATAGCGTTCATAATACTAAAAACTAAATAAAAACTGAACTGAAACTACTAACAAACCCTTTAACTAAACTAAACTACAGTCAAAACCCAAAATGAAAAACTAAATGAAAATAAGTTATTGAATATTTCAAAACTGTAAAACCCTGGCACAATTTAATTTTGTAACTTTATTCATTTTCTTTTCTACTTCTTGAAGTTAATGTGTTTTGTTTTATCATCTTCAGATTGTGTCTGCTGTGCAGTACTGTCACCAAAAGCACATTGTTCACAGAGACCTGAAGGTAAGTGCATATGTGCATGCATTCATGCATTTAGCTATGTTTAGCCCTTGTGGGTGAAGCTGGGTATGGTGGCTTTAAGAACTTTGCTGTAACCTCAGTGATGACTCCTTTAAAAAATGCTGATGCATTTCTGCTCATACACCATATCCTATAGTGTTACACTGTAGGTGCATGCATGTTCAAGTGAGAAAGCACAGCTTGTTTTCTTGAGAACAGACTCATTATCTAGATTGGCCACGCTCACGCACTGTCTTCACTTCAAAGCAGCATTAATGATACATGAGAACAGAGAGAGAGGGCCAGAGGGCTGCAGACAGTTGAGTGCATGTTGGGGGAGGGGCAGTTATAAAAGGATTACACATTGTATATACCTGTAGATGCCTTATTTTACTGCTTTTTATAATGTATGTACCCTGTCTCATACTTAATACATCATATCTGAAGTTCAGCACACCCCTCTAAGGAAGAACTATGCTGGAGCACAGCAGACTCATGCTGTCTGAAGTGGCTTTCACAGCAGAAGATATAATAATGTAAAATACGCCACAGCTGTTTATTAACATTCATAACAGCTGTTTCAGATATTTGCACCATTCTCTGCAGAGCACAACTTTAATTAGCTGTTGTTTCTTGATCTGCCCAGTAAAGGTTGGTTGAGAATAAAACCCCTGCAGTGTGCTGACTCAGTGTGCCTCTGCTTGCAGTGCCAATATATATTGGTGCACTAGTGCTTTAGAAGGTTCTTAACCAGTCGTTCAGTGTTCACTGTGTGAGCTGGGCAAAAATATGTCAACAAACTATGTCTTCCTGTATAAACTGTTTAACAACTCTGCTGTATTTGCTAATGATACAGCAATAATATCATTAGTGATGAAGTGGTGTAAGAGGAAGGTGAAATGGTTATGTTAATCTTATTGCTGGTTACAGTCTGTGCAGATTTTATCCATTATTAACACTGTTTGATCAACATTCAGTGTTATTGTTGAAACTGCCTACATTTTTTTTTCTTTGATCCTTTCTTTTAGGCTGAGAACCTGCTGTTGGATGCTGATATGAATATAAAAATCGCAGATTTTGGCTTTAGTAATGAGTTCACAGTCGGGAATAAGTTGGACACATTCTGCGGCAGTCCTCCCTATGCGGCTCCTGAGCTCTTCCAGGGCAAGAAGTATGACGGCCCTGAGGTGGACGTCTGGAGCCTGGGGGTCATACTCTACACACTGGTCAGCGGATCACTGCCGTTTGATGGCCAGAACCTGAAGGTTTGAGATTCTCTCTTGTAGTCTGTGGCTGTGACTGAAATGGATCCATATTTGAGTTTTAGTTATAATATGTTATATATATTATTTGACATACTATATTTAGTATGTCAACCGTTTTTGTCTTGGTGTCAGGATCATAAAATGTAATTCCAGAGTGATGTTGAGGGCCACTAAACATGAAACTTACAGACTCTCAGCTCTATGGAGAAAAAGATGATAAAAACAGCAGACTGCAGTTAATATAAAAGAGCCTGACATGTTTACTGCCTGCTGCTTATCACATGGCAAATACGCTGAATGGCACCTGCAGGTTACTGCTGTCATGGACCAAGAAATAAATGTGTATCTAAGTCAAGTTGCTTTTATCCTTTTCCCTTTCACTTTGCAAGTGTTGTCTGTGTCATCGGCTGTATGTACAGTTGACGGTATACTTAAAACGATGAAAAAACTAGAAGAAATTGAACTACCGCCGAACACGCTGTCATGTGTATGCTTAAAAAGAACTCTGCATGTAACAGCACTGCTAGAAGCCTGCTTCATGCCTTGGTTCGATTGCAGTCAAGGGGAGATCTCAGAATGAACGTCACAGTGTTTAGGAGTTCTGTTAAGCAAGCAGTGCACACCATGCTGAACAATCTCAAACCACCAGATCATTTTGGCCAAAAAGACATAGTTTTACTTCAAAAAATTGTTTTCATTGGAAGTACAAATAAGAAGAGTAAGAAGTTCAGCCCTGCTCATGCAGCTAACTGTGGTTTGTGACTGGTGAATACTAGCACAGGCTGATGAGAAAGTGTCCAAATGAATTAATATTGAATTGTTTATTGCTTTTTAGTAAAATAAATGGTTACCCCTATATAGTGCAATGCCAATGAAGGAGGAGAGAGAGCCATTTTGGTCACTGCCTGTGGTTTTCCAGGCCTCATAGTCTGACCTTTTGTGATTTTATTGAATTAAACTGATGTTTAATTGATCCAGTTTGTGTCTGTGTCTGTGTGTGTTCTGCAGGAGCTCCGTGAACGTGTGTTGAGGGGTAAATATCGGATTCCTTTCTACATGTCTACTGACTGTGAGAATCTTCTCAAGCGCTTCTTGGTGCTCAACCCTGCCAAGAGAGGAACACTAGAGGTTGGTCTCTTTATTCCATTCGGTCTCTCCACCATCATTCATCTTTCAACTGACAGATAATCAACAGCCCTTGTCCCTTCTTTTCGTCCCCTCTCCATCTTTTCCTTTCGTGACCCATTATTGCTCCATTCGGTTGCTCGTTTTAACCATGGCTGCTATCTTGTCTCTCTTCACTGGCTGATGTTGTCTCTACGCACTCCATTGCTGTTCCCATGAAAAGATGAATAATGCAGTTGGAGTGTTGTTGCTGCTAAATACATGCTTCTTGAGTGCTCTGTAGAAAAGAGTGTGGGGGGCAGAAAGCTCGCTCTGCAACACATTGTTTCAAAATTACATTTCCCTATCAACCATTACATTTAAGAAGGAGAGTTGGATTCGAGTTTTGCTGAAATGCATTTTGAGTGTGTTAATTTTTCCAAACACTCCTTTATATTTATTTGGTCTTTCATGTTCAGGAATGGAGTGGAATTAAGCCTTTGCTTTTGTAGTGAGTAAACAGTGAGCTCTGTATATACAATGTGAAATAATGCAAAAATCATGACTTTTTGCTCTCTTTCAGCAAATCATGAAGGACCGCTGGATTAACTCAGGCTCAGAGGAGGATGAGCTCAAACCTTACACTGAGCCAGAGACTGACATCTCTGACCAGAAGAGAATAGGTATGCAAGGAACATGGCTGCTGCCCCACGAGTGCAGGGACTGTGTTGTGTGTAAAGGTCATATAGGTTTCTCCCCTGTGAGAGACATGAGCCTTTAATAAAATAAATAATAGACATAAAATATAGATGTAGGGATATACATATATCTATGTAAGTGTATTTATTTATCCTCTTTTCTATGCTTCTGCAGTTGAGTATTACAATTTTGCATTGATTAATGTCCATACATAACAGCTTTTTTCTATTTTATTCTGTGTTGTATATTTTATTTTTCTTCATGGAAATAAGGCCTCCTGAATTAAATTGCTAGAGATACAGACAGAGATAGAGAGAAAAACAGAGTGAAAGAGCAGTACAGTTGGAGGAGTCACTGTGCTTGTCTGCAGTGTAAAGTGGTGTGTTACGTAATTTACAGCAGCTGAACATCTCCCCTCCCCACCCTGGCACATGTCTGTGAGGAACTCCCCGTGTACCTCCAGTTAGTGGGAGCTCAGTACAGTACAGCACATAGTGGCTTTATGTAGTGCAGCATACACCAGAATCTACAGCAGGTGGGATGGTTCCCTGATCCTTAAAACACAGCTTACTGATCCTTATCCGTCCACCACTTTGTAGAAAAGTAGGTGCCTCTGCCTGTGTAGCCACGTATATACACACACCCACTCAGTGTTGTTTTGGCTCTCGCAGCTGGGTCTTTTCTCCTGTACATGGATCCCCTCATGCCTGCAGGATACACAAACTTCATACATCTGCCTCTCCTGCCCAATAGCTTTCACAATATGACAGTATTCCACTCCTACATGTGACTACCCAGGAAAAGCTCTCAAAGACACGAATATATACTTCAAACAGTTCCAGCCTTTGAGTTTAAGCTCAGCTTATTTCATATCCATCATGCTCTTCTATTAAACATTTCATAGAAGGAAAATTTTCTTTATGCTTTATTCTTTAAACATTCTGATTTATATATTGGTTACTCTGTAGATGTGATGGTCGGCATGGGCTACTCTAGGGAGGAGATCCAGGAGTCTTTGTCCAAGATGAAATATGATGAGATCACAGCCACCTACTTGCTTTTGGGCAGGAAGGCCAATGAGGTGAGAAACCGCTCAGCACAGATTATACTACAGAACAACTCAGAGCTTAAGCTGTGTAAGTGATGAGGAGTGCATTTCACAGCTAACTGTAAGGGTTTATTCCTGGTTTTTGTGTAGGAGGTGAGTGACTCCAGCTCCAACAGTAATCTCTCCTTGGCGAAGAACAGACCCACCAGTGAGATGAATGGCCAATCACCAGCTCACCTGAAGGTCCAGAGAAGTGTCTCATCCAATCAGAAAACCAGGCGCTACAGTGATCAAGGTGATGCTAAGCGTTTACTGTTTTGTATACCTTCATTTTAAACTTCATTGACCAAATAAAACCCATGTGTCAAACACAAGTCAGGCCCATGGCACAATGCTATTTGGCCCGCAAAATAATTTTAATTTTCTGTTATTATTAGCCCGTTTCACCCCGAGATGCACTACGGTCCCCAGCATGCACTGCAACTTAGTGTGACATTCCCATCTGTTAATTTAAACATTTTTAATTAACAGATGGGATTTATAAATAACAAAGAAATAATAAATTGAGTATACAAAATATTCTACAACCAAAGGTGAAATCTGTCCCGTTATTACCATGCCCATGCATTTGAACTGACTAACAGCTTTGGGGCAATGGACAGTATGAGCTTATACCAAAGTAAACTTTACTGTCTCTCTTTCTCTTTTCCTCTTTCCTGTCTCCCTCTCAGTGGGTGGTGTAGCTAACTCAGGGTTGAGTAATGTCAAGAGGGCCGTCCCAGGCACAGCAGACGGTGATGTCAAGCAGGACGGAGGGGTGGCAGGACGTAAGGCTCCATCACACAGCCCGCCCAGCCCACTATTGGGCAATGCCAACAACCCCAACAAAGCGGACATACCTGAGCGCAAAACGGGCACCTCTGTCACTCCCAATGTGAGTGTGTGTGTGAGTGTGTGTGTGTGTGTGTGTGTGTGTTTTATAGTGTGTCCACCTGCCTCGAACTGGGTATTATCTTTTAGAATGAATAGCATTGCACTTACCCTAATGCAGTTTTATTGATGCTTCATATTATCTGTATTGTGCTTGCTGCTGAGGAGGGGTGTTTTAATTTTTCATAGAATAACTCCGGATCTGCGGGAATGTCCCGGAGAAACACGTACGTTTGCAGTGATAGGAACAACACGGAGCGCCTTTCTGTTATTCCCAATGGAAAGGAGAACAGGTAGAGTTAGAATTAAGTCTCTTCTTGTAGGCCAGAAATGTTTTGTAATGTTACATAATATTTCTTTAAATATGCATGTCTCTACATTAAGATGTCGTGAATATTTGAAGAAGAATGTATGCGTGACTGTCTCTGACTTCCCCTCACCCCCACCCCTCTTTCTGCAGCGTGACTTTGTCTCCTGACCAGCGAAACCCTGGTGCCTCCACTCATAGCATCAGCAATGCTGCCACAACTGATAAACTGCGTTTCCCACGAGGCACTGCAAGCCGCAGCACCTTCCATGGGCAGCTGAGGGAGCGGCGTACCGCAACATACAATGGCCCGCCAGCCTCACCCACGCAGCCCCGCAGCCGTGGCAATGCCAACAATCTGCTCACCAAGCTGACCTCCAAACTTACACGCAGGTAAACGCTCCCACACACAGTCCTCTCACAACATTAACAACCTCAAAAGTGAAGTATTCATGCTTAATTAAAAAAAAAAAGTTAGTGAAAGCAAAACGCAACGTTACACATTTTAGCACAGGAAAATCAATGGACACATTTTCCCTCTTTTGTTTTTACTAATTCAAAATTCATCATTCTGAATTCATCACTCGTAGTGTAAGTTCAGTAGCAAATCGTCTTCTCATGACATCCATCTGTGTAATGTTTCCACTTTCCTTTTGTTTTGTCATCTTTTTGTGTTATAGAAACATGTCATTCAGGTTTTCCAAAAGGTAGGATTTCAAGTCTATTGGGGCAATTAATCAACTAAAAAGAGTTGAAGTACTAACACTTAGTGCTTAGTTTTTGATTGCTGTGATTGTGTTCATTGGGGTGTTTGATTAAGCATGCCTTACAGCTTTATCTGCATGCTGTCACTAGCCAAAATCAGTCTGCCGCTACTGATTGCAACTAATCAAGTTGATCTGCTCAATGGGGCTAGCTGGTGTATTCGACTCATACTTGTAGAGACCTAAAGTATGGATCTTGCGCTTGTAATATTTTCCATTTTTCTGCAAACTCATATACAGATATGAGTTGTCGCATTAAATCTTCATGCGTTTTTGGTCAAATTGCAATCTTATAAGTCGTTGAGACATTATTTGCTGCTGGTTAACCAGTAAAAGGTTATGATTGGACTAGGATTTCCACTGTCATGATGAGAAGAATACAATTAGGGTTAAATGATTAGTGTCATTTGAAAGCATACTAAATGTATCCACAGGCTAATTTTATTTTATGTACATGGAGGCAATAGGTGACAATGCGGCAAGATTTTCACATTTGTGACCCACAGAGAAATAATAAAATAGGTACACAAAATGGTCACTTTATTTTCAGCTCACTCATGTATGACAATTTTACAGTGAAAACTGCTAACATGTCACACAGGGTTGACTAGGGATATAAGGAGAGATAAGAGGAAGTGTGGAATTAAGTTAACTGAGAGAGTGTACAGTGGCTGAATGCTAACAGTCTATGTAATCTTGTAAAATATTGAGTACACTGCCATCTAGTGGTAAAAGCACAGAGGAAGCTGCCTCTCTTTCTGGGACATTTGTGGCATCATCTCCCATTCCATCTTCTCCCATATTCCTTTCTTATCATCCATTTTTATCTCATATAGCAATTGTTTGTTGTTTTTTCATGATTGCTTTGTATGATTTTTTTTATTTTTTTATTTTTGGGAGTTTAAAATAAGAACAGGATGAAAGTAGAGTACACATGCACTCACACTAGACCTACATTTCTGAATACATTGTTGTCAGCCATACTCTGTTGACACATCCTGATATATGGGGGTCCACAAGAAGAACTCACACAGTCTTGGTGGTCTTATCAGATTGATTTCTATAGCACTGTCTCCCTGTTCTTCATTCCACGTTAACGTTTAGGTACCACAGTTACATACATACACTCTGTATTCTCTAATGCCTACAAAATGTTCTTCTTTGCTGATTCTACTCTCTGTTTCAACCTGCCCCTCTTTATCCTTTCTGTCTTGCCCTCTTTCTGCTTTCCTCCTTCTCTTCTTTTACTTCGTTTTCTCTTACACCTTTTCCCTTGCTATCTTTTCATCTTTCTCTCCTTCTCTCCGGTTTTCTCCATCAGGGTCACTTTTGACCCGAACAAGCGGCAGTCTGCCGTCAAATCAGGGCCGGGGGCCCCCTCTGGTCCCCCCACCCTCTCAGCCCCCTCCAACCCTGCGCCAAAGACTCTTAGTAAGTCTGTGCTCTTCTCCTCTACTCTCTCCCTCCCTCCCTCCGAGCCATGCTCTTCTTCATCCTTCACCTTCTGGCAACATGCGACTCTGCAAAGGCCTACTCTTCCTCTGCCTCCTCTGAATTGCATTTCATTCCTTTTTTTTTTTTGAAACCGTTTTTAATATCATTAAACTCCATCTTTTTTGCAGATTCAGGAGCAGTGGCTATAGGGAGTTGTAGGAATGCGCAGATGGAGAGTGTCTAGAGTAAGGGCTTATTAAAATGCACACATAACGACACAGGTGTGTCTTTAGGAGATAAAAGAAAGTGTCTGTTTGTGAGTATTTGTGTCGTTATGTGCTGTATGCACACATAGATTGAGTGTGTGTGCGAGAGAGAAGGTTTGTGTGGAAGGGCTATTTTATTTTGGCACATCTCAGTAGAACATACACTCTCCTACACATTCTCCCGCATGAGCACAGCCTACGTAAAACCGTGGCTTAAATGTAAAACTGTATGCATCCAGTGTGGGTTCACACATAGCACATGTAGGAGACTCTGCAGGGCTCCGAACCGGTTCAAGGAACAAAAACAAAGCCAGAAATTAAAAGTAGTTTACTAGAAGCAAAAAAGGAAACCAGAAATGTATCCATTCTCAGCTGTTCCAGAACAGAAACCATAAAGTCACAATAAAAGTCAGCTTTATTGTTGTTTCTTCTTATAATAAATGTGTTGAGAGCAACACAAAGAGGTTTATCCAGGACAGTGCTACAATTAAACTTCAAACATCAGCAGATGATAAATACAGAGAAACCAATCAAACACTATTCAATAAACTTTTCTGTACGATAATAACTATACAACTACACAACAATTAAGCACAGGACAGTAGAGGCTAGACATTTAATAAGGGATGGGGGGGGTAGACCAGCTAATTTCAAATCTTTGTTAACACTTAATAACGCTAACCTAATAGGATTAGTGTATTTTGTGTATTTATGTATTTAGTGCATTTGTTTAGTGTATTTACATTTTATATATTTGTATTTATGTATGTTTTACCTCTAATCTTCCATAAGTCTTTAGATGAAAAATCAAGGTAAATTGGCTATAAATGTTTTCTCAGAGTAAAATTATTATAATTACATAATTATCTAAATCAGGCATGTCAGATTGGTTTCCTTCCAGGCCACAGCTCTGCAGAGATTAATGTTTTTCCATTGTGCCCCAAATTTGATTCATGAAAGCCTTACTCATTAGCTAATGAGATGAGACTGCAGTTCTGTGGCCCACAAGAACTGGAGTTTGACACGTGCATTAAAGTGTGCATTAAACAGATAACTAAGCCTGTTTGTTGCCCTGCACTCATGTAAATAATAATAATAGTTATATAATAGGAACATTCCCCCCACCCCCCCCCCCCCCCATTCCGTTTCTGAGCCCTGCTCCTCACACCTTTAGAGCAGACACTCTGCCCATTAACCTATTGCAAAAGCATGGCAGCTCAGCTGACTCCGAGGTGAACAATGACTTCATCAGAGAATTTTCATAATATTTAACTTAACGCTCCTGCGTGTTTCAGTTCATTTGTGTATGACCACTTTACACAACCTCATAAAAGACTGCTGAGCGACATTTTAGTTTGCTGCCCTGTTCTCTCTTTCTCTCATCTCATTCCCTATTTCTCTTATTTCCTGTTTCCTGCCCTAACTGATGCTTTCTTACTGACTAAATGTGCTGTCCTTCCTCTCTTCTTCCTTTCTGTTTTATAATCTAATATAATAGAGTCTCAACCGAGTTTGAGAGAAGCGGGAGATTTGAGGGCACAAGGTGAGGAGTTCCTGAAATCCTTTTCTCTCACTCTGCTACATTAGAGAGTATTTAATCTCTCAGTATCTCTGCTATGTCTGGGTCTGACCTGATACTTTATAGCACATTGTTAAAGCCTCTATGCTTGAGGAATCATAGGTGTGGCCTGTGATATACTTGGAATTAAGTAAAAGATACTAGTGTAATCTGTTATTCACCATGGCATATGAAATTAAATGTAGCATGATGTTACTGTTGTATTGTGACGTGAATGCTTTTTTTTTTTGTTTTTTGTTTTTTGTTTTTTTGGTACATCCTGTGTTCTACACTGCATGCTGACTGCTGTCGGTGGCATACCTACATATTTTGTTCCATGCACCTCGCCACCCCTCCTGTCTCTTTATGTATAGTATAATCAAATCATAGTTAGATAGCCTGCATGGTTAAGTTTGCTGGTATGGGTTTTGTTTTCATTTTATTTGTTCCTGTAAGTTCCTACCACTAAAATTTAGCCATTCGATTGTTTTCTTGTCCAACTTTTCTTCATTTTCTGCATTTCTCTGTATTCTCTCTCCTTCGCTCAGTCGCCATGTACCTGGGGATCAGCAAAAAGATGAAGGGAAAGATGGAAAAGACGGGAAGCCCCGCTCTCTCCGTTTCACCTGGAGTATGAACACCACCAGCACCATGGAGCCGGCCGCCATCATGAACGAGATCCGCAAAGTTCTGGACGCCAACAACTGCGACTACGAGCAGCGCGAACGCTTCCTGTTACTCTGCGTCCATGGCGACGGCCGTGCCGACAGCCTTGTTCAATGGGAGATGGAGGTTTGCAAACTGCCTCGCCTCTCACTCAACGGTGTCCGTTTTAAGAGGATATCGGGGACATCCATCGCTTTTAAGAACATTGCTTCCAAAGTTGCCAGTGAACTCAAGCTATGAATATAATCTATCTATGTAGAGGAATATATGAAAGTGTTAAAATCCTATATAGAGAAATTAATTAAGCAGTACAATCACAAACGTAGCAGTTTCCAAATGTTTTAAACCACTTACCATATATATTTAAAATAATGTATAGACTTTAACATTGCTTAAAGCAATAATTTCTTATGTGTCAAATATATTGTTAAAAGTTGCTAAACACTGTAAAAGAGAACTGGTTTAAACCTTTTGGTTAAGATTGTATACTCCATGACATGCTCTGAGTATCCAAAAAAAATGAGTGGAAAATTGTCAAGATGTGGCCTAAAAATACAGTATCCAAGATCTTTTTGAAGTGGAGCTTGCTTTTCTTTCCTTCCTATCCGGACAGTGTTATATATAGGTATTTGGTGTTATGAGCAGCCCATATGTAAAGGGTATGAGTAAAATCCCTGAAGGAAAAAAAATGCTTTTAAATCACATATAAGTACTTTGGATCTCTGTTGCTCTGCACCTCGGTCTAGTTTCTTTTGTCATTGAAAGTGCTTGTTCTTGACACATGCTGCAGCCAGCTCAGTTTCACTGTGTGAATGTAATGAGACATTGCTGAAGGACAAAAGTTCTTTTATTTATTTCTTTTTATGCCCACCACTCAAGTGTATTGGTGTATATAATGTACCTTGTTTTACAACTATTATACATTGTCTTACTCTTGCTTTTCAAGTTCTAATATTTTCAGGGCTACTTGTAAATGGTCACTGATCAGATTCAATATTAAAACAGCTATACTTGACTGTACTTGCAGACTCGCTCATAAGATTTGGTTGGTCAACTCTGTACTCAATCTCTTTATTTATCTGTCAATAACAACCCCATCTCCATACAATGCAAATTTAAACACACTAGACCACATGTCAGACTGCAGTCCTCGCGGGTCAAAACACTGCAGACTTCAGCACACAACCTCATTAAACATACCTGATTCAGCTCATTAGCCAATTGGCAAGGCCTTCATGAACTGAATTCAGAGTTAGATGAGGGTAAATGCAAATCTCTGCAGCACTTTGGCCCGGAAGGTCCCCAGTTTGACGTGCCTGCTCTAGACAACAAAAGCTGCCTGTATAGATGTTTTTAAATATTTTGAGTATGTTGGCAACAAGACGTTATTCAAGGATAAATTACTGTAATGGATAAATACTGTAAATATCTATTTGTACATATTTTATAAGTTTAGTTATCATTTATCTGCTTCAAGATGTGATTGTCACTTTTCAAGTACAAGGTATTGTGGTTCTTAATTAACTTCATGCACTCATTTTAGAAATTTCGACAGCAGTGTTTCTCAATCCTAGTCCTGGAGGCCCACTGCCCTGCACTTTAGTGTTTTCCCTGCTCCCAATACACCTGATCAAACTAATCAGCTCATTAACAGCCTATTGAGTTAAAGTGGGTGTGTTAAAGAGCTAAAATATTTAGGGCAGTGGGCCTCCATGACCAGGGTTGAGAAACACTACATTACATAATTTTGGACACATCTAACATTACTTACTATTACTTATTATTACATAGCTTCCTACTAAATATATGTAATTATAAATTTGAAAAGTTGCACAGGACTAATGTGTCAGAATTATTTTATACATTTTCTGCCAGCAGACTGGTGAAGGTCACAGTTCAAAAGAGGGGTTGTAAAACTTCAATCCTGGCATTGAGGTTGGATGTTAGCAGGCCCCAATTGGGAACAGTTCAGCAAATAGCTTTAAAAAAGCCTAGTGGTAGAAGAGGTGAGCCACCAACAAGAAGGTTGTTGTTCAAATCCCAGGAAATGGCTAGGTGAGTTCCTGGTTGCCCACCCCCTACTCTTGTACTGCTCCCAAGCTGAGCACTGACTGTCAGTGAAATGACAAAATTCCCTTAGAGGTCTATAAGGTATAAAAGTGTTTTCATTTTTGACTTCAATATTTCACCATTATTGCCCTGCGATGGACTGGTGACCTGTCCAGGGTGTATCCTGCCTTCCACGCAATGACAGCTGGGATAGGCTCCAGGACCCCACCGCAACCCAGAAGGATAAGCGGTTTAGATGATTGTGTGTGTGTGTGTGTGTGTGTGTATATTTCACCATTATAGTTCTATAACTTTTGCTTAAAAAGCTATGGATGAGGCAGGTTTACTGAAAAGACAGACAGTAACCAGGTCAACAAGGGCCAAGAGTGTTTATTTCTCTCCTTATAATCATCATAACGAAAGACTTCCAATGTGTGATACAGAGGGAAAACATGGCTTAAATACAACATGGATTCATGGATGGAGTAAAGATACATTCATTCTTAAGGTAGGATTGGAATGTGGGGAGGAGATGGGAAAATCTGGAATTTTAGGGAAATGAGGTAGAGGGGTGGTTTGGCTGGGTTCACTTTTGGGCAGGTATGAGGTCATCAATGGACTGGCCTTTCTCCAATCGCTTCTCCATCTCTATCAGCAGCTTGACTCCATCTACAACCATCTGAACAAGCTCCACTTCTGAGAACCCCAGCCGGTCAGCATTAGAGATATCAAATACACCACCCACTGCAGCAGTGTCCACGCCACCTAACACAACAAACAGCCATTAGTACCACAGCTATAAGCATCAGTTTCACCAACAACCTACAGGTGGCAGCACTGTATGCTTCAGCCAAGCAGATCATATCCGGTAATGCAGCTCTTGATTAGTTGTTGCACAGAGCCCGTTACCTGTTCCACGTTTTTGCAGCCGTAGTCTCTTGAGGATCTCCTCAAACTTGCTGTGCTTGCTCATGTTGGGGAGTTTGACATGCACTCCCCCACGTAGTCCTGTTCCCAGGTTAGACGGGCAGGTGAGGATGTAGCCAAGGTGCTCATTCCACATAAATGCATGTCCCTTGTTCTTAAACAGCTCCTCGATCTGAAAGAACAAACATTTTATAAGTCTGTAGATATTGGATCCTGCATAGCCTGTATGATAAATAACCTTCCCCCAAAACATTCTATGGAGCAGCTTGCCTTGGTAAGGCCTGTACAGAAACGGGTGAAGACCTCCTTCATGTTGCCACCTTTCTGCATTGAGATGACACGCAAGTGATCCTCCTCATTCACCCACACCAGAAACGTCTTGTTGTCGTTGTGCCTAACAAACATTACAGTGTAAGAATGCAAATTCTAATACACACTCCTAAACTACATTACAAGTGCTCTGGGACTAAAATAATGTTTCCTGTGCTAGCTACTTTTAAGAAATTTTAAAATAACTAAATAGTTTGTTCCTAACATGTCCACCTGCTTTAGCATTAATCATACCAGTGCTCAATTCTTAAATGGCGAAGAATGGCACTCAACATTACTACTTGTCAGGCAGGACAAGGGCTACACACTGCTACTTCTTGTGACTACTGACAAAACAGCATCTGAACACAACTGGAGGCACCAAGTTTTTACTGGGAGTGCCTGTAGAGTTTCCTCGTCTCATACTTGGAAAAAAAAAAAACATACATCCAAATGTCACTTCTGTGAAAGTGTGTAAAAGTAACTTATTTTATGTAAAATTATAAATTTATGTAACTTATTTTATGTAAAATTATAAATTTATGTACTATACTTCTCTCATCCATGGGAATCATGAAAGCACAACAGCATATAAAGAGCATTTTGTGGATCTTCTTACCAGATGCCCCTGGCATCAGGCCAATCACGGGCCATCCCGGAGGCCAGCAGCAGAGGAGACACGGGTTTGTCAAACAGGAAGTGATCATCAATGAGCTGCTGTTGCTCTGCTTCTGTCATGTTCTTCAGAGCGTAGTACTTCCCTTTCAGATCTCCACTTAGGGCACCCAAAGCTGAAAAAGGCAGAAAGGAATTTCATTTCATGCTGAAAAAAAATGCAAAAAATACAAGCTTTCCATTATACACAAGGACACACCAACAACATTTACTGATAAATGATTATGCAGTTAATTATGTACTTTTGTTTTCATCTGTTCTGGGTGGCCTCTCAACTGCAATGACTTTAGCTATTGTTTTACCATTTTTTTTAACCATTCCATTTTAATGTAATTCAAGTTCTCTCTGACATGAGACCATCAGGAAACAGTACAAAGAAATCTCAGTTTGACCACAGGTCTGTGCCCCATCTCTAGCTGTTCCACCATAATCACAATATAAAACACGCAGGGAAAAATGATGTTTGACCAGATTTAAAATGCATTGCAAGACACCCATGAGAACTGGAAAAATCCCATAAACATCATAAGCCCTACACTTTCAAATGTTTCTGTGCCACAGATGCACATTATCTACAGAAACTGCTTAAAAATGAAAGCAGAATCACCAACCTGAAACTATTACAATTGAATATGGCCACCTAAATTAACATTAGCTTTATGAAGTTTTGGCAAACACCATCCATCATCACTAGAGGGAGCCACGTAACCAGGTCTGCGTTTCTCAATACTAGCCACTGTGCGGCATCCCAGAACTGTACCTTCCACAGAGAGTTTTTCGATGGCTCTCCTCTCTCCACGACTGCAGTGTGGTGGCAGGCTGAACCCACGTACGCTCCTGCCAGTTCGCACACGAGAGCTGAGCACATAGTTGGGGTCCAGATCGTCCCCACCCTTCAGAGAAAGAAAACATAAATAAGAACCTCCTTTTACTTTACCATGAAACAATTATCTGCTGAAAAATAGCCTAGACTCAAGAGAATCTTAGTAACTGTACACATTTCAGTAGCAGATCATGTACAACTCTGTACCTTAAGGTTGTTAGGGTTCAGGTCAGTTTTGTGTTTGTCTGTGGGCTTGTAACCTCCATGTCTGTCCTCAATGACCGGGTCCAGCAGCTCCTTAAACACTTCATATGTCTCCTCATCTCCAGCCACACAGCCCACCGTCATAATAAAGGGGTGGCCTAGGATGTCAACATAGACAATTGTGTAGGTGTGCAAACAAAGAAAAGGCCTCACAAGAAACCAACTGTATACAATAAACACATAATTAACAAATCTGGTCCATGTTTAGCTTAAAAGGTTTTCCGGTCAAAGATCAACACTAATTGTGGAGTACATCTCACAGAAAAGCTCTACATCAAAAATCCTTGCACTGGGGCTTAAGCTACATGCCCCACAGTGTGAACTAAGCTGACCCCTGAAAGCCTGAGTGTGTTCTTTTACCAGGATTATCTACTCCAGTTTGAATGACATTATCTATGGTGAACCCGCTGGAAGTGGTGCGCTCACGGAGCTTCTTGTACATCTCCAGAGTCAGAACCTTGGACATATGGTTGTGGTGCTGACTGAGGTCTGGGTACTCATCCTCAGCAGGAAGTTGCTTGATGCTCAGAGTGGTCATTTTATGGTTGCTACACAAATACAATAATACAGAACACATTCTACAGGGAGAGCAGAAGGCCATCTGTCAATTACATCAGCTAAGTTCCTTATTCTGTGGCTGTTGGAGAGGCAAGGTCTTTACTATTGTTCTATGCGAACACAAATTATAATTCAGCAAGGTCACTGTACAGCTCATAATTCAATAAAGTGTCTTGGAGATGGCTTTCCAGACAGATCAATACTACTCTTCAGTTCAAATTACTGTCAGTTTAGACTCCGCTAAACAGACACTTTAGTAGGACGAACTTATTTCTACAAGCAAAAACCCTTTGAAGCATGCTAACACTGGATGCTTCTAGTTAAGGTTAGATTCAGGATGTAGGTTATTATTGTTTTATCACTAATAGTGATGTAATCTAAGGATTTCTGTTTCAGGTTAATGTTGTAGTTAAATTTGACCTGACAGCAACAGTGATACTTTTAAATGTTTTCTTGTATATGTAAAAGGGGCATTCCTTGGTGATTTCTATAGTGAAAATGGATCAGAAACATTTGAAAGCATTTACATTAGCTTAAAATAGACTGCCACTGTTTAATGGATGAAATAATTTCATATGACCTGCCATGCCAGAGCATTCATTCTGCTTCGTGTGGTTGTCTGTCCTTGTGTGTGACAGGCAAAAGGAGAAAGGAGAAGGAAGTGACTCCTGAAACATTTATTTTACAAGATTATTCCACCTTTTCAAAGACCATTTAAGCTCGTAAAAAGGCGGATTTTCAAATTACTTCGTTTGAGCATCGATGTATTCAAATGTGGACCGACTATCAAAAGGAAACGTTAGAATTGGTGGTCCACTTCCCGCAATGGGCTGCGTCTACACCGCATGCTACCAGACTAAACAGTATGTCAAAGATAGCACATCACCAGTAGAATTCCATTCATTCGTGTAATATGTGTAGTATTGATCGATTTTGGACGCAGCTATGGCTCCGTGTGTGCGGTGACTTTACCTGGGTTATCTACCCCGGTCTGAATCACATCATCCAACGTAAAGCCGCTGGGTGTCTGCTTGCTGCGCAGCCGCTCGTACATGGCCGGAGTCAGCACCTTGGCCATGTGGTTGTTGTGCTTGCTGAGGTCGGGGTATTCCGCCTCGGCCGAGTACTTCATCTTCAGCTGGTTGTGAGTGTTTCCGAAAGGCATGGTCGATGCTAACTGAACGCGTCGTGGATGGGACAGAAAATAATGCCAGTTACAGCAGAAGCTGGTCCGTAAACTCTCAGTCTTGAAATAATCCGCACAACGACTTGGTTTTGTTGAGAACCGGATACTGTCTACAATTTTGCTACTACAAAACCTCAATGCGTAACGTGAGTGTATAATGATCATTTGCTAAAACGGAAAACGCGCCAATGAAATCCCCAAGCACAGACGGCAACGGAAGGCGGAGAAGGCGGAGTAACATAGTGGATGCACATCGACTGACCAACTAACTAAAAGCAATGTGTTACCGTAGACTCCGACCCAGAAATTAACCAACAGAAAAAAACGACTAACTGATGTAAGAATAGAAATTAAATTCACAGACTCGGCTTTAAAGAATCCAAAAACAGAGTCCGTGCTTACAACTCCGCAAAATGTCAAATAATCAAACGTGCTTATTATGAGCTGATGCCTGGGTAGAGTACTTCATTGTGCGCACACGACTAACATACTACTCAACAAAAACAGGTTGTCCCCAAAACCAAGTCGCTTTCCATTTCTGTTTAAGAAAATCAAATTATATCTTATTCTCGAGCCATTAACTTGATCTAAAGTGTCTGCAGACTGATCTAGCGGCTGACGCTTTTAATTAGCGTTTCCTTTGGGGGAAAAACACGCAGTCTTACCTGTGGACTACTACTACTAGATGAAGACGGGGCTGACACAAAGATCCCTATGTTTCCGGCTGGGGAGTGCGCGCTCCAAACTTATTCTCCTCTCCAGGGTTTGTCCCCTGATGGAGCATTAGCTTTATAGTACGCAAGTGCTGCTCCTATTGGCTACTATTTGTAGTCCATTTACACGATTGGAAGAACTGCAAGAACTGAGGAAACATCATTCAGTGTAACATACTTCCACCAGCATACAGTAGACTCTACAACATAGTGTTATATATTTACACCATCCATGTGAGAGGTAAAAGGAGAAAGGAAATCCATTATTTCATCCCATTTAATTGTCGACATAATATATGGACACCACTGCAGAATAAGCTGTTCTATTTACTATTGGAACACTTCTAAATAATTTTGAAATGTTAAAATCTCAACCTGTGCAGTTATGAATGACATATACGCCCAAAACTTCCTTAATTGCGTTATACCTATTCTTTTTTTTAACTGAACAGATATCATTATAGCCTACTGGCTACAAATATGCTCTAAAGAAGAGGTGGGGGACAGAGCGCCGGAGTCCAGCACAGTGTACTGACTTCCCTGCTCTATTACACATACTAAACCCGTGAGTTAACTGATGAGTCAAATGTGTCTAAACAGGAAAAATCACAGGAAAGACGGCAAAATATGCAGGAAACTGGCCCCCAGGAATGGAGCTCCTTATCCCAGCTCTAAATGAAAACTGTCCCCTCTATATTGCGTCATTTGTCTGCGACACATGAGTAAAACTTCAGTAGGTACACAGATCCTCCAACACATCACCTTCAAAAGAAGCGTTTTCTCTTACTGGGTGTTCGAATATCAGGGAATGTGCATAAACATACGTGAACATTCGTTAATCGTAAAACCATAACCTCTACTAATTCACAGTTTTACACTTTAAATGCCTCTACAAAAAACTGACTCAGTCAATCCGCATGATCTGTAGACTGGCTACCGGTTGGGCATCGTGTAGTAGGCAGTCAGACACGTGTGGTCCTGTTTAGCTGAGCCACAACATAAAACATAAGCCCTCTGACAAAAGGTAAGCTTTTTGTTTGATCGTGTGTATGTAGCTCGAGCCATAAGCTAAACCTGACTCTTTGTATATGAGACCAACATCTTGACTTTACGTCTAATGGAGCAGGTTGCTAACTCCAGTTAACCATACATGTTTAACCGAATGAATGGTGCCCTAAATTAGCTGGTTAGCTCGCTGGGGAGTCTCGTGCGAACACCGTTTTCGTCCCCGAAAAACATTTGAAACGGTCATGGTTTTCCGGTAACTGGTCTTGGTGTATCGTAACGACTGACTGATGGGTTGTTTGACAAACAATTCAGTGCAGTCAACAAAGCTGGAGTCAGCTACCTATTCGCCTTTTACCGTTCCACCTTAAATGGTGCAGGAGTTAAACGAGGCACCGAGACGTCAGAATGTAACTGTTGCAGCGTTTAAGGTGGAACGGGAAAATCAGAACAAGAAGCCGGCGAATAGGAGCCGACCTTCAGCCTCGTCTGCAGTCAGTTACTGACAGACCACAGCCAGCTATAAGATAGCGAGCTACTTGCTAGCAATAGCACATGTAACGTCAAGTTGGCTAGCTGGCTAGCTAACTAACGCTAGCTAGGTAGCTAACAACTAACGTTAAAGTTTGATGGTGTAATGGCTATTACTATATAATAAATGTTTTACCAGTTTATATGTTAAAATAATGCCATAAAATCAAGCTAAAAATATGAAGAGTTTTAGGTGGTGAGCTAGCAAGCGCACAATAATCATCCTGCTTTCCAAGTCGTTGTATGGTTAACGTTAGGATAGCCAGCGTCCAGATTTTAAAGAGATCAGAAGACAGTAAACCTAGCTAACGCTAGCTAATCGTGCCACATTCCTACCAAGCCGACCTTGCTAATGTTAATAAGCAAGTGTTGCTAGCTTGCTAGGCGCTGATTAAACCTATTAACCCTACACTGCTAAACGTGCGTGTTACAGTGACCTTGCTCAATTAAACGATGAAGCAGAGTAAGATGTTATCTTTAATTGTAAATATTACTACTGTTTTTTGTTTGTTTGTTTGGTTGTTTTCATATTTTGTCACTTGTAACATTGATACTTACATGATATCCATTTTGACCAGGACTTTGAGTGAAACTCTCGGAGCAGGATCGCAACCGTTAGCTAAACTAATGAAGGCTCGCTGGTCGCTTTGAAAGAAAATAAACGGTTTGGAACGTTACTACTTTCAAATAACAACAAATTCTGTGGTCACGTGAAGCGTGACGTCCAGTGCGAGAAAGTAAACCATAGCCAAACAAAATGATGTTTCTAAAACAGTCAGATGCAGAAAGTGATGGCTATCACTCTAAAAGTAGACAATTCAAAAATAGCGTTTTGTACATTTTTCTTATAATTGTCTTTTACTAAACTTGAAATAAGTTAACTTTAAAACTACTTCAAATGTCTTTTACCAAAGTGCAAATTTTGACTTTTAAGTCCTAGGCACTTAAAACAATGGCTCTTCAAGGGTTCCTTAGTAAAGAAATTGGTTCCATATAGAACTATGAACACTCAAAGAACCCTTTGCATGATTTAAGGGTTCTTTGCATCATGAAAGCGTTCTTCAGATTAATGGACGCTGTGTCTTATTTACTAGGCTGTGACCTTCGAAGCTTCCATTTCTCGGCCATGTACGTCATAAGCATTGATGGAGAATGTGTTGCATATGAAAAGGGTTCTATATAGCACCAAAAAGGGTTCTTCTATTATTACAAGCTTGCCCTAATAACAATAGAAGAACCATTGTTGGTGCTATAAAGAAGCCTTTTCAAAAAGGTCCTATATAGACCATTTTTAACACATTCTCCATCAATCTGAAGAACACTTTCACAATGCAAAAGACCCTTTAATCAGGTAAAGGGTTCTTTGAGTGTTGTTCTTTCTGTATGCAGCCATTTTCTTTACTAAAGTACCTTTGAAGAAGCATACTTTTTCAGTATGTAGTACGAAGCACACCGATCTTTGCCTAGACCTTTATCGGAAGCTGTCCTCCTACTCTAATTGTGGATAATGTTTACACATAGAATATTGATGAGAGTGTTGTATTTCTCTGATTTACTTCATGAACAATTAATCAACTAATTAGTTGTGTTTTCCATTTGCTCTGACTGGGAAAGTTTTGATTTCTGATGTGCCAAATAGCCTAATCAAATGTTCTTTCCCACAGCAAACTTTTTTCCTGTACTGGAGCTCATTACTAGTGTCTCATGAGTTTTGTGGAGTATTCAGAGTTCATTCAGGAAGGAGATGTGGTCATTATCTTCCTTGGTCATGACTCCATGATGCCTATCAAAGTGGAGGCTGGGGCCCAAACTCAGACCCGATACGGAGCTATCCGCCACTCCAGTGACTTAATCGGGCGACGGTTTGGTTCTAAGGTGACCTGCAGTAAGGGAGGATGGGTGTATGTGCTGCACCCCACTCCAGAGCTATGGACTGTGAATCTGCCCCACCGAACACAGATTCTCTACACCACAGACATTGCCAACATCACATTGATGCTGGACCTCAAACCAGGCTCCATCGTCTGTGAATCGGGTGAGAAGGCCGATGCAGGATTACATTTTTTTTTTAAGTCATGAACTATCATGAATAAATTGTTTGTATGCATAGCATTACGTAGTCAAACAGCATTTCCTGAGCTGTGTTATAGTTTTCTAAAGTAAGATGTAAAGTTTAAAGGACCAACATAATTTCCTCCATTTTTTAAGTAAATTCCATTGCATGCAGCCTGTATGTGGAAACTAAGCTGCAACAAAAGTCTGTCATGAAAAACAAATCATTAATATATATCTGCTTAATCTGCCTATAGTAGTTTAGCCCAGTGTCTTTTGTCTATGCATTGTGATAATTTTGCAGTGGTAAAGTGTAAAAAAGATCTAACATTGAGATTAATGAACATTTTATGTTTGGTACATTTAGTCTGGTGCTTGTTTACCTAGTTGCCTTTTGACTACCTGTTCTGAAAGTGACTTTGTGATTAAGCTGAGTAAATGTTCAGTGCTTATCAACGTTTGTATGTAAGAGGGCCATGTTATGTCCTTCTGAGTGAGAGGGGGTCACCTTGTGGAGTTAAAAGGGCCTGTTTCACTTACAGCCCCTTGTGATTTAATAGTTAAACAGGATCATGGAGTTTTGCAAAGTTGTAGTTGCCTACCAACTACATGGTTAATGCTAGCTGTGCCAGGTTGAGATGACAGGAGGCCCTGTCACCATGAGTGACAGCACTTTTCTAACTTATCTGAAAGAACCTCCAGGTAGCACATGTAGACTGGCATCTTTGCACTGGTCACATAGAAATGCATAGATGTCCACTTATGTAATGGACACTCGCGCAGACTCTCTTGAATCTTGTGGAAAGGAGTGTTTGTTTATTTTTCCTCTTTCCTCTCTGTGCCTGTCTGTGGTGTTTTCCTTTTGCTCTGTTCAGCTCATTCACTGAGTGGGAGCCAGTCTTACTCTGAATAGATCCATTTAATGGCTTCAGAGCACATACACACCCTTTTAGAGCTTAAATGCTCCCTCATTACTAACTGCACTCAGCTGTGCTGTTTTTCTTAAAAGTATGTAATTCTGGAGGACAGAGTACAGTCATACACTGTGTTTTGGGTTTTTGGTGGAGTCAGGTCAAAGCAGAGTCTAAAACATCTGAACCTTAAAATAATTAATTATGTAACTTGTGTTTTGTGCTTCTTTGTTCAGTTCTCTCTGGTGGAACTTATCTCTTTCGTTGTGGTTAGAGTTATGTTAGGTTTAATAGCAGTTCCCTTCAGCTTCTCTCTTCCTTTTCTGTGCCTTTCCCTTCCTCTTGTACTCCACGATATCTTCTCATGTCTCTCTCATTTCTTTGCTTGCTCTTCCCCTGAGCTCTTGATCCTGAGCTCAGTTATCCTCTTGCATCTGAATACCACCCCGTGGGCCAAACATTGACCCCATTGTTGCCATGAGAACAAAAGCTACGGTGATGTAACACTGCAGGCAGAAGGACGAGTTGGCGTGTACAGTTGTGTGTGTCTGTGTGTATGCGCATGTATGTATGTATGTGGGTGCTCACATGAAAGTTGTGTGTTTGTGTGTAGGTGGGATGCACCAAAGTATATTTTCAGAATCACAGTATCAAGAACATGTGTTCAATTTTTGATTATAGCCATCTATTCTTGCACATGCAAACTGCGGTCTGTCTAATTAGAGGGGAATAAACTGATTTTTCCAAATGTCTGCATAATTAAATCATTAAGAGGTAAACCGTGGTGGTGATAAGAACCAGACATCTGAGACATTTAATGCTTCTAAAAATCCCCTCACAGAAAGTGACTACATGATATGAATACCTGACCTGATGGATTAGACATTGCTTACAGCAGTTTTGAGAGATGGTGTAAAAGGATGTTGTAAGGCAAAATAGTACCCAAAAAACATATTTGTCAGATTTACCACTATTTTATCATGATCAATATTACGTATAAAACCTGTTGGTTTGCAGGTGATTTTAGATAGTAAATAAAATGGCTAGACTTGCATTGTAGACATTGTGACCTCTCGTTCTTATCACAACATTGTAAAGCAATTTGAGTCACCAAAGTTCATCTTCTGGTAGACACAATAATAAAGACTCATTTCTTGTAGGCATGCTAAATCAAATTACATTCACTTGTCTAGATTTTCCAGTATATATGTGCATTATCTGTTGATTTCAGCTTTCAGAGTCTTTTCAATGGTGTAACATTTTACTTTTGTGTATGTAAACGTATGTTTGAGACAGGTACGGGCAGTGGCTCACTGTCTCACGCTATTCTCCGCACCATTGCGCCCAGTGGTCATCTGTACACAGTGGAGTTCCACGCCCAGAGGGCTGAAAAGGCTGCTCAGGAGTTCAAAGAGCACAAGGTGGCCCATCTGGTCACTGTCCGAAACCAGGACGTGTGTAAAGAAGGCTTTGGTGTTGTGGGTGTGGCCGATGCAGTATTTCTGGACATCCCCTCGCCGTGGGAGGCTGTCACGCATGCCAAGAAAGCCTTCAAACGCAAGGGTGAGTCAGTGTGAGCGAAAAGGAGTACAGCTGAAGTTAATGTTCCTGCAGCATAATGTTCTTGCTTTAGTCACCCATCCCATTTGCCCATTTGTTACCATAGATCTGTCTTGCTCATTTCATTACCATAGATCTGCCTTGCTCATTTCTGAGACAGTTAGAGAGATGACTGACAGAGGCTTTCTTCTTTCAGGTCTCATAGGGCACAGTTTTAGTAGAACACTAACCAGTATTGTCAAAATTGAAAGCCTGTCTCTAATGGTCCAAAACACCCGTTACAATAACATTCTCTCACATACTGTGTGTGTGTGTGTTTAAGTGTAAGAGATCTTGTATTTCCATACATTTCTGTTATTATTGTCCTATTACTGAGGAATTATTCAGCAATAACAGCCTTTCTCTGTTAACCATTTCCTCATAAGATTGGGTGGTAACATCTTAATGTTGGAAAAATTCTATTCTCCATGGAATCACTGCTTCTGCCCAGTTGACTGAACCACACATGAATGCTATATGTAAAAAATACAAGAGTGTTGCGTCTCATGCTACTGGCATACAACTCAATATATAGGCTAAATATGTACTCTTCTTCCTTTGAGATTTCTGAGACTGACACCACATTAAAATCTATAATATTTCAAATTAGCACCTGACTGATGAAGTTTTGTGACCAATACCGACACGGATTTAAATGGGCAAAAATTCAGATAAGTGATCATATTGGTCAATTTAATTTCATATTATACCACATGAACAGTCATATTTCTCAATTCACAATTAATGACTGATTACATATTTTATTACTATTTTATATATGCATATAACATACGTTATATATATGTTTACTAGGTTTCCCAGAACATTTTATGACTTGCTAAAAGCAATCTTTAGAACTGCAAAACAGATCCTGTTAACTGGTCAGACAAGTATGTGGCACATGATTGTGTGGGCAAAGTTATGCTGAATGTCTTGTCATAACAACACTGTTTGTCAGTCTGGTGGGTCATGGTTGAACAGTTGTCTGCAGAGTAAGTGCCTGAGCACACATGCCTTTCTGTAGGTCGGAGCAGCTCTGTGCCCAGCAGGCAGGCCTGGGCTAGTCAGCAGCACAGCTGGGGGTCAGAGATTTGCGATGTGGGCTTTTTATTGGTGTGCTGGGAAATTGATTTTAAGAATAAATAAAAAATAAGCCACTGGTTATTGTTATTACTCAGGGCTTCCCTGAGGAATGAGATTGAGACTAAAGGGAAGCAGCATGTTAAAGCAGTCACTATTCATGGAAAGATTCCAATAAATAACATCTTAAAGAAATTGACCATGAAAATTCTCACTTCTGTCCTAAGTGACACTTGAAATTAAATTGTTTCTGGTCATTGTACTGGTCACACATCCCCTCTCTCTCTCTCTCTCTTTCTCTCTCTCTCTCTCTCTCTCTCTCTCTCTCTCTCTCTCTCTCTCAGATGCACATAACACTACTGCAGGCTTTTGACCATAAAGGGATAGGCTGTGAGGGAAGGGTGCCTTAAGCAGAGACTTAGAAAGACATTTCACTTTCTGTACTATTCTCTCCCACACTCTCACATCCTCTGATGCATTCTTTGTCATAAAAGCTAGTTAAAGAGAATCTTTGAACATTAAAGGGGAAATCCAGCAATTTTTCTAAATTTCTGTATATTGCATTAGTGTAAACAAGGTCATTCAGAGTGGAAATGGTTAATTTTGTAAGTAATGGTAAAATTGTGGTAAGACAAAAGCATGTTTTCTTTGGGGCCTAATTTCCCTTAAAACACACTCTTCGTCATCTTAAAAAACACATTTTAGGACAAAACCTTTTCTCAGAAGTATTGAAAAACATAGTTTCAGGGATCGCATAATGTATTTGTAACCATTTCACATAATAACTCTCTGCAAGGTAGCTTTTAGAGGTGGATGTCTGGTTCCTATCACCACCACTGTGAGCAATTCTGAGTATGTAAGTTTCTCTAGAATAGAGCATTTCACAGCAACCCACTCTGAAAGACTTTGTTCACACCATAACTGTTTAATTTTGCAGACATTTTTTCAAAATCAGTGGAATTCCCCTTGAAACAGTGTGTGCAGAGTGGTTGATGAAGCTTTGTGCTGCAGGTCAGATGTCCTTAGCTGTTCAAAGAAGAATGTATGGCATGTTATAGACGCAACAGCCCTGCAATCCCCCACTCTCCTGCCTACAGTAGTTTCAGCTGTTGTTTGGTGTACAGCTCACTCATGTTCAGTAGTTGGAGAGCATGGAGGATTCCTGCACTGGCATAACTTTCCTCTCTCCCAGCATTCTGTTGCCAGGAAACCTGTTGGGCCCGGTTGCCAGGAGACCTTGAGTCTGTGTTTATGATGGCGTTTGCAGGGAATGGCCTTATTTGTCAGTGGAATGTTTATCAGAGCATACTTTGACCTCCCTCTCTCTCGATCTCTCTCACTCACTTATGCTTCTTTATTGCTGGAGTACAATATTGCTTCTCATGCAGCTTTGAATGCTTATTAGTTCTTGGGGAGCATGGATTTCATACATATTCTTGAGGGCTCATTTTGTCTTACCACTGTCTTACCCCCTTTTATGAGTTTTAATCCCATATTTCCTTAACTATTCAAATTATGTTGTGCCTCTGTAAAATCAACAAGGGACATTAGCACTCACTTTATCTTTGAAAAGCACAGACTGGTTGAATGGTCTCTTTGCTGCAGTGTGTGGACTTTTACATTCACTTCAGGTGTGTTTCTGTGATAAGGTTGAAGAGGTCATGTTGGCTCAGTACACTGGACACCTGTTGCTGCTGAAGTGTAGCTTTTTAAATTTTTTATCACTGGATTCTTTTTTTTTTATTGTTTACAGATCTCCACAACTGTTTTTCAGTTGTGTATGTCTGCATGCATGAAGAATATACTAATGTAAATATGCACTTAAATCTATTTTCAAGACTCCTGGCAGGTGCAATAGTCAGTCTGTAGAGCAGGACAGGGTGATTATGGGTTAAGTACCTCTAAGAAAGAGAGTAAGTCTAAAGATGGAGCCAGGGATAAATTACCTGGTGTCACCCTTCTCTACCTCTCTTCTGCATATCTGTTGATCTGGTGTGTCTTCAGTTATGTGACTTAGCTGTCAGATTTCAAATCTCAGTCTTTTATGTTTTCTTCTTTTTACAAATGCTAATATAAATATAATTTTTGTAAGACTTTTCCAGTGATTTCGAATATATTTTTGAACCATTATTATGGCTTTTAGGTTCAGGTTTATATCTCTCTTTACATTCAAACATAATAGGAGTCTGGTCCTGTAGACTGAAAATAACTTCCTGGGAGTGTTGCTAAGATGGCCACAGAGTGGACAGACTTTCCTAAAAGGCTTTTGCTGAAATGCTCTTTAAATGAATAAAGTTAGCATTAGCTGTCTACTAGCTAGTCATGTCTGTATTCTGATCATGTCTAATTTTTTTAACATCAGCAATTTGTCAGGCCTTGTCATGCATTTAACCTTTTTCCTACCCGGCAGTCTTGCTAGTTGCTTAATCTAACTATCGTCAGAACTCATGCTGTGTGATTTCTACACTTCTCCGACAGAAAATGATGTTACAGGAGTGTTTCAGTAACTGGTTAAGCAATGACCAGCAGAAATTCAGTTACAGGAATTTGTGGTTATAACCCTAAATAATGTTTACTACTGTCTGTATATCTCCACATATTTAAAACACTGCTCACAAAAGTATTTCTGTTCTTTCAAAACAGTAATTTAGCTAAAGTGTTTGTATTTTTTCTAAATGATGAGTGGGTTGATAATGAAAGTTGTGATCAGTGTATGTTTTGCCTTGTTTATGTCAGCTAATTGTTGCAGGACTGCTGTCTTTCAGGTGCTCATTAACAACTTCATTGTCAGTATGTATTTTTCTTAATCAGAAAAGTAGTAATCCACTGGTTCCTTCTCTGTATATTAATGCTTACTTTTCTGGCTTTGGTCTAATTTGCATACGTTTAACATTTGCTTTGTCAAGCAAAAAGGGGGTTTTAGACGTTCCCTTGGGGTTGTGTGAAATGTGTGTTCTAGCCCTGATCTTGCCTTACTAGGCATCTTTATTTGTCTGGTCCAGCTCAGGCATGTCAAACTGGGCACCTTTCAGGCCAAAGTGCTGCAGATATTAGCATTTACCCTCAAAAGAGCTGATTTACAAAAGTTTCGACATGGGGATTTCAAGAAGCCCTTTTATCCTTCAGCTTTTGAGCTGGATTAAAAGCTAATTAGGTGGCTTGATCCTGCTGAAAAAGAGCCTATCATTACATGTAAATACTCTTGAACTGTATCATTGACTCAGATTAAAGGGGCACTATTTAATTCTCCCACTGTGATTGCTCAAGCAGCCTTGCATTTTGGCACAAACGTTAGTGCAACGGAGAAGTTGCATCTAAGACTCGAAATTTGACCCAGATCTGTTGAGAATGTTGGAAAAATACCGCATTTTTGTTCCATCCATTGCAATAAGAGAATGAACTTGGGTAATTTGTATGTAAATCATTTGAGCTTGATTGTGGATAGCTTAAATGAGCCGAACATCCTTGTTCTCCAAAGGTCTTTACAATTCCTTCCGTCCCGTCCATATTTTCAAAGCTTTATTCCCTCCCTTCCACTTAACTGGAAACAATCTTTGAAAGCATTTTTGGCCGTATGCCAGATCAGATGGACTGAGAGCCTTTCTTTGAGGTCTGTTTCATAAGCTTCTTTTAAATCTGTTTCTATTCGCCTCTTCTGTCTGTGCAGGGGGTCGTCTGTGTTCGTTCTCACCATGTATAGAGCAAGTCCAGAGGACATGCGAGGCGCTGCTGGAGCAAGGTTTCGAGGAGATCTGCACTCTGGAGGTTCTGCAGAGGGTGCACGATGTCCGTTCCGTCACTCTGCCCTTGCCAGACTTTGGCCCGGAGGATGGAGGAGCAGAGAGTGCCAAAATGGCCTCAGAGGAAGTCTCATCTGCAGCAAACTCCGGCCACCCCTCAGTGACCTGCCGAACTGCCACGGCCCCTCGGGAGATGGCTGGACACACAGGGTACCTCACCTTTGCTACAAAACCACGGGGCTAGAGAACAGCAAGTGTTGGGAGGGTGTTAAAGAACACACAATGTAGTGACACTGTGTGGATAAGTGTGGAGTATGGACAGCAGCTCTGTGCTAATGTATTCTCATCGACTCCCATAGTGCACATGAACTCCCTTGGCACTGCCTCCAGGCTGCCTTGTGATCTGTCAAATTGCTTAAGTTAGGATACGGAGAAGGTTTTTATAATCAGAGTTGGGTAAACGCAGCTGTTTGCCAAGCAGGTGGATGAGGAGGTAGATAAGGCTTCATCATTCTTTAACCTGCAGTCATTATTTTATTTCTTGACAAGTACAGCAGTGTCTTTTTATTTTGGCAACATTTTGTTACAATAAATTTAAAATGAGAAAAAACATTTGTCCATCTTGTCATGAGTTTCCCTTCAGTGTGCATTTCAGCACTGCCTCCTATGGTCACTGTAGTATGTCAAAAAATTCTGACATGACACTTCATTTACTCTTAATTTCATTTCATTAGACTTGCCTTCCTCATAAAATTAATGTGTGATCACAACATGGGACACAATGCTATCATGTGGCCATGACATATTAAGGCGTGGGAACAAGACGATTACGTTGTCGCCACAACTTAACTGTCTCATTCTCATGTCTTACCAAGTAATTGCCATGCATTATGATCACATTCCCACACCTTAGTAAGTTGTGGCCATGCATTATTTTTGTTAAGATGTCACCAACAGGGCTCTTCTGTTAAGGCTATGACCTGTTTGTTAGCGTCACAGACGCAGTTTCATTTGCAGATTTATTACTTTATAGTCGGTGATTAGCACTTAGCAGGTAGCATATTGTTCACATATTTGTAAAGCTGCTTCATGCCATGTCGCTTCTAAATGCTTAGTGGATGATGTTTTTGTGATGTATGTGATCTTTGGCACGCATGTCCCCGTTTCGACCACTGCCTGTGCTTCTGCCTTTGTGATAACAAATAAAGAAACTCCTCGTCCTCCTCCCTGTGCACTCTGACTAGCACTCCAGAGTGAGCCACGCCTGTATACAAGCTTTACAAGCATGCTTAACATTATTTATTAGTTCAGTATTGTTCAGTGCGTCTGGTGTGTTGTGTAGACTCTGTAAATATGTTTGATATAATGATTTATAAGGCTAAATTTCTTATGTGTCATGGCTGTGTGTGTGTGTAAGGAGTGAGAGAGGGGATATGCAGCAGAAGGTTTAATGTCTGAACAATGAGTTTAAGCCATTCACAATTGAAGAATATCAAAAAGTGTGATATCGAAAGACTAAAAATGTTTGCAATGCTAAATGATTTGGTTGAATTATTTTATTCGTTGCTGACATTGGTGTCCGTTTACATATAGTACTGATTTTCTAAAAAGCCTCATGGTCAGTCTTACATGAATGCTGGCAGACACATTTGGGTTTTGCACTTTTTTGCTGGGACTCTTTTACAGACACACTCTTTTGCTAGAACAAAGTTCCGCAGTCCTGTAGTTATCTCTTATCTATTATTGTAAGCAACTTTTCCTCACTAACTCAACCCCCCCACATTTGCGTTCGAGTGATTTGTGACTCTCCAGTCAAGCCTGTGCACCATAAAAGGTAGCGTTCCCTCTGTACTCGGATACTTAACAGCACAGATTATGTGCACAGATATCCGTTGCTCATGCATGCAGTTTTCTCTCTCTGCATGTGGTCCCTGCTTTGTCTTGTTGGGCATGTAGTTTAGGATGCCCAAACAGCATTTATATTAAGACCTCCGTTCCTGTTTGTGTTTGTGTTTATGTGTAGGTAAGCATATACCCTCATCTCTGGATGCCACTAATAGCACTTGCATCATGTAGAGGTTGGAGAAATTCTGCTGTATTTTTTACATATATGCACAGAAGCCTTTTCCTATATATAGCATGTATGATGGAGAGAGGGCTAGTAAATGAGGGGCTGTTGAGCAGCTGATGTAACAGTTGGATTGGGGGGGTACGTTATTTTAAGCCTACTGTTTAAAAGAGAAGGGAAAGACTGAGGGATGAGAATAGAGCTGAGAGAGGCAGTCCACCTGTGTCTATTCCCCCCTCCGCTCAGTCCTGAGGGTCTAAGCTGCAGCACAAGGAGCCAGAATAGCTGATCTTAGCCCCTGCAAATCCACACATACCTTAAGCAGCTTCCCTTCAGGACTTCAGCTCCTATACTGATGTGCTAAGCTGTGTGGTTTGCTCCACGGGACTAACAGGCACGTGATTTGGTGAACTAAGAGAAAAAGTGTGTGGCATATTTGCATTAAGGGTAAAAAAGGGCTCTAGAAAGTGCCTAATGGAGGCTATAAGTAAACTTCACAATCAATACACCATTATAAATGCAATACTGCTCTAGCTCCCTAATCACATGAAGACTTTCCTTTTTTAGATAGAAAGCACCTCATGAACCTTGCTTACAACCTACTCACGTTTAGCTGGCTCATAATGAGCGCAGACTCCATATGGGGAATGGGAGTTCGTTGAGGCCAAAATTAGAACTGACTAATACAACTCCACTAAAATGCTGTTGAATCCAAATATGCTTAAAACTTAATTAATAGTGATATTTTAATTGATTAAAAATTTGTTGGAACTTCTCCCATTTTGTTATATTCTGTCTCAAATTATGTGTCTTTGCATGTTTGGTTCCATTAAGGGTCCACATTGGTGCTGGGTGGCATGCCGTTGAAGGTCCTTTCATTTTCTAAAGCAAAACCATCCTTTGATAAATGAATGTTAGTTGGAACTGTTCCTGGTGTCTGTTTCCTTTTAAGGGTTGCAAGTAGTTTCCTTGTAAAGGGACGGTGTGGCTGCAGACTTTCTTTGCAACCAAGCAGGAGCACATCTCATAATATGGTTGTGAAAGTTGGACTTTTGACTTGGCTAACTAGCTAGTAGCCTATCTTTCTCTTAACATAAGATTTTACTTTTAAGCCCCAGAGAAAGCATGTAATAGTGTGCAACCACTTCCTGAACTTCCTTAACAGCACGACTGTTTCACATGTTATGCATAAGGACATCCTAATTAAACTCTACAAAAATGTTGAACACCCTCACTCCCAATATTGAACTCAGATCTGCTGCTTAGGCTGGGTTGGAAAGATGAACACTAGCAGAGCAGCAAGGCTACTAAGGAAGAGTGGTGCTTCACATCTATGACCTTCAGTGCCCTTGTTACAGTAAATGTTACAGGGAAGATGCTTACATCAACTGTTAAGTGCTTATCGATAGCCATCCGCTAAATACAGTCTCTCGCTCATATGCGCATGCGTGCACACGCACTCTGCTCTCCAAGTTAACCCCTTTTAATCCTGAAGAAGAAGCAAGGGGGAAAAGTAGCACTGATAAGCTTAGTGAAGCAAAGCAGGCTTCTGCTGTTGTTATACTGGTTTGGTAAAGCCCTCATGGAAGCTCCATTTGGTGCTGGAAAGCACCTGGCTGCACTGATAGACCTACTAACCCTCCCCAGTGTCCCCTCATGACCTCTTGGCACCATGAGCCTTGACCCTCCCCATGGTTTGCCCAAACTGAGGCCTGTCACATTTCTGTTAATGTAAATTTAGGGGAGGACTGGAGCCACTGCCAACAGTTTTAGATTGACTGATAGTCACTGGTGTAGCATGCAGTCAGACAAAGAGCTGTTTACGTATCTTGTGCAGTGGCCATGTTCATGCTATCCATCTGCCCTTGTTCAAAGTTGAGGAAGGAATGCTAGCAATTGTTCTTGGAATATGTGATCACACATGATTGTAGCCATGCTGCTTTTTGCACATAGATCATGTGGGAGTTGTCTGTGGTCTATTTTGGTGGGTACAGTCAGTGTGGGAATATGGTGGAGTTAGAGACAAACAGTAGAATTACCATTTCCCAAAGTAGGAGTTTTTAAAGGAGGGGCAGCAGTGAGTAAACGTCTGACCTCAAGCTAAAGATTAATCACACCCACGCATTGGTGGAGTAATAAAGAGGAACAGGTGTTTGTTCGTGCACTGTTGTAGAAGATTGCAAGCATGTAAATCAAAAGCTAAGAAGTTCAGTGCGATGCTAGCCAGTGCAGGCGCCTGTTAGCTGATGCCACAGAATTAACCGTTAGCTTTGTCCTCCAAATGCATAGAGCTGTCCAAAGATGTTGCATTAGTGGGCAAGTCAAAAAGATGTGGTGGTGCATCATGTGTCTCAGAAGTAGCTTGTACTAGCCTCCACCCTCCCAGCTTGGTAGCATCACGTGGTAGGAGGAGACCAAGCTAGTGGGTGCAACTGGACATGCCTTAATTAGAGGAAAAAAATATTAAAAATAAAAGAAAAAAAGAAGTAAAGACTTAATTTCATGCATATTTGTTTATACTTTTATATTAGGTCTTGTAACATGTTCATGATGCACATACAGGCCATAAACATGCGTATATTCAGCCAGTATGCTTTTGTTTAAGGCCCGTTCATTGCATCTTTCAATTATCATTCTCTAATTTAATGGAAGTGTGTGCAGTTTGAAGATCTTTTTACTATTTCATGACACTGGGGCCTCTCTTCCTCTTCTCTAATTTAAACCAGAGTTTGCATGAGTCACTGGTTTCTATGGAGACTGAGCAGGAATGTTCCCCTCAATCACGGGTTTCCCCATCCAGACCTGATCACATGACACATCATACCAAGGACATACACTGCTGTTCTGTCCGCTGTTTTGGATCACTCTGGAAAATTCAGCTCTCTGTGGCATGTGCCCTCTCTCCTTAGAGAAAAGGAAATAAGACTTTGTGTACATTCCCAACAAAACAGATTGTTTTTGAAGACTGGTGCCTGTGTAGGTGGTTGAAAGGACAAATTTATGAATCACAAGCTTTAATTTCACCAATGGAGATTCTTCTTCACTTTCAAACACTATACTTTGTGGCCTACACAATGTTATTCTTTCTTCTCACACTTCCTTCAGAAGCTGTCTCTCTGACACTTACCCTACATTTCCATTGTTTCAACACTGTTCCTATTCCCTCTCACCTCTTTTCTCTGTGCCTCCCACTCACTGTCCTTCAGAGCATCTCTATTCTTTTGTACAGTTGCTTAATAAGCATAATGTAAATCTTCTAGACTCTTTTTATTCACATACACACACACACACTTACAGATGTGGACAACCTGCACTGATGTGCTCTGCAATTCAAACATGTCCTTAAGGGATACACACGTTCCACTCATCACGTCTAGTTGCGTAATCTTAAATACACTTGCTTATGTGGTTTCTGACACAGTATGACAGACTGTTATCTATTAAAACGGACAAAAGCACATTACATAGCTAAAGACAGTAGCAGTGTTCATCTTGAAGCCTGAAGTATGTATGAATATGTAATTTTGTCTTCACAGTTTAGT